GGGTTCAAAAATTATGCAGTGTCACTTTAGATATACATCTTAAATAATGGCATCTAATAATAAATATCTTAAAAGGACTAGGGCAACTCCTAAACAGATACAGATGTCTGATTGGTTGTTTTCCAAAATACAGAGAAGTTACAACAAAAATTATTACAACTTCTTAAAATCTTGCTATAATTCTTAGATAGAGCTAAACAATTACATTTCCAACATAATTGCATTTTTTTTTTTTTTTATGTAATTTTTAAATTGCAGAGGCACTCAATTTTGGTCATGTTGCATTTTTCGAAGTGTGAAACCCCAAGATTCTCACCCCAGCCCTTAGAGAGCTTTCAACTCTGTGAAAACAACAAACCTTGGGGCCAAACATGTTTTATGTTTGAAGTAGAAAAGAAAGCAAATAAAAACACAAATTCAATTTGGGAAATAAAATAAGTAAATGCATGAACAAAAATTATTTTTTAAATGTCTAAGCAAATCTGTGCAGCTCAATATCTATCTTTAAAAAATCTGTTTTCTAGCAAACTTCATGTCAAGTTGCCTAAACTGTCAAACTGGATCATGACCTGGATGACTGAGAATCTTAACAGATATCTCAATATCTATGTTGGTGAATGCAACAGGAACTCAAATAAAATTGTTGCATGTTTTCTTTATTTACCCCAAAGTCTAAAAAAAAAAACTCCTGCCTCTAAGCCCCTATCTTGGTCTAAAATATCTGCAATCAGTCCCATAGACCAAGCTTCCTCCTTCAGACACGATCACAGAGTTTGATGGGTCTAGTTGACAGTTTAAACAATTCAACCATGACTCTGCAGCAAGGAAACAAAAGAATATACACAGAGTAAATTACTTATATGCATTTTAGATAAATAAATACATTTCTAGAAAATAGCATTCGAATTTAAAATGCCTGGTCACCCGTCTTCCACTTATCTGGGATCAGGCCGTCAAAGCAGCAGACTCAGCAGAGACTCCCAGCCGCTCATTTCAGCTGCTTTTTTCCAGGGGTATTAAATTATTTATCAAAATATTTAATGGGACATTCAAAGGTCATAGCTACCCCTTTTCGTTCCCTCAATGTAATAATTTTAACCAAAGATTAGCTTTAGCGACTCAAGAGAGAATGCATATCTTACTGAATCGTTATTTAATCAGGCAAACAAAAAAAAAAATTACACTTAACAGAACATTTATTTCTTTAAAGAGACTGCTTGACTAAATTTGGAGAAGGTTAAAGGCTTTGAATCATTTGCAAATGGCCATAAGAACAATTTTATGATTTGCAGCATGTACACAATGGTTGTTAGGCAATTGCTGATGTCATCAGCAGAGTAAGACCTGAATATTTTACTAAACCCATTCTTTAAGGTGATTAGTCCACAATACTCCCCTTAAAAGTTACTTTTACCAACATTTCTACAAGTAAGCTTGTGACCTCACTGTAGGGAAAGGAGTGAGTCACTGTGATACCAGAATTACAGTATGTACAGTATTTCACCGTGAGAATCCCACACAGAGGCACCGCTTAACTGGGAGGGGTTTGCAAGGACAAAGTTGCATAGAGATGAGAAAGAAAACGTAAAAATCCTTAAGTTTTGCACATTTACATTACATTTCCAGGCATTTTATTTTCTGCTCTGAATCATTTGGCGTGACAATAATAATCTAGTTGTTCATTTCTATTCAGTAGAGCCAATATTAACTAACTATCTTTCAACATGAAATGTTTGCTCTTTGAAAAACCTTTCAGTCTTACCTAATCTCAGTTCAAGGCTACAACACTACAAATTTGACTCATTTTTGGACACTACAACTGTATAGTTGAGAGATTCGACTGCCCAGGCTGCAGGTCATCCAGAAACAATCAATGATTCCCCCTGGCCCCCTAACCACACAAAGAATTACAGCAAATGTTGGGAAACCAAAGGTTTACCAGCAGTGGACAAACTTGCATAGTGATAATGGGACAGAAAATTTCAAAATGCTCAAGTTTTTCACATTCACATTACATTTCCAAGCATTTTATTTTCTGATCTGAATCGTTTGGGGGTGACAATAATAATCTGGTTGTTCATTTCTATTCAGTAGAACCAGTATGAACTAACAGAGCAGTCATCAACGTTAAAGTTTATACCTATTCATTTTTAATACATTTTAGTTTTTCTTTGAATACTCTTATTATATACAACTTTTCTCCAAATAAGATTTGGTTAATCCACATAACTGGACTTCAACATCATCTTTAATTTGTATGGCTTATGGTGGGCTTTCTTGTGCTTTCTTTTTTCTCAGACATTTGTTAAATACTTTTTGTAACATAAAAAGTGTTCAATAAATAAAGCTTTATTAATTAAGCTTACTTACAGTTGATCTAAAACAGACCCGGTTAGAGGACAGAACCACCACCACCAATATGTTAAACCTATATGCAGACATTGATGTAAAAATCAATGTACTTTAGATACAATCTGCTACACATAAAGAAAATTATTTTTTTTTCTCCCCTGCTGAACCAATTCCTTTTCTTTTTTGCCTCTTTACTATTAAAGCCTACTATTTCTACTGGTCTTTTCTCTATTAACATGCAAACTATCGGACTAAACCGGTGTAATGATGCTCTGATCCACCTGCAGCTGTAGCTCACCTGCCTGGTTTCTCACATATATGCAAGAATAAGGATGTATATGTGTTTGAAAAACAGTTTAAGCAGCCATTACGCTAGTTAAAACACAGCAGATCAGCCTAATTTTGATTAATGACAGTGTAACCAGCCATTGCACTGAACAGAGCCATGAGAGAGGAAGCATACGTGTCAGTAACTGTTTTTTGTGTCTGTCTGTGTGTGTTATGAAGCTTTTTTTTTGGAAAATCTGGATTTTTTTCCCCCACCAATCTATTAACTGGGCTTCATGGTTCAGACTGACATCAGTTCATCACTTTTCGTTCTTAGATGTCTCCTCATAACAGTTAAACTACCTCCATGTGTAATGCAACAATTCAACTATCTAAATTGTTATATTCTTATTGTTTGTTGATTATTTTTACAAGCATGTTTCACAAATCAAATTTCATTCAAAGCCTGTTTTTAAAAGCAATATATGACATTTTTCTTACAAAACTTAAGTGAGAAAACCAATGAATTAATAGGATTTGGTAGGAAAACAATCTGAGATTAATTTTAAAGCCATATCGCTCAGCTGTACTCAAATGCTTCAATGTTTATGTCGTAATCTGCAAATTTTCATGAGAGGAAATGTTGACTAATGGTAGCTTATCAGACTGATGCTGATGCCTCTGGTGAGGTCATCAACTCAAACACATGGAGCAAACATTTTTTTAAACCCTCTCAGCTGGCTTAAAAAAAAAAAAACAGTATTTGATTTCCAATAAAAATAAAGAAAACAATAAAATAAATCAACCTCTGTAAGGAGCTGTATTTTAATGTTGCTTCATATTTGTTTTACAGAACATATTTCACCATGTGATAGTTTGAACTTCAGGTAACAACCAACATCAAAATCCATGTAACAACAAAAGAGTTGAGGCTGCAATCAGCCTGATCAGAAGCAGTAATGTGGAAATCTCTATACATGAACAACACAGACTAGAAGCCAGGTGAAATGCTGCAGGGCGATCTCCATCAAAACTGCAGCCAGCTCAGCTGTTTGGGGTTTTTAGGGGGGGCGAAGCTGCAGAAGATGAGGAAACCCTACAGCCTCCCTCCCATCCTTGTCCCGTTACTTTACCTTGTTGAAAGCGAAAAGCTCCTGTTTTATCTTCTCTCTCTGCGGGTCGGTGCCCTGCCGACGAAACCTGAACTTCATCATCTTCGAAGCGGTTAACGGGCTAGACCGGGTGGGACCGAGGGGAAAACGGGGAGCACTCGAACCGGAGTTAACCGCTGCAGGAGAGGCGCCACGGACGATGCTAGGCTAGCTAACTGGGGGGCTAACCCATACAGGCTTTAAACGCGGGGCTACAGCAGTAACTGCTGCAACGAGGACAACTCTTCTCTACCCTCTCCTCTCCTCTCCTCCTGGGGCTGTTTAGGTCGTTGTGGGTTTGACCACAGCCCCCCTCCCAATCCCAGTTCACACGAAACTCGTCATTCTTAACCAATGACGGCAAAGAAATCTGCGAGAAACGACTCGGATACACCCACGCGCCCGAGAATTTCAGAAAGGCGCGCATGTTTTGTAATACGGGGCACACCGTTTTATGCCTCTGGTATAAATTGGCACTGCGGATGGTAAAAATTTAACTGAAAGCACAAAACTAAACGTACTCAAGAAAAGTAGCCAATAGGAGTTAGAATCAAAATAAACGAAAACATTGAGGCGCTCTGTGAAATAATAATTCATAATAGGGTGTAATGATATATGCAGCTTAAATGCAAAAGAGGGTAAGTTGAGTAGTCAGTATTTATATTTAAAAAATATGCCAATCCTATGCAGGAAAACAGACAGGGACAGAGCAAGCTGAACACATGCACTTATATCGTTTAGAATAGACTGCATACTGCTTATTGTTTTTTTTTTTTTAGAAGATGAAGAAAAAAATCTTCTTTCTACGTTTCAATTTAAGGTCAGATATATGTTGTCTGTGATGACCAACAATTGCACATATTTTCCCATCTGTAAGGTTTGGCACTCCCTTAAATATTTGCCCTCTCCTCCAATTAAATGCCTTACTTGCCTTTCCTTGCCTCAGTATAGTGGCATCATGATTTAGGTTTGTGGTGCTATGCTCATCCATTTGATATAATGGATTAAAAATACTTTAGTGAGATGTTTTAAGCCATATCTTCATAATTTCATTGGTATTAAATGATAAAGATTTTTTGTTTACACTTAAGATCTATATGCTACTTTATGTTGTCCTCTCAAATAAGTCTTAATTAAATACATTAGATTTAATCCATATAACATGATAGAAATAAGGTAATTTTAGGCATAGAAAGACTGGCAAGGCACCATCTTGGCACACCATACATTAGAGGTTATGCTACGAACTTTAATGTCCAGCATTATTCAAACACATTATTTGTCAACAACAATCATTTACAAAATATACATTATTAAACATTTGTTGTGCAAACTGGACATTCAAGTGTCTATCTGCTAAAATCAGTCCCTTTTATTGGGCTATCTGATTATTACTTCACTTTTGTTTATGGCAAAGAGAGAAGAATTAATCAGTTTGTAGCATTCTCTTGTTTCTGTTCTCCTAGAATTAATCTGCACCTATACAAGTGAACACCTCATTTCTGACTGATAAGGTTAAATTCAAACCTGTATTCAAGTCTAGTAAAAGACAATCCATCCTTTTTGTTTCTAATGTAGCATGCAAATTATCTTAAACATGTTTACTGCTCACTTTGCACATTTTCATCTTTCTCATAGAATGCTAAACTGCCAAAAAACTCCTTCTTTCTATGGTAAGTGCAAATATATTTCTCATTTAAAAAAAATACACATCATTGTTAACAAAATAAAATTTTTAATACCTAATATACAAGAGAAACATTCCATTCAATTCTATCAAATAGAAAGGTCTACTAAATAAAGGCCTAAAAAAATGTATATAAAATATTTCAGAGGTAGATATAGTGCACTCATAAGGCATTGAAGTGGGATCTATCCGCTAAAGCAGGGTAATTTCACTGGGTGGCAAGGTGAGTCTCTTCTCTCTGAATGACAGCATGTTCTCCATGTGCATGGCAATGACTCTGCACAGTTCGAGGCCCTGGAAACAACACAAACACACTGCTCAAAAATGCCCCTTAAGATAATCTTACTTTGCATAAATATAGCAATGCTTATTGTTTGCTCATTCTTTCTTATGTGTGAGCACTGCTTGCAAAGTTGCACACCTGCTCCAGCTGCAGCTGCGTGATCCTCTGGTTTAGCAGGTCTCCAATCATGATCTCCACGTATGGGTAGCTGGAGCCTGAAGTCGGTCTCTGGGTGCGAGTGGACTGCACTTCCTTCAGGGGGAAACGTACCATGGTGTCCTAATAATAACACACACACTAATAAATATAAACAAAAACAATATTTTCAACTCTTTTTTATCGTTTGGAGTTTCCTGTTTATAGAAGGTGCAAATATGGAGCTCAACAGTTATAAGGCGTTGAAATGAAATTTGATTTTAGGGAACTCTGTTTGCTATATTAAAAAATGAGTACTGACTGCAGGAAAGTGGTGAGTTCTGTTTAGAAGTTAAATAAAATTATCAGCAACATCAATGTCAGATTCATCTTTGGGCTTTTAAGGATTTATCTAAAATGTATTTTTAAGGATAAAAAAAGATTGTAAAACAAGCACCTTAAATGGTTTTAAAACAAGTTTGAATCTATCATTGATTTTCCCTAACCTCATAAACATGTTAAATAAAAGCATTGCTTTTTCTTCAAAACATAAATTTTAAACTGGGTGGAGTTTGTGTTTATTGCAGATGCTTGATGTTAGTCTGCTTTGTTTCCTCTGAAACCAGTTCTGGTGTCTGTTTGAAGTTATATTCCCTATTAGCTACAGATTTGGTTGGACTTTCATGTATGACCCATTGATTTGATGGAACATGGAATAATTTGGAGGTACCTCTCTGTGGTGTTTGTATTGTCCTCAGCACAACTGGAAAAGAAGCAGGCCCTCAGGATGACTCTTCCACCACTTGACATCTAGTTATTTTCAGAGCCTGACCTTGAAGACGCTTCTCTCATCTGATTATAAACAATGTTCTCCAGAGGGCATGTGGCTTGTGCTAATGGACAGCCTTTGGAGTGGGTGTTTCTTTCTTGCTTAGCATCCCTTCACTGTGATGTTAAACTAGCTTACCAATTTCCTTGCTTCTGTGATGACAGACTAAAATTAAGCTTTGGGAATGGCACAAACCTCAACCCTAATGCAAACGCATAGATTTTTGCATAAAGGCTAGGTTCATACCAAAAAAAAGTCAAATTAAAATAAACTAAAAATGCTGCAAGAAAAAGGACAATTTCGCAACATTAAGATCTATATTTGCTTTCGAGCCTGTAGTGTAAGGTGGAATTATTAATCACATACATGCAAACTTAAGTCTCTAGTTCCTGTTTTCAAAATGCACTGCCGTAAAATAAATTTCCCCCTGAAAAAAGAACAGATCATCTTTATATTTAAAAAAACACAAATTAACTTTCATCATATGTTTTTTAAAACCAGCACAGCTGAAATAATCTTTAAAAAAAAAATCTTTTCCTTTTTGGACATTTGTGATAATGCATAATGAAAACAACCATAGAAAGTTGTCTTTTTTTAAAAATTTAAACACATTGATTCCCAACAGGGGGTAATCGTACCCCTACTGGTCTGTGTTTTTATATCTCTATTTTATTTATTAGGTAGTAAAGTAAAATAGGGCTGGGATCTGTTTTGCTATCAGAGGACCAAATTGAAAAATGTTACAAGCTTCACAAAAGTCATTTTTTCATATATGTTTGAGTTCATCTTCAGCTGTGACACACATCTAACCAAGCAGAGGAACAGACTGGATGTAGAGAACAGCCTGGGATCAGTTGTTTTCCACACTGAGCTATCAGAGATCTTTAAAGCAGCTCAGGTGTCTTGATTGAAACAAATTAAAACTAATCAAGTCAGTCCTACTATAATGTTTGTTCTGTATTTTGTTCCCAATTCATCAAGTTTAAATGTGATTACAAGAAAGTTACTAAGAGGAGCTCCAGTTTTATAAATACAAGTTTATGAGGGGTTTTATTTTGTATTTATTTTGATTCCTTCCCAGTAAACATATTTATGTTATATATTTATTTGAGATGGAAAGAATAAAATGCCTAATATTTAAATCCTAAAATTAAAAGATTAAGTAGAATCTTTTTTATTTTATAATCAGTTATTGTACTTTTGGACATTCATCAATACTTTTGATTCAGAGGGGTATTCATGGTAAGAAAAAAATTCACAAAGGGTGAATCTGCTGTACCAGATTTTTATTGACGTTTTTATTGAAGGACTGTCTTCATGATCATACAAATATGCACTTTTTTAAAGATATTTTTAAAAATGTCAATTTCTACAATTTTACTCATTTTACTTTACATTTCCCTTGAAGTTACTTTATTAGACAATTCTAATAATATTTTTCATCTTCTATGAAGATTAAGGTGATTCCAGTTTTCAGGGGACGTCTTGAAACTGCATTTCCATTTACCATTAAATTGCACAAATTGTAATTCATAAAAAACCCTATTAATTTTCGCCCTAGGATGAGTTTTTTTTCCACAATACCAAAATTGGTGTATTTCATAAAACTGCAATGGAAACAATTTTTGGATTACATGAGTTGCCTGGACAGTTTTTATTAAATGGAAACACTGTAAATGCGAAATTATGCCTTTTTTTTTACATTAGAATAATACAAAACATTTTCGCATGTATTTTAATGGAAACGCAGCAATCTCAAAGACTAATTAAACAGTAGCCGTTACTCTTGTTCTGCGTCATTTATTTGTCAGATATAAATTAACGAATCAACACATATGATTTTTGAATTGAAAAATGTATAACCTTGGCCTGTTTTATTGAAAGGCAACATACAGTTTAAACCACAAAAGGGTGCTATTAGACTTGTAAGAAAAAATGTATTTGAACCCCTAAAAAGCTTAGAACAATCTAAATAAGAAGTATACCGTCAAAAAACCCACAATCTAAAAATGGAAAACACATACAGAAAGATTTTATGGATTTCTGATGCTGCAAATCTAGCTTTTTACTCACATGGGTGTCCTTGTTAAGGAAATGAAGTCCATTTAGGTTTACAGCCAAGATGCAGGGGGCCTGGATCGATGAAGAACTCAAACTTTGTATGTAGAAAAAAGAGGAACCGAACATTGGGAAGGCACTGACCAGACCTGAAGACAAACACGTAACAGTGTCATCAAAAACTCAGCTCATATTAATAACGAAGAAATATTCTCTACAAAGAATACATTTTGTGTACATTAGGAGTTTTAATCATTTTTGGTATCTAAATATTTTCCCGCTCTGCTTTTGAAGCCATGTGTTTGTTCAAATACTGAAATACTTTGAAATCTAAGTGAAAATAGTCAACTATATAGGACCCAATCTATGTACAATTTGCTGCATTGATGTTAACAGTAAAGCAGACATTCACAAAATCCTGGCGACTTACCAAGAAACTGTGCACGGGCCTGGTGTGGGTTTAAAGGCTGGACGTACTGCATGTGCTGTGTTACCGCATTCAGCCATTGTTGGGAACCCTGTTTGCTGTAGAACTGGGAGGGGACACATTCCTGCACCTCACGGCTAGACGAACACAAAAACAACACAACAGGCCTTGTGACACTAGACCCCAAAGGCGTTTAATTACATGACAGTTAGCTTATGTCAAGTGCATTAATTGGATTGATGTTATGCATGAGTGAGCAGTTTCTCATCCGTTTCTATAGAGGGGAAATGATTCATGGTGGAAAACAAAAACAGTATATTTACAGAGTGGGCAAGTAGATGGCGTCTTTGGCACGGTGCTGTAGAGCCGCCAGCCGGGCAATCTGTTGCATATGCTGATCACTGGGCTTACCCTGAGGAACTACACCCAGCAAAGCCTTTAGGTAGTCTGGCAACACCTAAAGTAGAGACAGAAGGATGGTAGGCAGTTTCCACAAGGTATTACGGAAATATCATCTACTGGCAGAGCTGTGCAAGAACATGTTCTAATAAGCATATTCATAAGTGGTGTTAACTTTAGCTAGGTTGGGTTTTCAGGTGAGGTGTACATCCTATGCAAACGTCCTGCCTCATTTCAAATAGTCATGGTTTAAACATTTTATGTCTGTTTTTTTGTTTTTTGTTTTACTGTGTGCCTGTGTATGCTGCAGGCAGCCAGAAAGGTCAGCTCTGGTCTTGCAGATACAACAGAGAAAATTTGAGGAATGAACTCATGCTAAAAGCTTTCTGTCACTTTTTTCTCCATTCTTCTGACATGTATGTAAGACAGATATAACAGCACAGATGTTCCATTTATTTGAATGAGGGAAGGCCTGGTTAGCTGACTTGTTCAAACAGAAACAGGCTAAGACAAATAGATTAAATGGAACCTTGTTAACAGTAATACTGCTGCTCTGCTCTTTCATATTGGACAAAAAGAATGCTGAGCCAGGAACTGAAGCAATGCAATACAGTATGATCATGAATTAGCTGAGTTTTAACCTGCTTGAAGTGAAATTAAATGATTTCTCTCTAAGGATGAGTTGCTACAGGATTCTGTCTAAGTCTGGGTGGGAGTTGGTGTAACAAATGCTTCAACGCAACTATTTAAAGGTACATGTAATCCATCATTCAGCTTAAACAGCAGCTTCGTACCTGGTTGTAGTGCATGGTGACATAAAGCTCATTGTCAAGTTTAAGAGCCAGACTCCACACAACTCTTCTAAACCACAGACTGTAGCTGGCATCCACCGGCTCAGCCTCTGTGGCAATGTCCAGGATGTACTCGCGCTTGTTCAGAGGTCGCACATTTTGACCTGCAGAAAAAAGCAGCTTCATTAATCTAACCGCATCACATTAAAAATGTTGAGATTTTAGTGCTTCCTCGTTTACCTTTGTGTGTTACTAGAAACACTGCATATTCATCCAGCGCCTCCAGTCTTTGCAGCCCCATCTCTGAGCAAAGGTCCTCAATCACATCTGAAGCAACCTGGCATAAATAAGTTCATTAATAGTGAATAATCCTGTTGGGAATCGTCACACATTTTTTGCTTGTATTGCAATTTTCTTCCTGCTTTTACACCCTACTTTTTAGGTTGGTTTTATAATCAGACGTTTATGAGCTCAGCTTATCTGAGTTACACTTACAGAACATGTCTTGATTTTCAGGTGCCTTTCTATCCCACCTGGAAGCAGGAAAAGCTGTCTCTTTGAGCTCCGGCCAGCCTATAGACAGACAACCAATCAGAAAACGCCGCCGCACAACAACACAAAACTTTGCAGCAGTCATGAGTGAAAAAAACTCAAATTCTCTCAATTATTCAAATGTAAAAACTATTGTCAAATTTCTACTAAAAGGTGGAATGAATCAGTCAAATCCGGTCTAATTAAACAGCACCCCCCTTTTTCCTGATTGTGCTGTATGTTACTACAGAAATTGTGCACAATGTTTGAATGAGAGGCTTCTGTTGCTCAATGTTCAGCAAATTCAGACAGGCCCTTCTCTAAGAAAGGGTATCAGTTTCACCGATACTCTTTTATTTGGAAAAGAATGAACTATGACAAATCTCCTTTGCCTAAAGCAATGTTTTGTTTCCAACACTGTGTTCAGGTTTTTGATAAGATCTCTCAAGTAGCCTTCTTTAAATCCAATAAATCTAGTTCAAACAAACATGATCTACACCTGAAAAACTCTGTTTTCACACCAAAAAAATATTTTTTTTATATAATAAAATCAAGTAGCAGTTTTATTTACTTGTTAGCTGATCCTTAACCTTTGTTTTTCTTTGACTGAATGTATTCCTTATATGCCAAAAACGATGAAAAAAAGCATCTGGTTTCTAGATGCTTTGTAGTGGAAGAAATTATTATCATCATTTTAATAAATAATTATAATTGCTTTTACCAATTGAATTAAAAAGTATAGGGGTGCATTGAAATTCAACCTTTTTATAACATAAAGTGTAAAATTTTGCATTCAGAATTCATCTCATTAGCAAATAGATTTCTATTTTTCTGTAATTTAATCTCAGTTTAACTACAAGTTTTAGAAGTTAAGTAGTTATCAGCAAGTTAAAAGGACAGTAGTTAGTGATAAGCATCTTAGGTGCACGTCAGTGGGGGAAAGCTGTGGACAAGTTTAACCAGGGTTTGCTGGCTTAAAGAAAGTAAATTGTCCCTTTCAGGATCCACATTTTTGATTGTTCATAAATGTTATTAAAGTCTCTCCTAACCTGCTTCTTGTCCGGCTGCAAAATGCATCCCTCTAATTAGTTGCACCTGGTTCTAATGCCTCTCATCAACCCTTGCCAAAGTTACAATCCTCTCTTTTTCTTTATATGAGCACCAAAATCTCTTTTCAGTCAAAGCCTGTTTCTGCAGTGTGAGTTCTATTGTTTCTGGTTTCTTAAGTCCTGGGGTTTCTTTGCACTGTTCCAGTGAGTTAATTTCCTTGGTTTATTCATGTCTTTTATGTTTTAAATCTCATCTGCTTTTGCTGCTTACCTCTGTGCATTTGGGTCCAACAACAAGATGAAACATGATAATCCTAAGCTTTAAATATTGCATGACGAATTATTCAGTCCATCCATTAAGAATCAAAACAGTGTAAAGCAAATAAGCAATGATATATGCCATATTCTTCCACCTAAACTGGCAGGCTGGGCGAGTGGGGGGGTTGTAATCAGAGAAGCAGCACAAAAACGAAACTAAAAATCAATAATAAATCTGAAGCTGGAAAAATCTATACGAGAACCTTTGGACAGGACATCTATTAGTTATGCAGGTCACAAATCTGTCTTTGGAAGAGAGATGCAGGAGAAAAACTAATGTAAAAACGAACATATCAAGCAATGTTTACACCCACCCACCCATCCACTAAACATGCCAAGGCACAGCAAAAGGGTTGTAAGAGAGTGCTGTGCTCAGATGATAGCAAAACCAAACTGTCTGGCCTTTGCGTTTAAAATAGTATTTGCGGCAAAAGACAATAGATCACATGGAACGTGATATCTCATCTAAAAATAGTAATGTAAGTGTGATACTATGGAGATCTATTTTTTTTTATTTCTAAGGGATGAAAGGGGGGGGGGGTAGGAATCAATTAGAAGAGAAGTAAACTAAGAAAAGGAACAATCTCCATGCAGTAACTGGGTGGGAATACACCTCCCAGCAGGCATTGAATCTAAACATACAGCCTCATCTATACTGGAATGGTTGGGATCCAAGTACAGTAATGCTTACAGTCAAAAGATTCTTTCTTTTGCAGGGAGACATACTCCCAAAAACCTTCTGCTAAAACTGGAGTAAAGATGGTCGGCAAACGAAATATGTTACTTATTTCCACTTCAGAGGTAGGATGTGTTATCCTCACAAAAAAAAAAAACATAATGGTAGAAATTACACAAAATGTTAATTTATAGGGAAAGTTCAGATTGTATGAATATATTTTACAAGTTTCTATAGTATTATAGAATTAACCTTGGTTGCACCAAAAATATCAATATATGCCGAATAACACATTGTTATAGATAGATAGAAAGAGAGAGAGATAGAGAGATAGATACTGTAGAAAAAAAAAAAAACAACTAACCAGTATAGCCTTGATCTCCATGTTGTTGGGATACTGAACACGTCCACCATATTGGAATGTTCTCTTCAGATTTTCCTGACAAGCCTTGGCAATACCTATCAAATCAGAACAGATTGCAACAAATACAACCCTATGAACATCCCAAAATTACTGACAAATGACTGGTGAATAAGGCATTCATTGGAAGTGTTTACGGCCTATTAACACCCTTTCTGGTCTAGACCGAAAGGGTGGAAGACCGAAATATCCCTGTTGAGTCAAAGTTCAGACAAGATTTTTTTTGCATAACTTTTCGTACGATTTCATACGAACTGATAATGAGAATATGCTGTCGGTTTCTGTCTTACTGCAAAGAACAAAAGCAATGCAGACTTTTCTCATCTTATTTGTGCATGACATGAGTCTGCAAGTTAAAAGCTGTGTTAAACATAATATTGCTCACCTAATAGCCTACTGTTAGTAATAATAATTTCCATTGGGTGTTTTGGGTGCATGAAAGCCGCCACTGCACTGCTTGCATCCTACTCAACAAGCTCTAATGCACTTTTTCTTGTGTTGAGACCACTGGTACCATGAGGTTGAGCATCCACATGAGGTTTCCCGGAAATACTCTCCTGTAAGTATTTGTTTTACATGGAGTGAATCAGATAGTGAATGATAATCTGCTTATTAAAATGTTTTATGGATTGTGTATGTCCGATTCTACCCCACCTTCTATGTGGACTGTGTGTTTCCAGAAGAACCTATATGGGGTTGAACCTTTAATCACGGGCTTACCTTGCGATTAGTAGAGTTAGCTTTGTATTTTCCCCAAAGGGGATGTGTTTTACTTTTTAAATGTGTCTCTCTCTGTCTCACTTTTGAGATTCTCTTCGAATTGCCACGTAGGTCCAACCAAAGTGGATAAGCTTTTACCGCAGTTGGAATCAAGAAACACGACTGCAGAGAACTGAGTGTGGTCTGACCAGCCCCTTGTATTTAAATGAAAGGTTAATGCTACAACTTGAAAGCATTTGATTTTCTATTGAATCAGACTCTAAATTGTGTCCAGTGTTTGGCCTTAACTCTGAGAATAAAGTCAGAAAGAAACATTAGCCCAAATTCACATCCTTTGTCTGTTGATCACTGGACTGAATATATGGAGGCTTTATGAGAGACTAAAGCTTCATTTTTGAATTTAAGATGTTTTTCTTTTCTTTTTTTCCATCAGAGTTCATCTCTAAGTATAATACCATGTTTTTTTCTTCCATTATGTGACAAACATATTTTTCTTTTTTTTTTAGTCTAAAAAAGACTCAATTTTCCTAGCTCTCAACCAGCATGTGCAATTTGGAGGAGTGTGTTTCTCCCCAGTGTTGCATCTCTATTTGCATCGTACTATGTTAATTAGCATGGTGATTGTAAATCTCTGAATTCATTTATGTGGCTTGGCAAGATTGTTTTCATTGCAGCCAAAGCAGTAGCAGAACAATCTGTGTACAGTAGTCATGCAGCGCCAACTCTGACTCTGGTAACCTGTCTGATGATAATGTACCACCACGATCTCAAAGTAAATGCATTTTCAGTCAAAACAGTGTGCTAGTTCTCATGCTCCATGGCCATTACAGGGAATCCACTGTATCCTTTTTGCTCATAGATGTTCTGATAGATTTTTAAAGTTGTGTTGCAGCATTGATCTGGAGTAATGGAGCCATTTTCAATCGGTCGATTGCATACCTTGGTATGGCATCCCAGGGCTGTCACAGGCATCCTGCAAAAACCTCAGCAAGAATGGTTTCATTACATCAGAGCAGCGATGAAAAGCTGTTAGGATATACAGCAGCCTCCATCCTCTCTGGCAACTATCCCTGAACAAAACAAACATGATGACATATTAACAGCCATCCAAAAACCTAAACACTGACAGTAACTTGTGAGTACAGGAAGTCTTACTGTTTTGAACTGGTGTTGTTAGTGACCTGCTTCATCACTTGGCAATAGGCTTCATCCCTTATCAGTCCATGATCGCTACTTAACTAAAGTTATGAAAGCATTGATTAATTTACACAAAACTATGCAAAGAGGCTCAATAAACACACTGAGAATTAGAGTTTATATATACAAAATAAATAAAAAATAACTCCTTCTGGGTACCGTTAGTATAGTAGCCACAAGGTCCTGCTCAGTTTGGCCTTTCATTGGAAAGTCTCCCATAAACTTCAAAATAGCTGGGGGAAAAAAGAGTACATAGAATAGGAAAAAGTATATTTACAAAGCATATTTCAAGAAAAACAATGCCTGGCAGTAGCACTGGGAATGATTTATAGGGAGATTTTAATAACACGTGTAATTTTTTTTTTTTTTTTGTTACTAATATTATTGTCTGAAATAAATAAATATTCATTCATTCATTCATTCATTCAATGTAACAGTTATCAAAACAGGATAAAACTATAGAATGAATAATTATCTTAAGTTCAGGACAAGATATAAGGGGGTATTTTTCTAAAACTATAAAAACAAAAAAAAACTTAAAGATATTATTGTGTTCATTTTTGTTCACTTCTCTTACCTATAGAGATATCAGCAGCCACTCTGTTCATCCCACTGTCGGAGAAGTCAATCAGTGACTCATACAGTGGAGACTACAAAGAAAAACAAAAGTAATGTATCTGCTGCTTTCAAGATTAAAACAAAAAATTGATAGCAATGCACCAATCAGTCTTTTGTCTGATTCAGAATTAGCCTCACTGTGACAGCCTGCTGTCACACTCTGAAGCAGTGTGGTAACTTTTACATCTTCAAAATGAGTTGCACATTTCATATATTTTCATTAGCCTGATTTTAAGTTAGCTTTTTGCAGTGCACATATTTAGTTAACTTTCTCAGGTTGTTGTTTTTGGTGTTTTTTTTTTTGTCAAGATGCAATTGATTAATCAGTTTTTTCTTTGAGTTGCCAGTTTCCTTGGGATCTGCTGGTGGAGGGCTGCAATGAGCTCCAGCTTTCCTCAATTGGTTGTTGCAGGCTAATCAGTGGGTCAAACCATTTGTAATGGGAAGGGAAATTTGTTTATCATTTGTTTAAATATTCTTAGTTTGGGTAATTTTGTTGATTAGTTAAATTTAAAATGTATTTAGTGTCTTGCCAGTATTTATCTGTTTAATTAAGTTTATTTGTTTATTAGTTTGTTAGTCAGTTATCCCCCTTATGTGTCAACAGTGGTCTGACCAGCCACTATTCAAGTTTCCCTCATGTGCTGTTTGTTAGGTCAGTTTGTGCTTGAGTTCTTTATGTTAAAGCCTGAATTGAATTCTGTTTTGTTAACCTCTGTTTTTGGGCCCAGTTTATCATTTTTTGAACATTTTGGGAATAAATTAAGACTTTTTTTTTTTTTTTTTGAAAAATTTCTGTGGTTTTCTGGCTGGTTTGTGCAAATCTCTCACACTCACATTTCCACTTCCAGCCTGTTCCATAATGGAACAAAGTTTAAAGCTCAAGGATAAAACAGAGCAACTTTGCTGTGATCTATTTAGCCTTCCTGTTATCTGCTGAAAACCTTGCACTCTCTCGTTTTTTTACGGCCTAATGTCTGAACAAGTCATAAAACTTTTCTACACCTATGTGCTTCTCCTGAATTTATCATAAAACACCAATATGGCAACTGTGAATTGATAACTGAGACTATATGGTGCGTTCTCTGATCATAAAAATATCAGATTTTGTGTTTCTACCTGGCCCTGGAAAATCAATATGACTTTAGAGATGGGGTTATTTTTATTTTAGTATTTATTTCTATTTTTCTCAACTTTTGAGCATTAAAGAAGATAGTTTTCTTCTAATTTGTCAATGATGTGATAATAGCACAAAGCTTTAACATGATTGAGAGTTTGAACCCTGACCCCATGTATCACCTTGGAGAATTTGATCATATCGGCGGGGTCCCTGGCCTCCTTCCCCTTTTTGGCTTTCTGATCACTGTGAGAGATAAACAAAAAAAAAAAAAAAAAAACAGTTGGTCTACTTATCCGAATCCAAATTTATAGACTGTATTATCATTTTGGCTGCACATGCGTCTGTGTTAATATGGCTGACCTCCTGTTCCTCTGAGCTTCCCTGAAGTACTTCTTGGCAAACTCAGTCATTAAATACTGATTGCTGTGCAAAGGCAGGTCATCCATTTCGGCACTCCAGCTGTCCCCATATTTCTCGTTTACAACCTAACACATGGAAAGCCCAAAGTTATGTTTTTGCACTGAAATGTGGGAGTATAATCTGAAGATACAATCCAAGTCTGCACCTCCGTGGAAAGCTCAAGTTCATGAGCAGCTACAGCTGATCCCATCGCCACAGCGACAGCGGCCGATGCCGCAACCCGTCCGTGCCTGTCCCGAGGTTCTACACGCTCAGCAGGCAGAAACAGGAAGTCGGGAGCAGCCACAGGATGGACGTAATCACCAGGAAACATTCCAGACCTTCCAAAAACAGCTCCGAACCGCCAACCTGTTTAAGCATAAACACATCAGTGGAATCATCAGAATTTAGATTAAAATCTTTTGATCATGATGGACCATTAGTCTTTAGAGCAAGTCATGATACAATAACATTTAACCAATGCACATGTCAGTGAATGCCACAGTGTCAAGTCTGTGGCATTCAGGGAGTTGTGGATAAGAGCATCACACTTTGGTCTCAGTGGTTCTGAGTTCAAGTCCCACACACTCCCACAGACTGCCAATCTGGGTCCCTGAGCAAGACCCTTAACCCCACCCTGCTCCCCAGGTGCCACACAATGGCAGCACACAGCTCCCCAAGGGGATGGTTTAAATGAAGAGAATGAATTTCGTTGCTCTGTTCTTCTGACAGTGGAATGACAATAAAAGGTAATAAAAAAAAGTTGGAAAATTCCCAAACAAAGGGTGCTAACAAAACAAAAGCATACAAAGTAAAACAAAAGACGTTGTAGCAAATAAAAAAAAAAAAACATTTATTTATTTATTTATTTTACCGTACTTGTGGAAATAATCTGATAATTTTAGACAAAATGTTTTCAAAATGAATTGATGAATGAATCATTCATTAAATACTCAAACAAACAAAAAAACTATAAATAAATAAATAAAGCCCTTCCATACCCACCAAAGTCTGGCGTGTCCTTCTTCAGCTCTTCCAGAAGCATGACGGTTTTTCTCACAATGCAGCCATACTTTTTGCCTGCACAAACAGACCCCCCCACACACACACACACACACAGTGGTTTGATGTGGCTTGTATGATGCTGCATTAATTATAGATAGTGGCTCAAAAAAGCAGAGAACAGATGTATTGAAACCAGACTTAACAATTTTTCAGTTTACTTCTATGTATTACTCACCAGAATCCAGCCCATCCATGTGCTGCAGCCTGATGATGTCTCCTTTGTGAAAGCTGAGGTGATTCCTGTTCTCAGTGATGTAATTCCTCACTGCTACAACATACTCTGAGTCCTGAGGAAGACCACCTTATTTAACTCTTCATCTCACATTTGAAGCTTCCAGTCTGGTGCTGGATTATATCACGTTATGATGCCTTACAAAGGTGAACCAGGGCCTTCAAATTTGTCTGATTTTGTCAATCTAGAATCAAAATCTTTAGTGTATTTTATTGGGATATTCTAATAGATCAGCAAAAGGTAAGGCATGGATTTGAAGTTGATTTACAAATGGAAATTTGGTAAATGTTGTAAGCATTGGTATTTAGGCCTCCTGAGTGAAAATGTTGGTGTGTCTCTGCAGTTTTTTATAGACTAACTTTTTTGCCCATTTTAATATTTTAACAAGCTTAATCTCACTGAGCCTAAGTAGAAAGTTTCAGAGGAAAACAACAATTTATGCCACAGACTCCATTTGGATTTAGATCTGAACTTTGACTGGGCTGTTGCAACACAACAATATGCTTTAGTTTAAAGTTCCATCCGAACAACAGCATGCCAACACTATGATGATGCCACCCTTATGTTATATCAAAAGTGGGGGTTTGCCAACTCACGTTGTTGCTGGTTTACAATTGGTCCATACCCCTGCTAACCCCTGTCTGTTTATTAAATGTGCATTTAGAGTCTGTGTCTCAGCAACATTTAATTTAGACGACATAACGATGATACTCTTGATTGATTGAATGTTGATAGTCTTTCACTGGTTTGGATTATCGATTAAGCAGAGCTTTTTGTGATGTTTAAAGCCTGGGATATAGTTGCTTAAAATCTTCAAGCATTCCTTGATTATGAATGGATTTTATCTAAACCTATCAGATAGTACTGGCAGAATAAAAATATACTGCAGACTTTCGACAATATCAAATCTCCCCAAAATAATCAGGTTGTTTTTCAGGTTGTTACCCGACTTGCAAACATTGACAATTTCTGCCGCCACTCAAAGACTGATCTGCTCCTTGATGGATCTGACCCATTGCTTACCTGAGATGTTATATTAAAAACATTTAGGCAATAAAAAACTGTCCATCTGAAGTATCGATAATAGAGTAAATAAACAGGACAGTGACTCAAAAGACAGAATTGCAGAAAAGCCAGTAAAAAAAATATGTTTCTGACCTTCTTTATCTCTGTGAGGAAGTAGTCGATCATATGTTTGACCTGCGGCGCTTTGGCAGAGAACAGTATCAGCTTTTCATTGGTCAGGTTGAACTCCAACATGTTCTTTGATGGGATAGACACAAACAGGATGTCCGAGTAGCTGCACGGGCAGTCAAAGGTCAAAGCAGGAAGTCAGCTTCAAGCCAAAGTTCAAAGCAAGTATATATTCTGGTCAAGGGCTGTAATATTTTATTATTTAAGGAAGTTTCCTAAGTGAGAAAACATGTTGGAAATATCTAAAGCACACCAAAAGTACACTAAATTGTTTTATCTGTATAAAATATACCTAGTTTTACCATAAAAGTCAAAATATTTGATTATACACTGTGTGGTTATTGAAGTGAAAATATTATGGGTAAGCCTTTAGATAAAAACTAATTATACATTTCTGTAGACTTTTAGTGTGGAAGTAGCATCCAGGAGATGCTGATTAAATGCATTATCAGCAACTGTGATCCTTTCTATGAAAGTTGAAGAGTTGTCTGCTTCTAGGTCTGGAATATACATGTAAACAAGAAGCAAATACTTAAGGACTGCCCTAAAAGCAGCAACAGTAGGAACACTGTTAATTATTCTGTTTAAAAGACAAACTGTACTTAAAACTCATGGTGATAGATCCAGTTTAGTTTCATTTGTCATTTTCATTTTCACGTGTCTTACACTGTTCAGCCTTTTAGGTTACCTTTATGCTTTACAAATGCTGTGTGATACAAAATAATAGAGCAGCAGGACTCAATTTTGCAAAGTTGCATCTCATTGAAAAAAAAGACCTCTGCAGCAGTGTCCTTTGGTCAGATTTGACCAAAGTAGAGATAATAGACCATAAAGCACGTTTTCTACAAGCAAACAATAAAAAAAAAACTGTCAATCATGATTTTAGCACAGCAAGGATTTAGAGACTTGGGAACCTCGCTATTTTGATACTGCCATAAGCTCTGCTATATACCAGAGGCTTCTGTGTTTAAAATTGAATCTTAACAGTCCAGCAGCTGATCCTGACCTGAAAAGCTCCCTGCCAACAACAGAGCAACCTTCTATGAAAAAAAACAACAAAAAGAGCTTGTGGTTAAAAAAGCAATCTACTACCATAAAACGAATGAAAAAGAAGCTGTTGCTGCTGAAGAAGTTCTTGTTCATGGTGTTACATCAAAGATGCTTAGCAGCACACAGCTTCTCAATGCTTTTTTATATAGTTGGTAACTAACAACACTGCTGAATCTGGTTCATGTTTATGAACATTTAAATATTATATCTAAATAATCTTTTTAATAAGCATTTTCATTATTTACTGATAAGGAAAGTCCTAGAATTTAAAATCGGGTGTTCTTTGTTTCATGAGGAATGTATTCAACGACTTTCCCCCAGTTGTCCTTCAAGACAGAAAAAAAAACATTTTTTTCTGACCTGTACTGCTTTCCTACAGCAGCTATCAGTCAAAGGGAGCAGAGATCACTGTGATGCAACTGCAAAGACTGTGATTTACCAGCAGTGCAAGATGCTCCAAGGGAGGATAATCTCAGATTGGATGTGGTTTCATTTTCAATGCAGTAGCTGTTTCTTCAAAAACGTAACCAAACTATCACAAGCCAACAAGTTGGGTTCACCTGTAAGGCCTCAGCACTCTGAAGTAGTCTGAAGCAGTGGAGCTGCTCTTCACCAGCTTCAACAGTTTGATGCCGGTATGCGACACAGACAGGACCTGCACCCCCGTTCCCACGCTGCCCTGAAGAACACACACAAGCAGCACACATATCCACCACAGGCTTATATTACAAACAACTGGCATTCATACAGGCCTAAAGGAGAAGGAAAGCAGTTTTGGGAAACTCACAGAGGCGGGAAAGAGGCGGGAGAAGTAGATCTCCCAGGAGTCTTTGGCCATGGTCACCACTCTTTTCTTCACACTATCATCATTCGTTCCTGAGGCCTGATCCACTTTGTTCTGGGCTGTTATAAAGAAAATGTACCTATCAACTCTTTTCGGTGGCAACCTGGTTATAGATGTGCATTTCCTCCACAACACAACATTTTGATGTTTAATCATTTATTTATTTTTTTTTTACCAAAAAGGTCTTTCATCTTCTGCCTTTCTTCCTGAGTGATGCGGACGCAAGCCTCGGAGAAAGTATCGTGTAAAACCTTCAAAAAACAGGCACAGACAAGAGCATATAGAAAAGATAAAAAAATAGAAATTCAACTTTATTGTTCTCACAATGGAGAAATGAACTCTCTAACCCTATATATATATATATATATATATATATATATATATATATATATATATATATATATATATATATATATATATATATACATATATATATATATGCATTGCATTTCAAGCCACTACAATCCTCCAGGATGGCCTTGCAACTAACTCCATCCATCTTCCTCTCACCTCACTCAGATCAGCTCTTCTTTCCATTTTGCATGCAGCGTTTATTGTTGAGTATGGGCATGAAGAAATGAGGTGGAGCCTTGTTTGCAAACTTTAAGGTACAGGTGTGATTTATAAAGGAAAATTGATTGGCTTTGTGGGTGATCATGGTTTTACATATCAGGATTCTTTTTTAGCTGCACAACTTCTTCAGGTATTTGGGCAATGTTTTATTTAGGTTCCCAGATCTGATCCTTGATGGGTGCCTGTTCTTTAATGCTCTCTGACAAACCAGAGTTTTTCACAGAACAGGTGTACTGTACTTACACAGAATAAATTGTAAAACAAAATGACTCTATTTATAAAATAGGACACTTCTTCAGTGAGTTGGTAGCACTAAGAATAAAAAGGGCTGGATACCAGTGGCAACTGCTGGTCTCTGAAACAGTGGAGGCTCATTGGTGGTAATTAAATCCAAACCGTACGTATTGCATTGACAAACGTACATAAAATCCATCACTACAATGGTTGAAAATAGCTGCTGGGAAGCACCCTGAAATAATAAACGCCAGAAACCACAGCAATAGTTCAGCACAAGATGACTGTTCAAGACAAATATTTTACTAATAGTTTTACCAAATATAAAGGGGATTTTCTGCCACTAGCATAGCATACAACGGTTCAACAATTCTAAAAATTGTAACCATGCATCATTTCTTTCATTTCATAATTATGCTTTAGCAACATTTCAAGGAGCAGTTATTTCTGCAAGAGAGTTGTTGCAAGATTAAGCAGAAACTTGTACTCTTTTAATATTTAATATTAAAAGTGTAATACAGCACAGTTAAAAATGCACTTTGCCTTCATCTAAAGCAAATTCTAATCCATCTAACAACTGTCTGCAAGCGTTTATCCTTGGAGGGGAAGAAGGCTGGTGCTTATTCTCCAGCTGTAATACATAATTTTAATTTAAAATCAATGATATATATATATATATATATATATATATATATATATATATATATATATATATATATATATATATATATATATATATATATATATATATATAAGAATTTGTAAACTGAACAAAAAAGTCTGATGTAAATGGGTATCTTTGACCAACCTGCTTGAAAATAAGGTCCAGGGTCAATGGATTATTTAGGTTCTCCTTTGGGTAGAAAACCTGTATTGGAGCATAATAAAATCAGGAATTCATCATAAAAAAAAAAAACATTAAAACAGAATTCTAATGAATTGTAATGAGAAAAAGGTCTCAGACCCACCTCTTTCCTCAAGAAGAGTTTCCAGGGGACATTAGAGTAGGTGTAATATTCATCGCTGGTCCTACTGTGAAGCTGAGTCTGAATATTTTCCTCTTCTACTGGTAAATCTCTAGAGACTGAAGAACCACACTTATTAAATCTAGCCAGAGCTACTCTTCACATACATGTCGAATTATGCCAGAGTAAGAGCTATTTACTTTAATGCTCATTAATTGATCTGATAATCTCACCTGGAGGATGGGTTGGGGTCATGATGGAGCTGGGTGCTGGCTCTGCAGGTCGAGACTTGGCTAATTTAATAGCTTTAACTCCTTCATCTTCCTTGAGTTGGGAGGGCTTCTTCTGTGACTGAGAATCACGCAAATGAGTGGAATTTTATTTCTTTGTGATTTAGATATTGGGTATTTAAACATTGGTGGCTGGCTAGCTCAAGTAGTAAGTCAGCCATCCTGCAAACAGGAGGCCTGGGTTCGCCAGTGCCAGTACCAAAGCACTTTACTTGGTACTGGCACTTGGGTGCTTAGGCAAGACCCTTCATGCTAATGCCTGCTTTGGGGAGTGGTGGCCTAGTGGTTAGGGTGTTGCGCTTGGAAACCTCAGGTTCTGAGTTCAAGCCCCACTGCCACAGACTGCCACTCTAGGTCCATGAGGAAAGACCCTAGACTGCTCCCCAGGCATCGCACAATGGAAGCCCACTGCTCCCCAAGGGGATGGGTTAAAGGTAGATAGTTCATTTCGTTGTTCTGTACTTTCTACAGTGTAACAATCTGCCAAATCTTTCATTCCCGGGTGGATCATCTCAATAAGTGGTCCTCCTAATTGTCAATCATTCTGGTGACATGTTTACGTAAGGTCATCCTACGTGCTCACCCAGTTAGCTATCTATTTCTGCGCTTGTGTGGCGTACATGTGTGGTGAGCTACAGTTTTAGACAGTCATTGAAGGTCACCTTTCTCACCGCAGTTCTTTGAAAATGGCCAAGGGTCGTAGGAGAAAAAGTGTCTACGAAGTGTATGAGAAGAAAAGAAAGGTAGATATATCCCGGAATGCTTCTCATGGAGAGCTCTCCTCGCAAAGCATTATGGGATTTGCTGTTAGAGCGACCAGCTGTCACAATAGCCTCTCGCAACCGGACAGGGACGACTAATTACAAAGATGGCGCAGGCACCGCACAGGGGAGGAGGAGGTGATCATCTGTCCGAACGGTCAGTTAACTGAGTCCACTCTATAGTCCCCACTCTATTTATTGATTGAGGGATTTAGGGTTTAGGGCTGACGTTCAGTTACAAGGTTGTGCATATGGATTTTTTTAAAAGTGGAGAGGGCGGGTCATTACAAAAACTTTGCGAAAATCCTCTACTATACCTTTAATGAGGTTTCTGTGTAGAGCAGGATTCGTCAGTTCCAGTACTCAATGTATGGTGTCCTGCACCTTTTAGATTTCTCTCCGGCTGAATTCAAATTCAGGGACTGCGTCTTCAGAAGGCCAGATTCATAGGCCAATTACCTCATAGCGTGGCGTTGAGGTCAGTTCGGATTACAAAACTCCTCACTTTACTCGCAGCCAACAAATGCATCCTTCTTTTTGCCCGTTTTGTAGGACGGGTCCGGTGTATCCTACGTAGCCTTGGATATCCCATGATTCATTGGGAAACCAAGTAAGCCGGCTGCTCCAATCTCAGAGGAAAAAGGTACTTGGCGCCGTACAGTGGTGAATATTGGAAGTACAGTTTAATATAATACAAGTATGTGAATAGTTTTGTCTGAAATGAATTAAAATTGTTTTTTTAATGGTTATTGAGTCAGATATGTGGCGGGTAATGATTGATTTATTGAAAAGTTTTTATGTGTTACTGTCTAAATTGGTGTGGCTGTAATTTAAGGACAGATTTCTAACATATATGCAATGTGGGGACTATAAGGCTGATATGATTTTTATTTTTAATTGCTATTTTGCACAATTTGGTATTTTTGGTATAAGTATTTTTTGTTGTTGACTATAAGAGATTTTGCAGATATATTTTTTATACGTACATTGTTTAGATTTGCTTATATCTTTTATATATTTCATTATTGGTATTCATTATTTTCCTGCTTTTTGTGGTATCAGCTGTGGAAGGCTAGACCTGTTTGAATCTACAGCAAAAACTCTTTCGGCCTCCTTATTTTCATGGACTTCGAAGGATCCAGTCCAGGTAGACCGCTTCCTTGGAAGACGTAGCCCATAAATTCGAATTTAGCCTCTGCTTCAACACAACTTCTTCTTCTTCTATTTGTTTAATGGAAGATTGCAACCTTGACTTTTAGGTGCATACTGCCACCTACTATACCGGAGTTTGTAGCTTGAGCCATATCAATGTGATGATTTTCAAAACAACTGATTCAGATGATCAGGTCATAAATATGACTCTGGATAACCTGACTGTATATTGAGGCAGTACGTGGCTGTCATTAAGAGGTGGCAGTCTGCAGTACCGGGCCCCCCGAGGGCACCATCCTGTTCCTCTTCATCCTTTACACCTCAGACTTCACCTACAACACAGACAGCTGCCATCTCCAGAAGTTCTCAGATTACTCGACCGTTGTAGGCTGTGTTTCTGAGGGGAACGAGCTGGAGTATCGATTGATCATCATGAACTTTGTGGACTGGTGTGAGAAAAACCACCCATGTCTTAACACTGAGACCAAAGAGATGGTGATTGACTTCAGGAGAAGACCCCCACCTCACTCCCCTGTGGACATCCAAGGACAAACATAGAAACTGTGTGGAGAGTTTCAAATACCTGGGTGTTCATATCAAGAATAAACTGGACTGGACTCATAAAACCGATGCCCTGTATAGAAAGGGCCAGAACCGCCTCAACCTCCTGAGGAGGCCGAGGTCCTTTGGAGTGAGCAGGCCCCTGCTTAAAACTTTCTATGACTCCATGGTGGCATCAGCCCTTGTCTATGAAGTTGTCTGCTGGGCCCCTGGCAGCACAGAGCGGGTCAGAAAGAGACTCAACAAACTAGTAAGAAAGGCCTTCTGTCCTAGGCTGCACTCTAGACTCAGTGGAGGAAGTGGTTGAGGGGAGGGTGCTGTCCAAGCTTACATCCATCATGGACAACACCTTCCACCCTCTGCACCAGTCTGTAGAGGAACTGAGCATCTCCTTTAGTGAAAGACTTTTAGACCCTGTTAGTAAAAAGGAACGCTACCGCAGGTCATTCATCCCTGCTGCCACCAGACTCTACAATGCAAAACTCCAATGGCAATAACTTGTGCAACGTTTAATGTGCAATTTACAATTTGATACCCTGTGCAATAACTGTTCTCTATACTTGACACCCAGTGCAATAACTATATATATAAATATAAATATCACTCCATATAAATACCAATGCAAACACCCTGTGCACAACCCTGTATAATGATACTACTACTAAAAAAAAGCTGTCATATGTGGACACACTGTATATACTGTATATATCCCATGCTCTTCTTCTTTTACTATTTGAGCTGATGTAACAAGTACATTTATCCACTGCGAGATCAATAAAGGCAATCAATCAATCAATACTGAGGCAGTAATTAAGCCATTTGATTCAGGTGTGAAAACAGAGACCGTAGGTTCAGTTTCGTTCATGTTTCCTGCATGTGAGGAAGCCTGGTGTATAACACTGTTGTACCAATTGTACCCGATAGTCAATATGTAAGGAGACCTCAGAGGTTGTCATCAGGAGATTTCGGGTAAGTGCAACACTGATAACCTTTGAGCCAAGTTTTGAAACCTGAACTCTGCTTCAATTTTAAAAGTCAGAGGCAACTCTTGAAATATAACAATAGAATCATTATAAGTTGTTGTGACTTTTTTTTCTATGGGTAAATTTAGGACTGAACCACAGTGTGAAAAATACGTCAAAATACTTGTTTTAATGTGCATAACCAATCATCTATGCTCTACTATAGGGCTACTCAAGTCTGGTCTTCTAGAGCTACCATCCTTATCCATCTCTTCTCCAACACACCTAATTGGAATAACTTACTCATTACTCATTACTTAGCCTCTGCTAGGATGAATGAGCTGCTAAGGGAATTTAGTCATTAGATTCAGGTGTGTTGGAGAAAAGATGCATCTAAAAGTTGCAGGATGGTGGGTCTCAGTGACATTATCTATAATATCCAATACCCATTAATTTTCGAGCTGACTTTTAATGCTGTATTGTAGAAATTATCTAGGAGCTGGGATTTACCGGTTGTGGGGGGTTTGCCATTTGATCTTTAAGGATCTCCATTGCTTCATCATGAGGGTTGGCTTTTTTGGAAAACTTCTTCCCATCACTTTTCCTGGACAAACATGAAAATATTAATAAATACATTTAATTTTCATTCAAAAGTGCTTTAACTAAACACTCGTTCTAGATCAGACCAATCAGATCAGGCAATGCATTTTGTTTAATAACAAGGTAAAAGATTTAGCAATAACAATTCATTTATTCCTAATTTATCTATTCAATTTCAGTGCAGAATATTTGCAATGAATGGGGCCTTGGGGGTGTTCATATTACCTTTTAGTTGGAGACCCAGCCGAGGATGTTGTGCCTGCAGGCTGGTGCTGTTTGATTATGTCTTTGATGTCATGACTCGGGTCAATGCGCTCTGTGTTGCTCACACTGGAACGAACTACATCCTCAGGAGGAGGCCCACGCGTTGTGCCTGAAAAACAAACCATGAACAAAAAAACAGACATTCACTGGTAATGAGACACGTCTGATCTATTTGAAAACCGGATCTTCAGCTTTAATGACATTTAAAGAACAGAATAAACGTACTGCTTTTCCGCTGGACAGCTGGAGGACTGTGCTTGTATGACTCGCTGCTCTCTTTTGTCTGGAAAAAATACATACATCATTCAAGATGATATTTAAAAGTGATTATATCAGCAAAAAAGGAGATTTGCTTACTTACAGGGCTCGGTGTGCGTGAGCGTAGTGGTAGGTTTTTGTGGTGTGGTGGTGGTGATTGGGGGGCTGGAGCAACAGGTGGGAAGGACGAGAACATCTGCTGCTGGATTGCCATAGCTTGCATGGTCATCTGCTGGGCCTGCCCCACAAACACATTTATTTGTTCTATATCAGCATATTGAGAATTACAAGTTCACTTTACTGTTAAAGTTTATGCCTCTTTACACATATCTTAAGTCTTTGTTTTATAATTAGTCGGTCAAACAGGGATCAGAACCAAAGTACATAGGATGGTGTTTAATTCACACTTTCCAAAATTAATATTGAAATGCAATATTGTTATATATAAAAAATTAAGTAATTTTACGAGGAAGATACCTAATCAAAAGGGGAAAAAATCTTTGGTTTAGGTATTTTTAGTTACAAAGTTGTAAAGGGATGTAATGGAAAAATGGATTAAAATATGGATAAATGACTTAACTGACACAGAACTGAATTTTTATACAGTTTAGTAAAGAAATTTGGTCAAACCAAGCTTCTTTATGCTTCTGGTGATCAACATAAAAGTTGTAGGATTTTTTTTTTTTAGGCATTTTTTTTCTTACTTTATACCCAAAGTGATTCATTATTTAGGATGGCCTATAGAAACGTATTAAACAGTTTATTTGATTAATTTTAATTAAGCTTGTTTGGGTTTGTCAGTTTTGTAAGTTGTGAGCTGTAAATGCAATTATTAATATAAACTTTTCTTGAGACTTAAAAACAATCTTTTCCTTTAAAGGGGCCCTGTCATATACCAGGAGGATAGTAAATCACCAAAAAAATATTAAAATAAAGCAACATATGCTAGTAATTTGCCCTGATAGTGTTTACTTAGTCTTTTCTATGCCTGGAAATAAGCGATCAGCTGACATAAACATTGTTGTACGCCGTTGCAAACTGTTGTCAGTACTTACTAACGCATCCATCAACTTCTCTGCTTAGGCAGCTTTACATAATCATTCAATAAAAACAAGCTTTCATATATTCCAATATATTCAAAGCACTACTTGTATCTCCTCCCTCTTGGTATCCAATATTCTTCTTTACATTTGTACACTTGACCTCTGACTTTTCCACTTTTTTTCTACATTTCTCTTTTGAAAATTACTTCATTTCTTACCTATTGTGCTCATGCACAAATACGAACCTTTTCTCTTTTGTGTTAATTTCAAAAATGCTTCAGGTTAATAACAAATAAAGCAAAAGCAAAGAGTAAAACACACAAATAATAATATATTAAGAAAATAGGGTGCCATAACTTAATAAGTAAGCCTTTTTATGAAACCAGGGTGAGCTACTAAAAGAAATTCATAAAGTTGTAGTATGTGACAGGGCTCTTTAGAACTCCATCTAATGTAATGTAATTTCTCCTTTCCTCAACACTGCAAAATTTTAATCTAAATTAGTATTTTTCTTTTAAATAAGTAATTTTTTTCTTGAATTCAGGTGGTAGGTGAGAAACTTTGTCAATTGAACAAGAGCATTTACATTTAAAATAGGAAAAAACAATTGCATTGTCTTATTTTAAGGGTAAAAATACTCATTTCATTGGCAAATCATCTTATTTAACTACTCAAATTAAGGGTAAATACTCTTAATTTAAGACCTTTTGACTTATTTCTAGATGTGGCAAATATGAGATATTAATTTATCCTGATTTATAGACTGAGTAGTATTTAATTTAAATGTGTATGCAGAGGGTGTGTCTGTAAATTTGTTCTTTATGCCACACATTATACAGATCTTAAGCATTTTTTAAATGTGCTTCATTTGATTACTTTAGTATTTATAATTTTTGTGAGTAGAAATAAGACTAAATAAAATTTTCTTCTTTTCTATCCATTTCTTCAGTTTGTCTAATGTCAACTGGACTAAAAGGCATTTATCCATATAATATTTTGTCATCTGAATAAAGTGTTACCATGTTATTTAACTTTGTATAGCTATAGAACTAAAGAACAGAATGGTAGAGTGAAAAGGAGACGACTCGCACCAAAATTATAGCTTGCTGGTTGATGATTGCTTGTTGCTGCTGAGTCAGCACCACTTGTTCCGATCCTGAGGAAGAAATCAGCAATGAAACATTGACCACATAAATATATAAAAGTAAAATGCTGCAGAGGAATAATGCCTGAGATGTTTTTCCACAGTTAACAATTTCTTCCCTAAGAAAGCTTTTTTTTGCTCTACTTTGAAAGGAAGGAGTTTTTTTTTTAAATCTATTCTCCTATTTTCAGAGAAGAGCCAACTCTGTTTTAAAGTAAATATTGTTTTAACTAGAGTTAACTTTACTCAGACATTTTTCCTGACTGAGCATGCATTTATTTCACAAAATACAATCCACACATAAAAAACTTTCAAACTTTTTTTTTTAGAAAGATGGGAATCAAATAAAAACATTATTATGGATTTCATAGTTATACTGGAAATCCACCATGCCCACTCATTTCAGGCCAAACATGCTGGAAAGTCTAATTCACACCTCATCCTTCTTATACCTGCTGCACCTGTCATCACAGGTAAGCCTGGAACTGCAGGCATAGCCGGGAGTGCCGGCATCCCCGGCATGCCTCCAATATGAGATGGTGTGTCTGTTTCTCTATTAGCTGCTGTAGCAACAGCAGTGGGGGGCCGAGAAGGCAAAGGGGTGGGAGCTACACGGGAGGCAGGGAGGGGTGTGGAGGAACCAGGTGGGGGGTAGGGCTGTTGGGGTCGGTTATACTGGTGGTACTGGGGCTGCTGCTGTTCCTGCTCTTGTTGTTGGTGTCGTTCATGGTGATGGTGGTGGGAGGGGACGGGCATGGGGGGCATCATTCCTCCAGCTACTGGCAGCACTGGGACGGCTTTAAGAGCAGCGGGTAAGGAACAAGATTAGAGTCAGGAAAGTGTTTCCCACTGGCCGCTACAGCAGGTTTACTAACTGAACCAATCTGGTATATGACCATAGAGACAAAATAAAGAAATATAAATCTAATAAAGATTCTTCTTATGCTGACAATTTATAAAAGTGTGAACTGCTGTATTTATCCAAACTGCTGTATTTATCCAAACTGCTGTATTTATCCAAACTGCTGTATTTATCCAAACTGCTGTATTTATCCAAACTGCTGTATTTATCCAAACTGCTGTATTTTAACTGAGTTAAAAATGGGAACTTAACTCCATCTGCTCATTCATCCAAAGTGACTTTTTTCTTCATTATTCTTTGGGAACTATGTTGAACTAAATCAGGCTGGATAAAGAGAATTTCTGAACAGTATAAAGGTGCAGCATTTTTTACTTTATTATTCTCACCGCAGGCTCCTATTTGTATTTGTATTTGAAAAAGGACTTGAACAGTTTTTAAACATAAATACACACTGATCTATACCAGCCATTCTGGCTGTATGTTTAGGAGCTGAATTTTGAGCAGCTGTATTTAGCAAGGCACAGTCAATCTATAACCAGAGGCAGCAATCACATGCTAACCCCTCAATTTATAATAATAATATCCCCAGTTTTACCCTCTAACATTTTAACTTCTCTCCTTCAATTCGTCCCTCTTTCCTTTGCTACATTTCTTAACTTTACAGGAACCTCTTTTGAATAGTAATGGATTAATTATGCATAATAATATACACTATATTGCAAGAAGATAAATTACAAAGTGAGCAGAGTAACCAGAAGAATAAAATTACATTATTAATATAAATGGAAACTGGAGTGTAACAGTTTAAAAACACCTGTTGTTACAATGAATGGGCATTCATGCATTATGGATGAGGCTAGTGCTCATTATGGCTTCTAAACACCCGATTAAGGGTGTTGACCTGTGGAAATGAATCTTTGAACAACTGAACTAAAGAGTCTATTATCATAAAAAAATTAAATTCAATTATCATTGTATTTGTATAATTTTTAACTATTCACTTTTGGAGGTATGAGAGTAATTTCAATTCAATTAAATTCAGTTAATTTATTTAGTGCCAATTCACAACACGTCATCTAAAGGCACTTTACAGTTCAACCAGATCATACAGTCAAACTGATTCAAAAGAGTAAAACAAATCAACTCGACACATTCTGAGTTTGTGGAAATCCACTAGAGCATCAAGGTTTTAAGAACCACATGAGATCAAGCTGAGTAACTGATGCCAATCAAAAAATATGTTTTTTTAAAAGTGAAAAATAAAAAATGCACAGAAAATAAAATACACAGAACAGAAAGTTCATATAAAGCAGGAGGAAAGTTCAAAGTTTCACCTCCAGGATGGATCCCAGGTGGATAAGGCCTTGTGGGAGATGTATGCCCCTCTCCTCGACCTTCTGCGATGCCCACACCTCCTCCTCCTTTCATTCTAGTGGACAAACCAGTCTTCTCCATGTTCTGGCACACAGAAAGCTCATTTGGATAAAGTGGAACAAAATGTATGTTTGCAGGTGAGGAGAAGCGGAAGTTTAAAAGACATGAATGGAAGTAACAGTGTGTGCTAGTAGAGAAGAGCCCAGAAAGGAGGTAGAGTGCTGTATGATTCAACCCGTCAATTAGAGAGCGAGTCGAGGAACTGAATACTCCCCAGGAAGTACCATACACACTGTAGTAATGCTCAACCACACATACGCTCAAACCCATAGGGACACAAAATATACACTTCTGCAACAGATTTCCAAGTTCAGTTTCATTCTTCTAAGTGAATATAAATTTTTTTAATTGCAGACTCTCTAGTTTGCAGATTTCCTAATCATTATAATTCACAATAAGATAGCAATGTGTCAACGACTGCAAACACAAGGAAAAACCTTGTAAAAATCTCTTCCTTTTTTATATTCTGTAAACAGTAGTGAGAAGAAAACTGTTCCCAAGGATGTTTAAAATACATTGCCTGCTTTTACAATCATATACGGTAGCCCGTTAAGAAACCTAATCATCCTCATTGTCTGCCCCATTCATACACAAACAGAGAAGGTAGATCACATGTTCCACTCTTCCATCAGCACCCATTTCCATCCACTCTCAAATAGCAGAGGACCTTGAGTGAACTACTTTATCAGCCTTTAAGGATAAACTAATGATGCATTCTCTGTCATATTCATATCTATTAAAATGTATTCAAAATGGAGCTGTGGTTTCTCTTCATTGCAGAAAAACAAAGACTTAAAACTTACCATCCCCAATATAAAAAATAGCTAAAGCAGGTCCTAAGGAAATTAACAAAACTTCTTTTTGATTAGATTTATTAGATTAGATTTATTTAGAGGTTTCACAGTAGAGAGAAACAATCGAAATACAGTCCAATACTTTGTATAGTTTTAAGCATAAAGCATTGGAAACTCATGTAACATTTCTGCACATTCTCAATAAGGGGAACCTCTTCCTGTTGGTCAGTCACATAACAGCCCATGGTTAAGGCGTTAACAGGATAAAACCATTACAAAAACTACCAAAAGTATAAGCTGTGATGAAGCAACGAGAAAACTCTATGTTATGCTGCAAAACTGTAGATTATGCATGAATTGATAGTATGGTGAGAGTAAATCTGAGCTGTGTGGTGTCCAGGACATCAGTGTGAGCACTCACTGTGCCGTTGTCTGATAGCACAGGGTCAAACAAGCTATCCAGGTAGCGGTCCATTCCTCTCTGCGTTTGACCTTCGCTGAACGTGTCTGACTCTGCTGGACACACAGAAAAACAGGCAGGATAGTAGTAGCATTTCTCATTTAGAGTGATCCATTAGATGAGGAATGACCTTTAGCTGCCTCTGCACATTTACTTAATTGGTTTACTAATGTAAAAATGACATTAGAATAATTTCCCTGTTGACCCACTTTGCTGTTGTGACCCTTTGGTAAAATAAAATCTTCTGAAAACTCTGGAAAATTCCAATTTCTCATAGATTATATGTTAAGTAAGTATTTTAGTGCTTCAAAAGTAGCTTTGGTTAATGGAGATCTGACTAGCTTAAACTAAGACTGTAGATCTAGAAGAAGATGTTCTCAGAATAGCATTTTATAAACTACATCACTGTAGAGAACCTTAATTCACCTAAGTAAAAAAACAGACAGATTTCATGAAGAAAATAGACCCTTAACCATCTTCCTTCACTGCTGTAGGGTTTTACCTCATGCCAACAGGAAGTTGACTGAGTGCTGAAATAAACCAGCAAGGCTATGCAAAACAGGGGCTACTGCAATGACTCTGTCTGCCTAAATAATGTGGAAACCTTATTGTTTTGTTCAAGTTTTTCTCACAACTATCATTTAGCATTGTAGTGAATTATAGGTTGACTGAGTCTTGCACAGATTTTAGAATTAGGGTGTTTAAGGCTAAAGCAAACATTTACTCCTAACTTCCTCTCAGTTTCTTTGTAAATCAATCTAAATAGTTTTTCCTTAGCTCATAACAGCATAGCTGTCGGACACTAAATGTTAACACACTACCACGTTTTTTTGCATTTCAACTCCATTTTATGGATTGTACCTCTTCCTTTTCTAACATGGGGTATTGAATATAACTTTCTGAGCAATAAAAAAAATTAAAAGAGATGATATTAATGGTATAAAAACCATGACGATTAGAAATCCTTGCAGATGCTAAAAACTGTGTTACATCCTCTAGGTAGGAACTTCTCTCTGCAGCACTTTTTGTAGGATATTATTTTGCATTTTGAATGGCTGCAATTTGAAATATAATACCTAATTATATGTAGAAGCTGATTGGATCGGATTACTAATCATACAGTCTTGAAATGTACATACCAGTGCAGATACAGTGCTGCTAATAATATACACAAGGTTATGAGTGTTTAGGGTGAGAGTTTTCCTTAGTGTGTGTCTGTGTACCATGGCTGTAGTAGCCATCAGAATCAGGCAGGCTGTAGGCTGGTCTACTGCTTAGAGGAAAGGAAGATGGAAGATCTTCATCTGAGTCAAAGCCGCTGCCTAATAAGGTGCTGCGATGAGAAAGGAAACAATCCACCATGTTAGATAAATGTGACAGTGCCATCCTGTACTGCATGTGTTGCTGTTGAGTTTATTCTGCAGACTGACAGGCTGGTATTTGCTCTGACTCTAGCTGGGTTATCCGTGCTGATGATAAAGTAACTCTTCTGCTTGGGAAAATCCACAGGAAGCTCCAAGTCCGCTATCAGGTCCAGCACATAGTCATGACCGGCTAATTCCACCCACTGGCTCTGCTCCTTCATCAGAATTGAACTCCCCCTCCACCAGTCAGAAACACCTCTGTAAAACCAAAAGAAATGTTCAGAATCCAGAGTATTACATTCAGCACCCTAGAGGAAAGAGGGTTCAATATGTCTCTGAATTTTCCAGTATGGCACTGCACCAGAAGACTGGTCCATCTTTTTTTTTTTTTTACGCATCCTTACCACAGGGTAAAATAATTAAAAGTTGTGGTTGCGGTACATTCACACAAATGTTGACTGGAACCATAAAATGATTATGCTTAACCATATAAAACATTAGGGTTTTTTTTCTGTAAAGGAATGTATGAAATAAAGATTAATTAAGACCATTAGCACCTGTGACGCAGGATATGTCCTGCTAAATCCTCCCCGCTGGTCCAAGAATGAATGGAGCACAAGAAGGAACCTCCTGCAGAAAAAACAAAACACCAAATAAAACAGCTGATTTTTTATCCCTTCAGATCTGCAGAGACAATATGAGGCGTTCATTTAAGACATTCGAGTTCAAGACACAGGATACCGTCTGGTAATGAATAATTAATTGTCAGATAATGAGTCGGTAATGGACCTCACTGAATAATAGTGATGTTTGGTATATTATCCTTTTGTCTTAAGTAATCACCTTTAAATTAGTTTAAGAAAACGACATAAAAAACAAGTTTAACTGTAAGAAGGGAATAACATAAAACTTCAAACTGAATACAGAAAAATGGTGGCAGAGAGGTGTAAATGTACTGCAAATGCCTAATGAGCAGCAAATACAACAAGTGCTGCAACCTCATATGCAAAAGGAAAAATTCAGCAAGTAGTAGGATACAAATTGTTTTCTTACCTGTTTTTTTTTTTTTTTTTTTTTTGCTACATGCTATTTTCCTTTACATGTGTTTGTTTATAATAATAGCATTGTTTATGTATATGGAGCCAATTTTGTGTTTGCAGCTCATTTCTGCTTTCTGTAATTGAAGTTTTTATCCGTTGCATAATTTCCCTCTGCATATGTTTTTATGTTAGTCTAATTTTTGCATTTAAAAGCAGTACTTTTTGAATTATTGAGCAATTATTGAGTCACAGTATGTTTGCACCCCTCAACCACTGTAAAAAAAAAAATCCTAAAATGGATTTAATTTACATAAACCTTCTTTTAATGTATGCTTTTGGCATGTTCTGAAGAAAGACTTTCAATTTGTAGATCTTTTATATGTTGTGAGCTGAAATCTCACCATCAAAGCAGTGCACATGCAAAACCATGTTTGCCTTCTTCCTATTGGCTGTCCACTCCAGCAGCGACAGTGGATAGGTGCGTGCAGCTTCAGGGAAAGGGCCTGAGCTTTGCTGGATCTTCTGACTGGCTTGGATGAGTCTGTGCTGCAGTAATGCCTGGCAGCCAGTAAGGGCATGATCTGACACAAACCTGAAAAAATGATTCACAAAAGGAAGGCAAAGGAGCTCATTTGGAGTGTTTTTATGTTCCATTTTTGGAGATGGTGTACTTAGATAATATACACAGATTTTTAATGAGAATCCCTCTGTCTAATCAAAGATTTTCTCATTACTGGTCAAGACTTTTCTGATTTGTTTCCTTTTTCTTAAATACTAACATGGTCTTGGGCAGCTCTTAACATTTATCCCCCTTTTGAGGTAAAACATTATTGGGTTTGGGTTCTCACTTCAGAAGGTGTTTCTCCATCTTGGGGGATGGAGCGAAGCTGCAAACGCACGCCAACAGCAGCAGCCAGCCTCTGTCAGCGTTTTCCGAGTTTGTGTTTCTCCACACCTGATTTACAACCTGAGCAAAGATCTCATCTCTTAAACCAGGAGACGTTAGACCCCTCTGGATGATGTAACTCCCGAAAAGGTTTTCTTGAGCTCCATTCAGGTGAGGGTCCCCCATAAACCGCAAAACCTGAGGATGCCAGAAGAAAGGCACAAATATAGTCTTCCCCCTATCTTTTTGTTTTAATGGTCTTATTGTTTTATCTGAGATTTGTGACATTATAAAGTAAAAAAAGAGTACAGTAAGTGAAAAAGTCATTTTACCATGTTAAAAAGCTCCAGAGCCTCCCTTTTTAGGTCATCCTCCACCTTAGTAAGAGGTGACTCCAGAGGGGCCATTAACATCCCAAATTTGGGTTCCTACAAAAAAAAAAAAGATATTATTTTTCAACCCTGTATTGCGCAGAATCTTACCAATTTAAAACTCCATTTGGCTTTAGATGGACAGATTTCCCATTTGTTATTACCAACACCATAACCATCTCAATACTCAACTAAGCTACAGTATATAACAAAGGGCAAAGCTTTTAATGTTTTTATTAAAAATAAAACGAAATCTTAGAAAAGTTGACTTGCAGCTGATTCTGGAAGTCTTTATAACCCTGGTTTCTGAATTTGTTTTTTTCAGTGTTTTGCAAATAAAAATCTTCATCTATATTTTAAAGCTCTTAATCCTATAGCACTAAATGTGACTAAACAAACAGAAACTTGAAGACCGAAGACCACAGCAGATAGATCTGATTTAAAACCTGAACATCTCACTGAGCAATATTGAATCCATTATCTGAAAAAGAAAGGAGTTTGACAAATTTACTGGCAAATAACCTGAAAATGACATCATCTATTGAAAGGATTGGCCAACTCTGGAGGAGCTGCAGAGATTAACAGCTCAGGTGGGGGAATCTGTTGATACAACACCTTGCAGTATGTCTCTAAAAATATGGTAATGTACAGGGAAGCTATAAGGGAGGTCATTAAAGTCAACTTTAAAGTCACACAGGCAGCACAACCAACATGGAAATGCTTACGTTAGATACTCTAATTTAATCTTAACCTAACATGATGAATGTGGGACAACATTAGCACTGCACATAACCCCAAACACAACATTCCCTGTCTGAAGCATGGTGGTGGCACGGTCATGATGTGGTAAAAGGGAGACTGGGAGAGAAAAGCTTTTCAAAAGTAATACAAAGATGTTTGGAGCTAAACACAGAGTGATGCAAGAGGAAAACTGGAGGTTCACCTTCCCGAAGGACACCAACCCTAAACATGAAGTCAGGACATAAACTAAATAAAATTGATAATCTGAGGTAATCTCCTAAAGTTCTAGCCACTAAATGCAGAAAGCTTGTTGAGCTACCAAAAAAAAAAAAAAAAAAAAACCTGCAGCTGCCGGAAAAAGTTGGTTCAAATTACTTGTTCAGGGCTAATTTAGAAACCGCGCATCATTTTCTTATATGCTGAAGTCTGTGGTTGGAAAGTGACAAAACACTGTAGTGTGTACTTAAAAGTCAGGTTGTTGACACACATCTTACCCTGAAGTGGACCTGAACATAGCGGTAAAAAGGATAGTTGTTGATGTCCAGTGGCAAAGTGAGCTGATTTTCTTCCTGGATGTGAGGAGCCTGAAGTAAGGCCAAACAGTCTGCGTGCAGCTCTCTCCGGACTGAGGCGGCGTAGCAGCAAGAGAGAAACAGAAAGATTATTCAAAGTCTTTCTCCATCAGAAAGCTGACCAGATAGGTTAGTTAACTATGCATCATTAAAGAGCTGCACAGAGTAAGCCCATCAATTGATGAACGCTCAGTGTGGAAGACGACCATCTACCCACCTGCTGCTGTCTGAAGTAGAGCTCCCAGTTCTGCAGGAATCGCTAGATGCGTTACATTAACCACTTCCCGCTTTGACAGCTCCTGGAAGAATCAATCATTTATATGCTTCTTTTAAAAAGAAAACAATATATATACATGTTTACATATAAGTTCTGTGTGAGCATCCATCCTACCATCTCTCTCCTCCTCCTCTCTTCTTCACCTTTCCTCTTGGCTTCAAACTTCATCTGGAAAGAGATCACACAAATCAAACGGCAACAGAGTGTAAATCCAAGACTACCTAAGAGACATTGAAAGAAAATTACACTTAATGGATAAAACAGAGGGTGCATATACCTTGATGTATTGTTTGCGGTTGACATACATTCGAACGTAAGAGCGGAATCGGACCAGACTCTCCCTCATTTTCACGTATTGCTTCCTAACAGAACAGAGTGACGATTGAAGAGAAAATTATTGATCCAGTTCTCCAAATAGCTTGCAAACATTACCTTTACATCCAACTGTAAAACTTTTTTAAAGTAATCATGTCACATTTATTCACATTATGTAAAATGTATTATAGTTGTTGACCGAAACCAAGCAAAGAATGATTGTCAAGTGGAAAATGAAAAAATGACAGGTTTTTTTAAAATACATCACTGAGCTGACTCTCATTCAGATGTGAATCTCTCTTTACCTGTTTTGTCTTTGCTAATTAAGTAAAGCTTACAGAGGATGGATTTTAAGCTCTGCAACACATTTTTATTTGGTTCAGGTTTAGAATTTGACGAGGCCATTCTTTAATAAATAGTTTTCTTTATGTTGTTTAGCTCCACCATCCAGTCAGTTCTGACCTGTTGGGATTTCTTTCAACATGGCTTTGTTGTTGGTCCTCACTCAGTGAAGTCAGTTGTCCAACTAACCCTTGTCTGCACATTTTACTCTCTCTGTAGCTTTATAACGGTCACCTTAGGCTACTTCTGTGAAAAATGTTCTGCCTGTAACATTCCAACTGACAGACTGAACAGTACTTTCAGAGAAGTCTGTTGTGTTCATGTGTGCAAGTTTATATGATGCTGTTTGTTCTCCATTTTTCTGCAGCAAAATTCTAAGACCTTCCCATAACAACTGGAGTCATACCAAGGTTTAATTGCTCACAGATTTACTATATTTATGAATTAAGTCATTTTTATTTAGGGGTATAACAGTAAAGGAGGTAGGATAAGGAGGTGTTTTTCTCTTTGTAATTATAAAACTACAAAAAAATATATACTGAAGATTGGAGTGAGATAAAATGGGGATTAAAAAAATCCAACTGTCTAAATACATTTTAAGGTACTATACCTTTAAAAATGTTTGAATCACATCTCACCTGAGGAGGTAGCCTCGGCACTGGGCCTGAAACCCAATGATTTTTTTACGGAAGGCAACAAAGCGTTTCCGCACAAAGAACATGCGGGTGTAGCGCTGCAAAGTAAGAGCAGCAAGCTCCCGGGATCTCTCTCGTTTGCACTCCAACAGCTGGTAGATGTCTTCCTTTAAAAACAGCTGCCATTTGCACACACACAGAAACAGGAGGCTATGGGTGAGGATAATGAAGGTATCTTGGCTTTAAAAGCCATTCTAAAACATTATATCCAGTATGATATGATTGCAACAGGTTGCCTTTTTGCTATTTTAGAGGTGGTGTAACTCACCTTAGTGACACCAATGTGGAAGACTCCTGGTCGGAGGGGACACAGCTTGCTCAACATAATCACACAGTTTTCTCCGTTTGCTGCTGGCAGCTGTTTAAGTCCAACCAGGGACTTATACCTGAGTATTAAAATACACCAATAGGGAAGTCGTTATTGTCTGTGGAACAGTGGTGGTTTTCATCATGGGACATATGGACTATTAAGGAGGCCGCCATTAGAAAGGGAAGAAAACTGATTGAATCATATCGATTTTTCTGTTACTTGTGTCCTAAACTAGATTAATATTGCTTTTATGTTTGTACAATTGATGTGGAGTTGGCATTCTCATGTTTTGGGTAGAATAGAGAGACTTTTTATTTTTTTTTTGCAGAACCTTGCCGCATTTCACTTGCTCCAGTAGCAAGTGAAGAGAAACACTCCTAGAGGGTGCCATTTGTGGGAAAATTTAAACATAGTTTTGTTAAGGGTTTACAGGAGTGCAACAGGAGAGTTTAAAAAAATGTGATGGGTCATTACAACATCTTAATCATTTCTTTGTTGTTATTTACTGTCATACTGTAAATCTGTTGCTGTTTTTATGATTGTTGTCTTGATTTTGACCTGATATCAAAGGATGGTCAAACTTTCGCTTGCTCTACTTTGGTTTTCATACAACTTTAGCTTTGTCTGAATAACTGCAAGGTCCCCAAATTAAGTGGTTGCCAAACAGGCCCAGATCACTACTGCTCCACCACCATGCTTGAATGTTACTATGAGATGTCGCATTTGTTATCCTACCTTGATCCAAGTACTGGAATCAATGTTAAAGCTGATACCAGGTATTTAATAACAATACATAACCATTTTTTTTTTCATTTATGATATTATGTCATGCAAAATTAATTCTTTATTAGCATTAGCGCTTTTCAGCTCTGCCCACAAAATTTATAGAGGATCGATGGCTGTGCTAAAATATTGTGTTTTTAAAATCTCTGAATGATTTAGTTTAAATGTTTGAGGGTCATTCTCTCTTTGGGAGGCCCAAGCTTTACTTTGTGGCTTACTAAATCAGCTGAATAATTTGAATTTAATTTCAGGAGACCACAGAATATCTAAGTAAGTTACAGTCCTCCTCGCCAAGTACATTAGTAAACTGTCATTTCACTCTCTGGGTTGCTTTTAGACTAATGGCTTCTTCTCTATCTATATGGCCTCTATCTCGAACAGCACAATAGATGGATATTTTCATGGTGATCTACCATAGATTGAACAACTCGCCATTCCACAATCTCAGTAAAGATAGCTAAAGTACCAGACTGATTATAGATATCCAGACCTCTGTATATAAATTACCTGAAGAGAAAGTTGTAGAAAGACATCCTTACTGGATACCCCTCTCTGCGGATCCTGATAGTCTCCAGGACTCCAGAGTGTCGCAGCTGGCTGCTGACCAGTTCATCCTCAAACACACCTGGCCGCTGCTCACAGTTGCACATGCATGAATACAGAGGTTTATACATACGTACACCAAGAAATAACAAAGTTCCACGTTTTTACCTTCATACTATTAGGCTTGATGCAGCGAACAAAATAAGGATTGCATCTGAAATTAAAGCAATAAAATGTTATTATTATTTTTGTCTGAATGTTAAGGTAATGACATTTTGTCTTTATGTCTCTTCTGCTTCACCTCTCCATCTTTTCCACCAGCTCCAGCAGGGACTGTTGGAACTTGCTGCTGACGGTGTGTGGTTGGTACTTCCTGGTGACAGAGCTGCTTTTCCTCATGTGGCCTCCTCTCTTCTGACCTATGGTGTCTGCATGAGCCAGGAACAGGTTTGACACCAACTATGTGCAGAAACACATGGAATATACACAACTCAGCAACAGGATTCTGATCACACCTTTCAATGTATTTTTAATCAGGCTGATTTTCTGGACTCACTTTGTTTCTGCTCTGAATGAACAGGTCCAGCACTTCTTGTCGGACCTGATCATGGTTCTTATCAAGGAACTTATTAACCTGGATCAAAGATGTCTTTTATTATTACATGATGTTTTTTTCAGTGTCTTACTATGAACCAATTTGGTCCAAAACAAAGTATTAAGCAGAATGAAAGATTTGGCTCTGAAAGGAACACTTAAAAAAAAAAATCAAAAATCACATGTGAATATATCAAACGTGAATAGAATGACCAGAAAAAAACTGAAAAATTCATGCCCCCTAATAAATCCACATTTGTACTATGAACAACACAAACTCCAAAGTGTTTTTCAAAATGTTATAAACCAACACAAAGCAGTGCCTTGTATGTCGCCCCCTTTACTTAGATACTCCTAAATAAGATACTGTACAACCAAACGCCTTTAAAAAATTAGTATAAAAAGTTTATTTTAATTAATTTCCAGTATAAACACAACTGTTTAGCGGAGGCATAAGTTGTTTCTTAGCTATCAGAGAACTATCAGCAGGTAAAACCTGGTCAGAACAGCATTATTCAAAGAAGGAAGAATACCAAAGTCATTCTGAAGAGATTTATCAAAGAGATTAGAGGGGAAAGCCATTGAGAGATAACACTAAAACTCTGAATAATTGCATGTTTTTCCGCAGGCAACATAGGGGAACCCTAATCCTAGGGACACTTTCCTTGTTTTTAATGTTCCCTGGATCAGAACACTGATCACATGTGGGAATTTTACAATAAAATTATTTTGTCAAGTCATCAGATTTGCTCTTAAGATCTGGAAAAAGAGGGAGAAAACCAACTATTAAAAGGCTTGCATTAGTCCCCAACAATCCACTTCAGAAACCTATTAGTGACCCACTAATTAAAATTAGGAGTAGCAATAGGGTATCATCTTAAACATGGTTAAACGGGGTTCCTGAAGTCCAATATTAAATTCCATCCAGAGGTACAGAAAGACAAATCCAACACATGCTGTGGTAGGTTGAGCCAAAAATACACACACTTCTCTATGCAAAATCCATCCACCACCATCTTATCTATGGTGAAGCATGATGGTGGCAGCGTGAGGCTGTGGGGATGTTTTTCTTTAGCAGGGCAAAGAGGAAGGTTCCAACCTCCTAACTGTATGTTTCAAACTTACTCAAGTAAGTTTGAAACATACAGTTAGGAGGTTAGAAATCACTTGCAATTGTTGGGACTGGGGTTCAACCACCAACAGGAGATCAACCATAACAGACACCCTTGGTCTCAAGGTTATGATTCCTGTCAAAGTTTTGAAGGTAAACTCGAAGTTTTGTGTGCACAAAAGATACATCAACAAAGGACAAAATAAAAATGTACACAGCTCAGTTCAGAAATGTGTAAAACATCAAAAGCAATCTTTTTTTAATTTCACAACCATTGGCCATTTTTTCATTCCTGTATCCAGTGAAAACCCATGAGAAAGTCATTCAGTTAAAAGCAATGAAAAAGTTTTGAGTATACAAAGAAGAAGAAAAAAAGCTCTATCAGGTGACACTAAGTGTTTTTTTGCAAAGCTCCTCTTGCACATGATTGTGTGCAACATTCTCTTATAGTTCAAACCAATGACGTATAGAACTGCATTATTTTGCCTTTTTAATATCAAATGGATGAGCAGTTGAGTACCTGGTAGGTGACTCGACCAGCAAAGTGCTTGATGGTGAACTCTGGGAGTGGCATCTTTGGCTTCATATACAGCGGATTGTGGCCATGGTGATAGTGGCATTTTTGAAGAAATGTGTGGTCTGTTGCCTGGCAACAAATCAACACAAAAATTAGGTCTGAATATATGTAGGATGCACAGTACAGACGGCTCTGTGTCAGCACCCTCACCTGTGGAAAACTGCTCTGGTCATCCAGAATCCTCAGTATCCCATGCGGCTTAGCGGCAATGAGATCAATGCAGGGCTGGTTGTCACTGAATATGATTTCCTGCCATGGGATCTGCTCTCTGCTGTACTCCTCCTGCAGGGTGATCAGATGCAGCAGAATGTCACTTTCAACCTTTTTACCCTACAGATAGTTAGATCCATTTCATCCACCTCTGCATCTGTAATCACTTTATTCTAGTGATATTTAAGTCCAAATCGGTTGTGAAGACCGTGTGTGAAATTAAGCAAATCTGCAGGTGTGATGGGACTCACCAGTTCCTCCCTGAATACGATCCTGTTGAAGAAGAATTGCAGGTATTCGTTTGCATAATTAATGCAAAGCTGCTCAAAGCTGTTGAAAGCCAGATCCTGTTGCCACAAACACACACAGCAGTTGATTTTTCATTTCTAATCTCTTAATCTGATAAATATTTTTTTTATATTATCTGTTATGCTGAGCACAGAGCATGGCAGTTAGAGAGCAGTGTAAGGCTCTGTAGAAGTATGGTGTTGGTAAGCTGCAGCTTTCCAAACACTAAAAAACCTTTTTTATTACATTTAGACAGAATGTCTACTGTCCACTAGACCTTTCAGGTAGACACTGTGCTAACATACCGGTTAAGGTTTCTTCTTTCATTATTGGAGTTTGCTTTGCAATATTTCTTTGACGTTCTTATTCAGTTATGCTGTTATGTAAATCAGCTCATAAATAGAAAGAAGTAAGGGGGGAAAATGTCAGACATATGTGGTTTTACCCATATATGACTTATTTTATGGGTAAATTACTTATTTAACAGGTTTGAAAAAAAAGGACTATGGTTTTGCCACCACCAATCTTTTTATTCTCTATGACTTCTTTCAATAGGATATGTTTAGAGACAAGAGTAGCAGCCATGGAAGAGGCCACCTGACTGATGCTCCAGAGTGAGAGGGCATGAAATGTGGTGTGCTTGGAGACGGAGGCAGCGAGACAGTAAAGCGTGTGTGACCTGCAAGAAACGACTAGAAAAATGCTTTTATTCTCCACGAATGCTCATCTTTTGAATAACAGGATGAATTAGTCAAACTTTACATACCCATGTGTGATCTAACTCCATTGGTAGGTGTCTATATTGTGTCAGTATATTACTAATGCCATAACAACGTCTCTAAATCCAGCCAGAGCTGCTGGTTGTAATGCTACCTTGAATCCTTTAGGTCAACTTTAAAATGTTCTGATTACCAATAATCTGATGCTGTGGGTAATATCATAGGGAAAAGCAAAAGCACTAAAAGAAGTAAAGAAAATGTATTAATCAGTACAACAGATGGATACTACCGAGACTGCACACAAACAGGCAGAAAAACATTTCTGACTAAGGATCTACTCTGATTCTTTGGGCATTTGCCTCTACTTGTCAGGATTTTGGTTCTGATGGCTGGCTTAATTGCTCATTTCATTCACCTGTCTAGCTCATCAAATCCACCTGTTCCGGTCTCATATTTAAGCTGCCTGTTTCCAAGCCAGCAGTACCAGATTATTCTTGAGACTTTGGTCTGATCCTGATTTGTTTCTGTATTTGAACCTTTGAGCCTGCCTGCCCCTGTCCAATTAGTTAGCCTGCTTGTCTTCGGACTCCTGTTGGATTCTCTGTAGACTGAACCTGGATCTCCCTCTTGACTTTGTCCTGTGGATTATCCTGTCTTCCTTCATCAGCTCAGATCTGATCTCATGTCAGCTCTGCAGCCTTTAGGCTTCCGCGTCTGGAACTCTCTGGCAGCGTCCGCTGCGTCTGTTCAGTTGACCTGCTCATTTTGTTCTGTCTGATGGAGGAAATCCCACTTTGCTTATTTTAGACCTGTTGATTTCGTGTCATCTGCCCTGGGGTGAATTTATGGCTTCTGGAAAACTGTCTGCCTGGCTTGATAAGAAAAAAGTCCAACAAACAACCTATTGTGCTAAATTCAGGCTGCAACTTCCTGTAATCATTCAGAGGTCATTTAGGGTTTTTTTCCCATCTAAAATGTGTGCAGAAACACTTTATATTGCAGAAACCTCGCTCTCTAAAACTCCAGTCAGATTTGTTTGTTGTCACACCTGCTTACCTCAAATCCATAAATGTCGAGAATAGAAATGGAGAGGCTGTGTTGGCGAGGATACACCTGAGCATTTATCCTTTCCGTTAACCAGTGGAAGATAAGTGAGTAAAGAATCTTGGCAACGGCGTCTCTGGAAAACCCAATAAAAAGACGAATTGATTTGTATGTGAATTGTTGGGGTTGGTTATCTCTGGTTCCTTTGCCTCACCTGGCATCAACAGCATTTTCTACACTCAGAGGGCTGTAGATTTTTTCCCGCATAGTCTCCTGTGGAGAAAAAGGTTGCCAGACGTCATACAGAGAGTTAAGTTTACACATTTCAGTTGAGTTCAGCAGAGTAGGACACTATTCATGCTGCATTAGGGGCTCTATTCTCCCACTTTATTTAGCATTCCCTTCTCCTCCTCATCTCCATCACACACGTTGCTTCCTGGAAGCTCTGCCCCCTCATTTCTACCTCATAGATGCAAGAGACCAAGACTCAGTCTGTTCAGATAAAGAGCGCTTTGAGATTTGAGAGCTTCCTTTGCCAAAATCCTCTTGACCGGCACAAACACCCTCTTAATGTGCACACACCTCTTGCCTAAGGAAAGAGCTGGTAGCCCCAACTCCTCTCCTGTTACCTACGCACCTTTGTAATTAGAGTCTGAATAATGCAAAAGACTCTTGCCTCGTGTATATAAGCATGTGCTTGTGGTAGATGTAAGATTTTTCTCTCCTTTTCTTTCACCTCAGTTTCTTTTTGATGCATTCCACTACAATTGGATATGATGAACTGGACTGGCATTTATTTTCAATATGGATCCAAGTGAAGAACAAAGGATAATGCATAGATTTTCAACTGGAATATCAGTTTTATCAGCATAAAGGGGTAGAAGAGACCTCGTACTCGTTTTGTTTCACTCTACAGAGATGAAGATTAGGGGTATATTGTACATCTGTGGAATATGTGAGCTTTTATTGACCAAATAATTGGATCTACCCTAAGCAAAGAGGAAAAAAGCTTTAACGTCATTACGTCAGGACACCAAATAAGAAACCTTCCATTCTTTTCTTCTGTGTTTTGCTTATGTGTTTAAGGATGAGGCCTGAAGACATTTCTACAGAATAACATATCTAATTAGGAAAAGGTTTTTTAGTGTGGACAAGGAAGACGAATCTCAAAGGATTTTCTCTCAATATTGCAGGAAATCAGAGATTAGAGAAAAACACAGCTAATTGAAAATAAAAATATTCAGTCTAATGCCCATTTTGCATTTTAAGCATCTAAAAATGATACAATATAATGGCTTTGCAGTATCTTTTTAGAAGAGTGTGGGTATGTAAAGAAATATAATAAGTAAAATGATGAGGAAAGCACAGTTCCTTCAACAATGACTTACTCCCCTTGCACTTTCTTGCAATTTTTTAAGCTACAACCACAAGCTGTAATCAAATGTGTTTTCTAGGGGTTATAAATTATTAAAAAAAACAAAAAAAAAAACTAAACAAAGTATTGCATATCGTTGTGTTTTGGGCTTTTTATTTGCTTTTTGTGTTTTTTTTTTGTGGCAGTTATTGTCCTCTTTATGTTTTTTCTTCCTAAGTTCACTAAATTCCCATTTCCACACTGTAACCGATTTCTCTCATGTCTGTGATATAAATACAGTATGTACTTGCTTTATTATTTCACAAGACATAACTGTATATTGCAATGCATAATGGTTCAAAAGTAATTACAGTAACTTATAGAAGGAGTCTACAATAGCACCATGTAAAACTGCAGGATGGTTCTGTTTTCACTCTGTTCTGTCTGTAAATGAAACATATTACAGTGAAATACTGCTAGCATAGAAAGCATGCGGGTTGTCACACATTCTAGTGCGAGCCTAGCCACAATCACCGCCATCTTGGGAGGGGTAAACATTTGTAGTTTGAGCAATAACGATTTATGAATACCAAGAAAACATTCTACCAAAACATAAAGGAAGATAACACGACCCATGAACGGAGACCTCGAAGTGGCCAACCCGGGTTCGAATCGGACCTGTTGTCCTTTGCTAGATGTCTCTCTCCCTCTCTCGTACAAGATACATATGGAAGAAACATTAGGGGAAAAATACATAAAAGATTTGCTTATATCTAATAAAGAAATAGCGCCTGGGTGAGGAGAGTCTACAGGCTGACAGAAGCTTGCATCTAGGCTAAGTTTTGTTTTGTTTCTGCAACACAACAAAAATCAACTGCGTGACCGTGGTTGCAGGGCAAACACAGGGATGCAGGTGTTTGCCCTGCAACCGAAGAGTTGACGGTTCAAGCCCCGGCTTTCAATATTACGTGTTCTTGGGCAAGACACTTCATATGCATTGCCTACTGATGGTGGTCAGAGGCTACCTATGTACGGCAGCCTCACTTCTGTCAATGTGTCCCAGGGCAGTTGTGGCTAAATGTAGCTTACCATCATCAGTTTGTGCTTGAATGGGGTAATGTTACGCTTTGGTCGTCTCCTGACTTAAAAAAAAAAAGCTATATCTGTAGGTGTGAGCGTGTGTGTGAATGGTTTGAATGGAATGTTTGACCTGTTTGTCTCTGTGTTGCCCTGCGATGGACTGGCGACCTGTCCAGGGTGTACCCCGCCTCTTGCCCATTGACTGCTGGAGATAGGCACCAGCACCCCTCGTCACCCCACTCGGGACAAGCGTGTCAGATAATGGATGGATGGATGGATGGTTTATTTTTCATTTAATAATCTTGACTTGCTGTGCTGTTCCTGTCTGCATTTAGATCAACAACATCCTGAAATATTAGAAATCTGATAGGTGAGGCATGCATTACATAATATTCCCGTTTACTTTCATAACCTCAATCAAATTCGGTGCAACCAATTGTATGCTACTTCAATATAAACTCTGGAGGAGCTGCAGAGGTTTACAGCTCAGGTGGGAGAATCTGTTGAGCATTAGTTGTTCTCTGAATAATTCTCTGAATCCAAGAAGAAAGTCATTGTTAAAATAGGGATGAAAACACCTTTTGGAAGTTTGTCACAAGTAGTGAAGGGTATTTAGCAATTATCTGGATGAAGGTGCTCTGATGAAATGCTTCAGGGCAAACATCTAAAACACTTTGTGCAGCGGAGTTAAACAGAGTAGGTTGGTAACCCTAAGCATACAGCAACAGTAAAAAAGGAATAACTAAAATCAAAGCAAATGGATGTGTTAAAAAGGCCCTGTCAAAGTGATAAAATGGTTATTAAAAAAAAAAAACATTGGAAAGCATTTTTCCTCTATACTTTCTTTGGACATTGACATTTGAGGTTATAATGTAAAAAACAAAACAAAAACAACTTTAGCTTACTATGATTTAATTGTTTAAAAAATAACAGCTAGATTCAAGATTCATCACAACGTGTTAGAAGCAGTCCACTCTACTGAAAAGATCCACCCAAGGAACCGAGTGTACATGTCTACGGTGGAGGTAGATCAATGACAGCGGTTTGTTTCTTTTGTGTCTTTTTCTCTGTGTGTGGGGGGGCAACACATGGGTTTCCATTGTGTCTATGTAAGGGACACTGGGACCAATACATGCTCTCATGTAAACACACCTGTGTAAGCAAGAAAAAGAACCTGCCAGTCCACTTCAGAGGAGACAAGATGTAAAACCTCAGTTACAATGAACCAATCAGGAGAGGAGGAGAACAGAACATAAAAAAAAAAGAAATCTTGGAATGATTTGTAAAAAAAACAAAAATCTACTAACACGTGACGGGTAGTTTAGCATGAAACTAACCGTGACTTTGTAAGTTATAGCTTTCTGTAGTCCTTCAGGGGAGATCTGAAGCAGTTCTGCCACAACTCGGATCTCCTGTGCGCTCACTACTGATGCCACCTCCTGGCCATCAGCCTCCAACACACAAAAGAGAAAAGATTTGTTCAGTTTGTTGTCTGCAGAGGAAATCCGTGCAAGACAATCAGGCTTAATAAAAAAGGGCTGACTTTTCTATTTCATCATTAACTGCCCGTGTTGTGGCACAGATGAGCTTTGAATACAACAATTAACTCACTGAGCTCTATGGAATGTACCCTCTTTAGGTAAACAAGTTATTTGAATGAACTGAATAGTTGGAAATAAACTGTCATTGACTTTTAAGGTTTGTATTAATGAGATGAGAGCTGCCAAGTATTGTCAGAGATATAAGCTGATCATAATTTTTTTCTCTATTTTATGCATCCAAACATAAAAAAAGAAGTGTTCATAATTAGATATTTTATAGCACAATGTGAGCTTTTGCTTCGTATGAGGTACGAACTAACAGATGAGCTAATAAATAGTTTAAACAGAGGCTACCTACCTGAACAACATTCTGCATGCATGGCAGTATCCTGGTTGAAACTTTTGTACAGGGGAAAATCTGAAGCTCAAGTACAAGGAAAATATACTGCCTGAGCCACCCTTATTTAAATTTCAAATATGGCTGACATAAATAAAGTTTATTTTCAGTTCAATTTACCTCCTGTCTGCAACAGTGGAGGACAGCAAAAATAAACAGACAATACGACGACAAAGAGGCTTTTTCTATTTTAAGGACAAGCTCTAAACCAACACTATGGCAATCAGAAACAATAAGATTAAACCCTTTTCATGATTATTTCCAAGCTCAATAAGCAGATGAATATCATGATTTGGTTGTAAAAGAAAATAGGATTTTCATGATTGCAGGCTACAGTGTGTTTTATCATTTAGAACCCGTTAGGATCATATATCATCAGTAGAGTACCTGTGCCTGATTCCGGTTTAAGCCTACCCTAAATGTGGCTTCATAGTTCAGGAACTTAAACTTACTGCATCAAACAGACTAGAAGTAGGTGTTCAGTTAAAAGCCTGTGGCCACTAGTGAAATAATAGGAGAAAAAAATATTTATTTTACCTCTAATAATCCCCTGGCTGTAAGTATTACAGATCAGTTTTCTCTCTCATGTATTTGGTTTGGTTTTAGTTTGTCAAAAAATGACAAAATAAATGTAATGCCTTTTGAATTGCACTCCAACTGTTTTAATACTTGCTCTCTGAAACTTCAATGGGAAAAAGAAACTCAAATCCTACTGGTTCTCCAACCTGCAGCTAGAAATGCCGTTCAACTGGGAGCGAAACATCAGTTTTCTATAGAAAACTGCAAGGGTTCATCCATTATATCTTAGAAGCAGATCTAATAGCAGGATAAACTTTTTTTCTAGTAGTTTCATATAACAGGTGGTGTGGTGTTTTTAAGATACAGAGCAAATGGCTAGCCTAACAAGACAGACCTTTGTAATGGGGTGAAAGTCTCAGATAGGGTTTTTTGAGATGATGGGAACTTCCCTCTGATTAGTGTTTAGCTTGAATATGCAATGAAAACTATTCTCTCCAAACCAGGATTGCTCTTACTGCTTTCTTCACTTCATACTCCATAAACAGGTAAAAGGTAAATACAAAATACAGACAGAGGGATAATTTTAAACAATGAATGAACCCAGAGAATTACCTCATGCCTTTGAAAGTAAACATTGCCCAGATGAAGTATGGATGAGAGGATTCTAAAGATGGCCGACTGGTCCTCAGGGGCGAAGTGAAGGATTTCCATCGCAGAGAGCAGACGTTGGAAATCATCTGCATCGCTTTTTCCTCTAATCAAACAGTCCCCTCCCTTAATTCAGAGAGAGGGTTCAAACTGAAGAGAGCACTGATCAACATGGTTGGGAATAAAAAATCTGTGCTGCACACTTTTTCTCTACCTGGTTTAGATAATAGTAGGTTTCAGCATCTTGCAGGTAGAAAGCCTGCTTCTGTTGAGAAGGAAGACCTGCCAGCATCTCGTAGAAGATGTGATAGTTCCTCTCATCCTTGGCCTGAAGCAAACATTAGCTTTTCATTCTACAGACAATTACATGAGATAAAGATGCCATGCTGTGTCTGATTCTGTGGAAGTTACCTGAAAGACAATACGGGACTTTTCCAGCAGATACTGAGAGGTTATGGCACCACTAATTACACCACTAGATCAACAGAAACAAGAGGGGGTGGGGCACATTAGTAGGATTAAAAAATTGTTGCCGTCCAAATCAACATGTCTGATCCGCACTCACTTCTCCAGATAGACCTCTATGTATTTCCCAAAGCGGCTGGAATTATCGTTTCGCACAGTTTTGGCATTTCCAAAGGATTCCAGCAGGGGCGCTGCCTCCAGGATCTACCATGTTCAAAATTCATCCAAATTCATCAGATGAGCAGCAAAGAAGCAAAGTCACATATCAGTGCTGTAACTCTATCATCAAACAATTTGCACACTCATTCAGATAGAAAAGTAGGTTTGCTACAAGGCTACATGAAATCAACCCATATTGTTGGGTTACTACAGTTTTATTAGCTGTTGTGTAAATGCAGTAGAACAATTGTACATAGTCATTATACATGGAATGCAAGAGATATGGTGCAGAGGTTTGTGCATGACTAAAATAGACATAGCATCCAAGCCGAGCTGGAGATCAAATAGTTTTCAAATGATTTTCTGAAGCAGAATTACTTCCTATAATAAGCAAGCATATAAACAAGTGGTATGGAACAAATACAGCGCTCTGCTTGACTGCTCTGCAATTCCTTACCATGGCACACTTAAAGGTATAGTGGAGGATGTTCTTTTTCTGGGTGGATCATCAAAACAAGTGGTCCCCCTAATTGTCAATCATTCTGGTGATATGTTTACATAAAGCCGTCGTACGTGCTCGTCCCCAATTTCAATTACCGGTGGTGAGGCTGACATAGTGGAAAAATTGCAAATCTTCTATTGGAAAGTAAGCTTGTATGAGCGATGCAAACAGCAACTTTTAAATAGAGCATGCACAAGGAGAGAGGGGCTTTTTTTTTTTTTTACTAAAGTGGAGAGGGCGGGTCTTTTTAAAAATTCACAAAAATCCTCCACTATAGCTTTAAACCATTCCATACATAAAAGTCTATACGGAATACTCAGCTGCCATTCACTTTGTGAAGAAAGATGCAAAAAAAATGAATTAGCTTTAAGTTCTCTGTCCCAAAATGTCCAGCATGCTTTGATAAAGAGCAAACCACAAGGAGGTATTGAATAAGAAGTCAATAACCCAAATTCAGCAGACAGACAGAAAAATATCTCTTTTTACCGAACAGCTAAATAGGAAGGAGTAAATGAAAATGTAGGGATAACTCAAAATGAATGGCGAGCTCATTAGTGTTCCAGTACTGCTAATGAAACAAGGAGAGCAACACAGCAACCTCCATTGCTACCTAAAGAAAGTGAAGATGGTTAGTTTAAGGTAAAGATTAACACATTCAGAATGAAAGACTACCGGTACCTCAATCTTTCCATACGAAAAGACGTCGTAAGAAGCAGTAAAAGGGAAAAAACATATTTGAAAAGAGACATTACAAATCCTCTTTATTATGAAATATTCTATAAGCATCATGTACGTGTCAGTATGTGTTCAAACCTGTTGCAATGGATTGGAGTTGTGGCTTGTTGCAGCCAGGTAGCGGAGCATAAGCTTGGTGGCCTCTGTTTTTCCAGACCCACTTTCTCCACTAAAACACAGTAAGAGAGCAGGAACCTTCCAATGTGCCCATCTATACTGCTCTTATAAACATTTTACTCAATACAATGTCCTGCGAACAATGCATATCTTTTCATATATCATGTGCAAAAACCAACAAAAAGTAATGCATGATTGTATGGTGGAAGGAAAACGAAAAAAAGTTTTTATATATTTTATAAAATATGGAGGTAGTGCTGTTAGGATGCATTTCTTCAGCAGGGACAGGAGAGCTAAACGCAAGACAAGACGATGCAGTTCTCTTAGACTAAAGCATGTTCATGTGTTGAAAAATTTTTAGTTAAGGTCTAGAACTCGCTCTAATTAAGAATCTATGGCAGGAACCTGGATGTTCACAGACACTCCCAGAAATGTAATAGGCAAATGTTTCACTCTACAGCTACAAAGATGGTAGAAATACACCCAGGTGACTTGTGGCTTGAACCAAAGAGCAAAGGTGTTCTATGAAGTATTATTTACAAGGTTCTGAGAAAAAAAACACAAGCTACACTTTATAAATCTTTATATTGAAAGCTATTTCCATAGAAAATGTATTTTCCTTCCTACTTTGTGTTGATCTCTCCTATTAGATTTCCATAAATACAATAAATAATACTTACGGATGGTGTTGTATATTTATAACCTGAAATTGATAATTTATCACTATTAAATTAAAGCCCAAAAAGGGGCTTAGTGACTTTCTTGCCAAGAAGATAACATTTGTCCTCAAAAACCCTAATAAATACTAATCTCCCCCAATGATAAAAACGATTTCTAAGAACAAGAATTTATTTTCTAGTTCCTTAAATACTTTTTAATCCCTGTTTTCAAGCTGTTGGGCTTGCTAAGTGTTTACCTTACTAAATTACATGAGAACAGCCTTGGCTAGCATTACGCAAAGTCTCAATTCCTAGTCTGAGAGGAACTATCTGAAGCAGTGTCTCACATGCAAGTACACCAACACACCAACATCCAGGTACCTATACCACTGCCAACAGATTAGCACTAAATACCACCATTATCCAGGCCACACTACGGGACGGTAGAATGCTGTGTGTTTTTGTGTGTTTAGGGACTAAGTGACCTTCAAAACTTTCCAGCATAAGGTTTCAGCTCACAGGCTGCTTGGCTAAGGATCAGGCCATTAATGGTCACTGTACACTAGACCTCAGTTAGCCCTTGACATGCACTCACTCACACACCACACACAAACCTTCATCCACATTATAAATAGCTTCGTTCATCTTCCCTGTCCTTGTTGAAGTAAATATCCATACAGCATGGTACTTGCAAAATGGCTATCTAAAAAGTGGAAATCACCTGCTTTGTATTAAAGTAAAAAGGATTATGTACTCTTACCTGATTATAATGACCTGGTTTTGTTTGGCATCCATCATTTTGGAGTAAGCAGCATTTGCTATGGCAAACAAATGCCTGTAAGAGAAAAAGTCATGGCCAGAAGCTTCTTCAACACAAATGCTGTAAGTACTAGTAGGATGGACAACTAGTCCACATAAGTACATTGAAATTGAGATCCCTTGTCTGATTTATGCTCTTTTTTTTTCTCCATCTAACTAGTGCGTTTTAAAGCCAAATATACTGCAACAGTTTTGTTTTTGTTATTTGCAAATGACTTATTAAAGTCAAAATGTATTTTGTATTATGAACAATGTTTTAAAGATATGCATAATACCAAATCCTCGTTAATGTAGTTTGTTTGCATTGTATGCTTGCAGTGTCGAAATGTAAAGACCACATTTTACATACGGAGGGTGTTCTCCCAGAGCACGACCTTTGTACAGCAGCACAACATCTGTCCCGTAGATATTGTACATCTTGTAGGGATTCACAGACACCAGTATGCTTCCTATATATGTCTGAAAGAGAACAGTAACATATAAAAAATGTTTTTAAAACACTTGAATTAACAGATGTCAATAGTTCTAAGGTTGAAAGCATGTTTGACCCCTTACAATTTTATCTATTTTTTGTTTTCTATATTCAGATATATTTTATTATCATAAAAACATTATTTTGGAAGGTATATAACATGCAGTTTTGAAAAACATTATTTATATTTTTATTTGCTTTTTAAAAAATGCTTTTTAAACATCTGGCAAGAATTCTCCCCATTTTTTAAATAATGAAATAAATGTGATAAAAAAAATGGGCTTTCTTTTTTTGGTTTAAATTTACTAGACACTCCTAGGCAAATTACAGCCTGAAGTAAAGTAAGTTAAAACTGAACTGAAGTTATTTCTAAGAAATATATGAAATAAAGCCAAAATAAAGTAGGATAAATGCAACAATAATAACCAGAACCATATAAAATTAACCATAAAAATAACAAAAACTTTTTTTTGCTCAAGACATTTAGGAAAATATCTTGTGGATTGGAGAGAGAGCACCCTTTGGCATAAAACCAGTACAGTATCTCAAGGGAAAAGAACAAACATGGAAAATGGTAAATCTCTAGAAAGGCAAATAATGTTTGATAGTACTTAATACTTATTTAAAAATATGAAATTTATCGTTTTTGTTCTTTTTTAGATACTTACATAGATAAGATGTCTGTCAAACCTTCGCCTTAAGTTCAGTAAAACAGCTCCTTCGTCCATCTCTCTGAAAAGGAACAGAATGCAGATAATGGAGAAATTTCTTTGAAGTTTTTATAGTGTTTTTTTGTATGATTCTGCCTCATATTAGACGGTTTTTATTGTTTTTTTTCTTTTTGAGTCAGTCTTAAAAATTACTTTGTCTTTCCTTTTAATATATTTTAAAATGACTTACTGTAATTGAGTCATATCCTCCACACCATCTTCCTCCCTGCACTCCCGATGAGTGATTGTAGGCATTCTTCTGATTGAGTACATCTTTAACACAAATGTTTAGAGCCATTAGGAAATGATGCAAGACAACAGGCCTCAATTTAACAAACTTGCATAAAAAACATTTGCAATGGGATTTTTCAAAGAATTAATTTTTTGTTCCTAAAATAATCTAGGATTTTATATTACCTGTGACGCAGTTGGTTTACCACCCATCAGTAATGTTATGCCTTGGTTTCTACCTTATTTGCTCATAACAACTCAAAGCTTAAATGTTTTTGACAATCACAAAAATATGAACAATTACCTTTTAACTGGGACAAGTTTGCTTCTGTTTAATTGTTAACAGGCTTAATTGTTAACAGGCTAAAAATAATTTCCATCCATGATAAATTCCAAACATGATCATTCAAATTTAGGGGTATTATAATAGCCTTAGCCAAACTAGTTGTCTAAGGCATTTGTTGTTTCCAACAAGATCATTACCTTGTCAAACCATTGCCCTCGTGGTTCCCCATCTCTATTGAGATTCCACTTCCCAGGTTCTTCCCCTTCATCTCTGTGCCTCATTAGATGCTGGGAGTGCTCAGGGAGCTCTCCATCTCTACACAAGGACCACTTGTTGAGGTTCTGCACTGTACCATGAGGTAGAACCCTCTCTGCCCCCCACACATCTAGATCTTCTTGCATGCCTTCGGCTCCTGAGCCATGTGCCCAGTGTTGTTCAGGTCCAGCTCCCTGGACATGTGGTGATACTACAGCATATGAAGGTAGACGAAAAGAAGCTGCCTGTAAGTGAGATTTTTGTAAAGCACCGGAAAGGTTCAGGGGTTGTGGGGTGCTGGGCGCCCCAAGCCTCGTCATGATATTACCTTCCGGGAGGTGGTATCTTGCTCCACGAAGGTTTGGGTTCTTAGATAATGCTTTCGATAGGTCAATTGATTGCGGAGAAGTAGTTGCTTGAGAGCGTGTCATGAGTGTTCCATCTGGCAACCGGTAAGAAGAAGATCTGATGTTCTGGTTGCGGAGGGCATTAGAGAGATTAAGTGAACGTTGCTCAGGAGTATCAGTTGGACCACGCTGGCTCAATAATGATGTGCTTGGGAGAGTGTAAGAAGCACCCCGGATGTTACTGTTCAGCAAAGCACCAGACAGGAGAGGGCTTGTCGGACTCTGAGGTTGATTTCTTGAAAACAGTGATGATCCTTCCGGGAGTTGAAATTTTGCTTTACGGAGGTTTGCATTCATCAAAGCACTAGACAGTCCAGGTGAAGAGGAAGAATTTGCAGCACTCTCTGTCTTCTCTCCTGGACGTGTTAAAAATGATCCATCTGGTAGTCTATAAGAGGCTTTTTGAACATTTGCATTAAGAATGGCCGAGGAGAGCATTGGGGAGGAAGAAACAGGTGCTGGCTCATTTCTTGTAACCAAAGTTCCATCAGGCAACCTATATGTAGCTTTACGTACATTAGAGTTTAAAAGGGCAGATGACAACATAGAGGAAGACATGGTGGAAGGACCTGAGGCAGGTTCAGCAGGTTCTTTTCTGGTGACCAATGAGCCATCAGGTAGCCTATAAGTGGCTTGACGTAGGTTTTGGTTCTGCAGAGCGCTGGAAAGCACAGAGGGGGAAGACCTTACATTACTAACACCAACTCCAGCATCATTTGTACTTCTATGTTTAACAGAGCCGTTAGGCATTGTCAAAGTACCACTGGGAAGCTTGAACATTGATCCTTGGATCTGAGAAGTTCGTAGTCCTCCAGAGAAAAGTGGGGAGCTACCTCTATTGCTTCCTGGTGGGGGTGCTATGGAAACAGGGGCTGCTGAAGCCACGGAGAGGTGTTGCTGTAAAGTGGATGTGAAGGAAGCATTACGTAGCTGAGAATTAAGTACAGCAGAAGACAGGTGTGGTGAGGAAAGAGGCGAGGGGACCAGAGGGCCATATGGATTCACCATTTGGATCTCTTGTGCAATAGCTGGTTCTTCCCCATGTACTCTGGGCAAAGGAGAAGGAGTCCTTTGTAAAGATGCTGTATTGCTAGAATTGTGCAAATAAGGATTATGAAGTGTACGCCCCATATTAGGGGATGGTGGTAGTTGTTGAGGAAGAACTTGGGAACCTGGTAAAGCATTGGTTAGCATAGGGGATGGGCCTGGCTCCATCAGTGTGTAATCATACTGAATAGTGTTTTGCAATTGTAGGGGGACGCCATGGGGATGATTAGGCAAATGTACAGAAGGCTGAGAAGATGCATGCCTCAGACTATGAGGTCTCCGATGGGGTGAGGGAGAAGCAGGGTGAGAGATGTGGTACATGGGAGAGGCTGAGCGGGAAGGCTGAGGAGATCTATGATGTAGGGGCTGTGGAGATGGGGGTCTACTCTGGAGTCTTCGGATTGAGGGCTGGGGAGAAAGAGGACCACTTTGTTTTAAAGATGGCTGGGGAGAGACAGGGGCTGCTACTGGAGAAGCCCTAAATGACTGCCTTGACTGTACCGATGGTTGGTTTCTGGGCATTCGTACAAGTGGCTGTCCCCGACCTACAGGTCTGTGAAAGGCTCCTTGGGCAGGACCAGTTCTCTTGGTTTCCCTTAAACCTGCTGGCCGAGAGCCTGATATACCTTGCATATTGGTTCCAGATCCCATTTCCCTTGAAGGCGATGCAGGGCCTCTATGTATAGATGCCCTAAAGGGAGCTACTTGCTGAGTTACAGGGGGCCCAGGTCTACTGTGTCTTTTTAAATAGGGATTGGCTGGTGAAGGTTTCACAGCTCCCATTGGCACATGGCTTCTCACTCCTGACCCTCCTCTCAGCCTGCGGGTAGAGGAGCGGGTTGGGAGGGGTCGAGTGGAAACACGTGATGGTGAAGGTGAGCGATGGGGGGAAGCTGGGCGGAATGAATGTTGTGGAGAATGAGATATTTCGTGTTGAATTGGGCTACGGCTTTGTGGAGAGGGACGTGGTGGAGAAGGGGAACGCCTGATCGTAGATGTTTTTTTTCTCCCATTCATCAATTGCGGTCTCAGTGGGGGCAGATGCACTGCATCTGGAGGGGGTTGCTGTCTGAATGATAACCTTGGGGATGACGGGGGACTTTGCCTGTTTCTTACTGATCCTCGTGGAGACGCCAGGGGGCTAGAGGGTGGAGAATGGGGTCTGACAATGGATGGGCCCCTATGTAACCCATTTCTTCTTCGTTCTTTTGTAAAGGATGGTTTAGTTCTAACTGTCCTCCCCCTTGACGGGCGTCTTTGGCTTGCCATTGAGGCCTGGTGAGTGTGCCAAGGCAGATGAGGAGAAAAGTAGGGGTCTGACTGAAAACCAGACTGAAATTGTTGGAAATCGACTGGATGTGTTGAGAAGTGGGGTGAATGAGGCACTCGTACTTCTTGTGATCCTGGCCTCAATGATAACTGGGGAGATAGCAGGGGAGTAATCTTTTGCACTGGCACAGGGGAGGCCATTGGTGAATGCAGTTGTGAATATAATTGTTGCTGCATTTGTTGGGCTCCAGGTGAGATTTGCTCTAATTGAAATATATGTGGATCCTGTGCTTGGACTGCTTGATATACTTGCGGGGAAAACTGAGCAGGTAGGGGAGATGGAGACAAGTGATTTGGATGAACAGCAAAAGGGATGTGAGTTAGCTGAGAAGATGGAAGGTACCCTTGTTGATTGCTCATAGCTGTTGGATAGATAGAGTCCTCAGTAGGCATTGCAGGAAATTGCTGAATTAAGTCATTGGGCAAAGAAGGTTGTCCAGAAAAGTTAGCTGGGATTTGGTGGTCATATTGTACATCTGACAGAATTTCCTGATTGTTGAGTGCAAATGATGGATTAGGAGAGGCAAACATTTGGGGAGGTGGTTGATTTTGAAGAGAAGGTGGTGGTGGTAAAGTTGCTACATCTAGCCCCTCTTTTCCAAACAACACAACCTGGGGCCTAGGGACTTTAAACTGCTCTGACAGAAATGGTTCAGCTACAGTCGAATAAAACTGTTCCTGACCATAAAGTTGTCCTGTCTCAGCTAAATTTTGCTCAGGGATCATTGTGACGTGTTGCTGATAAGGGCTGTACATTTGTGCACTTTGCGCATATGCCAGCATTTGGTCATTAAATGGCCCTGGGACTACATCATGAGTGCCATTCATTATAACATATGGGTTTGAAATTCCATAGTTAGAAGGCATGTTGAGGTCAAAATAATCCACATATTGCTCAGGGTAATATGAATCGTAAAATCCATCCTCAAAATAGCCATATGAGTCTGGCTCTACAGAGTACATAAATCCATCTTCCCCATAGTAGTACTCTGCTCCTTCATGGCCATAGTAGTCTTCATATTCATCATCATAATAATCATATGGGTAACCATAGTTATCTACATCATCTTCAAAGTAGAGCTCATCATCATAGTAGAAGTTACCGTCATCATCGTAATAACCAAACTCATCCTCCCACTCTTCATCGTCATAGTATATTTGCTCTCCATAAGGATCAGTTTGGTCATAGTTAAATGTCTCTCTTTCAAAGGTTTGTGGTCCCCACCTATTCTGGTAGTCATCTTCATATCCATAATTATCATCATACTCATATGGCCCATTGAGTCCCCCTCTGGTATTCCGGGTTGCAAAGGAGGGTTTCTTTTTTCGTCCTGCCCGCCCCCCTAGGCGACCATGACCCATAGAGGACAGGAACCTACCAGTCAGCCAGTTAGTTGTTGCAGCCATCCTACCAACCATCTGACTTTTACTCTTAAACTCTTGTCCTGTTTTCTTCTTTCCAAACATTCCTTTAAACTTCCCTCCTAACCCTTTTGCCTCAGATGCCATTTTATTACCCTTACTCCCCAAGTTTGATAAATTTACTGTCTTTTTAGATGTGGTCTCTTTAGGGGGATCCTCTTTTTTGTTAAATAAGCTGAAACCAGACAGACCAGGTTTTTTGTCAACTGTCCCAGATTTCCCCCCAAAGCCAGCAAAAAGCTTGGTGTTTCCAAGAAGTGGTTTACTACCTGTAGGGGGCTTCTTTTTTTTGGAAAGTCTTAGAAACAGGCGGGAGGTACTTTTAAGGTTTCTTTTTGGTTTTGCTTTTTCTGCCTGTTTAGAGGGCATGCTAAAAGGAGAGGACTTTCCTGTGATGCCTGTGAGAACTTTGGAGGCTCCTTTAAGGTGAGATCGTGCATCCACCTTTTTGACTAAATTCTTGTTTTGCCCTGCTGCAGCCAAGCCCATCATGTTCTTGGAGGCCCCTTTGAGATCACTCATCTTTTTTAGATTAACTACATCCATGCCTTTTTTCACTGGTGGCTTCTTCTTCTGATCGTCTTCTACCTCCTCATCATCAGGAGAAGAGCGTTTAGGCTTCATAGCCACAGCTTTGGAAGCCCCTTTTAGAGCTGCCTTCCCTTTACTTTTGTCCCCCTTGGCAGGCTTTGTGGTCACTTCCTCTTCTTCACTCTCATCACTTCCAGTTTCTTCAGACAAAATCTCCTCTTCCTCTTCTTCTGAACCTTCTTCTGACTCACTAACAGGTTTCTTTCCTTTTCCTTTCTTCCCATCATCCTTACCCTTTGTTGGTGGCTCAGAAGCCTTTTTACCACCTTTTTTGTCATCTTTCGCTCCCTTTTTCTCTTCCTTTCCTCCTTTCTTTGGTTCATCTGACTTGCCCTTCTTGGCTGATTTTGGGTCACCTTTCTTTGGTGGCATGTTGTATGCTTATATCCTTCAACAGAAGATAAACAATTTCCCCAAAATATTGCTGAATCCGGTGGGTGTAACAAAATTAGTGTGTTGTACCATCATAAACATTCTTTCATTTACATCTGAGTTGATCCCATGTTTGCATTGCTTTTTCCAGCACTGATTTGTCCCTCTGAAAACATTTTAAAGTACTCATAGATGCACCCTTCCCAGATAATTTGTTTTATGAAGCACCCTAAGATAAACTCAAACCACAGTCTGCTAAAACATGATTTAGTAATGGAGTTGAAATCTCAGCCATCTGTATTCACTTGGATTACAGTTCTTCAGTTATCAGAAAAATACTTGCTGTGTACATAAGGAGGAAGAAATCTGTCCGGTAGGGTTGAAATAGCAGCTGGTCGGGTTAAATTTGAGATTAACCATGTATTGCTCGAAGATGTAGAGTGCATCTCGTCTTGTTAAAAAGTATATTCCAAAGTGTAAAAAAAAGTATATTCCTTTATTTTGTTATGTTTATAAGTAACCTTCCAAAATCATCTGATGTATAAATCATCCTTCCATTCCATTAACAGAGACAGTGTAGTCCTTTGTTTGACTCTCATTCTAAGTCCGGTCCGTGAGCCAGCAGGGAATCCTCATCTTGGCCGTTGCACCTACTTTGGCAGCAAGTCTCTCCAACAAGGAGAGACAGTTTAAGTGCAATACTATGAGCCGCGGTTGTCCTCTTTGTTTTAGAGTTAGTGTCCATGTGTGTTTCATTGCAGTTGTATCCACCCACAACCCACGTCAGCTTTGGCTTTGTGACCTCCTGCAACCTTCTGCCTCTCTCTCTGGTTACTGAAACCCATATTCTAAAGTTTCCCTCAGTTTGACCTCTTGTCTTTTTTCTCAATGTATCTGCAGTCCCAATTGAGACTGTATACTGTCTGACTTCACATGCATGGGCAATCTGAGTGAGCATTACCTTTTAAAGCTGCAAAGGGCACCTTAATATAGCAGGTATGCTACCTTAGTGTAACCATATCTACTGGTTCACCTGTGTATGAATAATGCACGCCGGCTGAGCTGTTGCTAAACTGTGTCTGAGCGGCAAAGTTACTCTGAGCCAAAAGATGCCCCTCATTAGTAGGATGGACATCAGCTGAGAATGATGCATGGTACTCCACTGAACCATCCAACACTATAATGCATGCAGAAGCCACAGCTGTTGTACAAGACTATAGAGCTTCAGGATTTGAATCATGATAGTATTTTTCAATTCAAAGATATTATATATCTGTTTTTTTCATCTAAAACAAACATTCTACATAACTTGGACATCTATAAATATAAGTTTCATTATAAGTTTCAATTAGTCGTTATCACTGATTTCATTATCATGTAGACTATAGTTGTTAATAGTTCACAATTTATAATCCTGTGGAGCACTTAAGTTATTTTAAACCATTAAAATCTCCGTATGTTTGACTGAACGTCTGGATGAATCATGGGGTTGGTGATTGAACGAGTACAGTCAGCGATGGCTCATTGGTGATTGGCTGATGCTAATTCATCAATGATGGCCTGACATGACCAGGAGGTCATTTCAGTGGCAGATATGAATGTTTAATGAATGGCCTGAGTTCCTCCTACGCAGATAAGATGAAACATTCATTATCTGCTCCTCTATATATATCACAATAGGGTCAACCCCACACAGACAAAGAGGAATAAACAGAGAGGATTGAGTCAAAGGTTAACAGCCAGGAGCCAAAGAGCAGATAGGGAAAAATAAATATATTTTCTTTCCTAATATGACTTAATACAGTGCCATTCATACATCTAAATCACATTCTTACTGTGTAATAACTATGAAGCAGAAAAACATGACATCCTAAAATTTCTTTAAAAAAATGTAGCCATATGCAATTCAAAGCTGTTCAGCATAGGATGTGTAAAAAAGGAATTGAATTCAAAAGTTTAGTGCTGACAGAATGAGGTACCCTCCTTTTTAATAACATTTCTGCCTCATTCTACTCTTTTATTGCTGACCTTCCGGGACTGAGCTACATATTTAAAGCTCTATGAGTGCCCCCAAGTGGTTGTATAATTATGAGCTGAATCAAGCGTTGGTTAAAATAAATACCTAAAAGTTACCGTAATTTGGAAACATTAAGACCTCCCTTCTTTCCTTATTTTGTAATAAAACTGTGACTAGGTATTGTTGGAGCATTGCTTGATTAACACTATGATTGATTAGCACTATGTTCTTCAACCATTAAAACAAAGGACTTATATGATACACAATGTCAGGAACAAACCATATATCTTAGGGCTTCACAAAGCAGCTGTGATGCAGTGAAATTGTTTGCATGTGATTTTAATATCCAGGAAAAGAGTAAAGAGGGTTGAATCCAAATATTACCGGGACCTTTCCTTTTCAAAACTTTAGATTATGTGTTTTTGACAAAAATCTAAATAAAATACCTTAAATCAGTGGTTGTTATTGGATGCAATATGAAAAGTTAAAGCTGGAAAAACATAGTTTTGGTCTTTTTATGAAGTGAGCCCAAATTTGTATCACATTTCCCATAGTGACCACAAGTGTTTATCATATCCTGTAGGCTGGGCAAACAGCAACAACAGACACTGGTATCATTTAACAAAGGACACCAATAAGGTTATTCATGGTGATCAAGTACAGATAAAAGTTCAAAAGTTCCTCTGTCTACATCAGATATATTGGTTCACTGAATACTATTGTTCAACAAACATGTAAAGCAATTCATGTAAACAATCGAACATGCTTGATGGTAATCTCCTGTTTGTTGTCTGATAAGTGAGTAAACTGGTGCACTTTTCTCATTTATCAGACAGCCAAGGTGTATTAGGAAGAAGTGAAAACAAAATAGGAAAGAAAAAAGTATCTATACTACATGACCAAAGCTGATAGCAAACAGTTGTAACATGACAACTAAAACTGAGATTTTGAGTTAATGTATTGTACTGTAAGAGTAAGAGTTTCTGTCTCTTTATGCTCACACCCAAAAAGCTTAAGCAATGTTTAGATATACAGATATCCCCAGAGATGTGGTCATCTAATGAGTACTACTTTTGATGTTAGAATGAGAGAAGTGAATTGACAGAGGAGACAATAGACTTTTAAAATGTCACAAATACGTATAGGATCTTAATTCCTAAAAAGGAATACAAAGAATGGAATAATAATTTGCTAATGTATTCCAAGTTTCCCTGTTTCACACATTACAAACCATAAGATCCATTAAACATTTCAAAACATTGATGGCCAACCAGAAGAGTGCATCATGGCTCATTCAAGGGGAGAGAAAGAAAAAAGGCAACATCTGAGGTAGACTTCACTTGTCTCTGTTAAGGTTGGTGTTCAGGATTCAATAATGGCAGAAAGATGTGGTGGTCAGATGATGGTCTGAGGCTCCTTTACGAGCTTTCCATGATAAAATCATTAATGGTTGCTGCTTTTGAGCCAAAAAATCCTTAAGGAGCCACAATCTTGGTGGTGAAGTCTGTCCTGATTACTCATTTGATTCACCTGCTTATCTCTGCCCAGTTCTCATTACTGTTCGTTTGATCCACCCGCTTCAGCCTCTAATTAACCAGCCTTCAACCAGTCATCAGTGCCAGATTGTTTCGAGTCAGTGGTGAGCCTGGAACCAACCTCATCCGCTGGGCTCGGACTGAACTATAAGACCAGGTTAGTGACTCACACGTTCATTATTATCCTCCGCCAGATTGACTGGTCACTAAACCGTTGTCTCCTCCTGCAGAGGTTCCTGCCGTAGAAGCCGACGCCGCTCACTGCAGTTCTGTTTCCAATAAAAATTTGAAGAAATCTAACTTTTTATCTGCCTCGACTCCTATTGTTCTGAGCTTGACATAAGGAGTATGAGTGGTTTTAGCAGACTGGTCTTAAGCGGTGACAATAAGTGGAAGCACTTGACCAAGTCAGCCTCTTAATGGCATAGGAAAAAATGTTTTTGGTTGGCCTAGTCAAAGTGTGAACTTAAGAAGCTGTGGGAAGACCTTAAAAAGCTATTCACACAGAGTTAGTATTTCAAGATAGCTAGAGGTCTATATTTGAAAAGAATATTTATACCCATTTTACTTTTCTAAAATAACATTTTAAATCAACAATGAATAATAATGTCATAATATATTTCCATTTTTAAAAATTAGATCTAATGTGAATAATGTTGAATTTATATATATGACAAAAAAAGACAAATTTAATAGAGAAAAATAGTTTGTATGTCTCTTACCTTGTTTTTTTTGGGGGGGGTTAATATGTTGAGATGTTCAATTTCTAAAAAACAAACTGATGAGAAAATCCTCAAAGTAAAAGGGGAAACGATCCGATCAACAGGCTTCTGTGTGCAGCTCCACTGATTCTAGTCCTTTTCTGAGACCGTGTGGACTAACAGGCAACATTCATTTCACTTTGCTCTTAATGATGCAGGATTAGCGCACACAAAAGACCCACATAAGTGCAGATACCCTCTGCCTCAGCAAAAGCTCAGTGTCTATTCCAACGAATGTATGACAGTGAGCTGTTTACAAATCAATTCATGCATCAGTATTGCTGCGATTGGGTTACTATGAAAACATTTTGCAGTTCTTTATGCCTGTGCAGCACTGGCACACGAACTTTCCTGCCACAGAGTCTCCGGACAAACAATTTAAGGTGTCTATTGTGCATTAATGGCAGCTTTTTAATGTACAAACAAACATACAAAAACAGAGGCATTGTGCTATCACCAAGCAACAGTCGTTTCTGCACGTCAGAGAAGGGATTTGTTTTAAAAGGCCTGCATTTATAACGGCCGGTGAGGGACTTATCAGTGCTGCTCACACGAGTGTACATGTGCTATGTGATCTATATGTCTTCTTTAAATATGAATGCACGTCTTTGAGACAAAGTTAGTTTTTTATATATATAATTTGCTACCCATATTGATGGTTACATAAAATAATTGTATTTGAAAAACTTTCTATTTATTTATTTTAGAGAATATCTAACTGTCTGATTGCACTGAATGATTATTCCAGGATGAGTTCCAGGATATTTAGGCCAAAAACAGTTACATGCTTATTAAGTGTAAAATGATTGCAGTCAGTTGTTTTCATATCAAACTGGTTTCAATAGTTTTTGCTCCTTGTAAAATTAGGAAATATTTTTTCACAGCACTATATTTGAAAAAGCAATCAGTTCGAATTTTAACATGTCAAGGAGGGTTTTACCTCTACATGAAGAACAACTTTTAAAAAAGACCATACCTTGGCTTTAAGATTATAGGCCAATTGAAAATGCTATCTGCTTTTATTTAGGAAAATGTTTAAGCTTAATTAAGCAAAGTAGTACAATGGAGAAATAAACAGTAGAAATTAATCACAACTTTACAGATTAAAAAAAATAAAGATCACAATAATATAGGAGAACAATGAGCATTATGTAGAACCCCCCTAAGATGCTATATATGACTGATTGCTCCATCAAGCATTTGCAATAACTGTTTATGGTAACAAGGCTTTCCCGTTTCCGTGGCGTTATAGACCATTCCTTGCAGAATTGTTTCAATTAAGCTACATTCATCAGGTAATCCCAGTATTTCAGTCAGATTTAAGTTCAGGCCAATCCAAATAATTCCAAAAAAGTCTGAAAAACTCAAAATCCCAGCACGTTTCAAACCAAACAAGACCCTTAAACATAGACTAGTGCATCCTAAAGACAAAACCCCCAGACCTAAGATAAGGGGAGTAGTTTATGCAGTTCAATGCAGTGAGGAATGTTCTGATCTTTATATTGGATAAAACAAACAACCTCTCCACAGATGCATTGCCCAACACAAATGGGCTACCACCTCCACCTTAAGGACAAGGAACACTCATTTGAGGACCAGACTGTTCACATTTTGGAGAAAGAAGACAGGTGGTTTGAAAAAGGGTGAGAAGGAAGCCATTTATGTTTAGAGAGAAAAATTAACATTAAACAGAGGAGGAGGATTCAGGTTTCAGCTCTCGAAAATCTACAATGCAGTGATAGAGTTTATTCCTTCCCGCTATCCTTTCAACCCCCCCACCCCCATACAGGGGACAAAACTTCTTGATTTGGCAGCCAAGCCAGCAATTGCCCCAACAACCCCCCTTTCAGAGGCATAGACCAGTATCAGGTATTGCAGGCTAACAAAGCACCCAAAACGACCCATTCTTCCGGTTCAATTTGCATGTTTTCCAGGCCAAAACAAGTTTTTGGGCTGCTATATAAAGCTTCAAACTCAACTGCAATTCTAACATTTGAAATTGAAAAAGCTTCCTGGGTGGGAAGCGAACCGTCTTCAAACTTGGAAACCAAGTCCAGTGGACTGTTTTTTATTTTAACTTTTTTGGAATGACTATGACCTGGATGACTGAGAATCTTCACCAGCAATCCGAATCATTGAATTTTGTGGTTGTTCTTTTTTTCTGTTTTGTCTTAATTTTGGACATGCTTGTATGCTTTATTTCAAAATCCTGCTGCTTAACATAAGTATGCTTAATTAAGGTTTTAATTCATATAATTGTGGTCATACAAACACCCGGATATACTGCTAGAGAGCAGAGGTCATGGAGGTATATTAAAAATATAGATTGGGATTTCTCCTAACCCAAATAAACTGATTCAAATCACAAATAACCAAATCAATCCAGCACTAAGATAATCAGATTTGTTTTAGGAGCTAGTCAGAATATTTGACTGATAATCACCTACAAAAGAATCTCCTTTCTCACCATAACAGAACAGCAGATCACCTGCTCTGGAGAATAATAATGGATCTACTGTTACAGGATTCTTTCTTCCTGCTGCAAGCTGTACCTTTAATGGTCCAAAATAGACACAACGTTTATAGCATATATATATAAATGTAATCCTCAAAGCAATGTAGATGTATCCCATGAAGAGGCAATTATGTCTAATCTCTGCAAGTCATTATCAGCTTGAACTGATATGACAATAAAACAGCCGCTCCTCTGTTTACTTAAGGCGGACTGTATCCATTTGTCCCTGTATGCATCTGGCTGAAACTGGGTAAGAAAAGTAAAAGAATTTACGCATTTCTGAATAAAAAATAAACTGTATGCATATCAAATTTATGATGGAAAAAAAGTATAAATCAACGATCAGAATCTATTTAATCAGATTAAAATGACATGTGTGTCTCTAATGTATCAGAGGTGTTTTTCTAGTGAGAGGTAACTTGGCTGTAGTGAAGCAGCAGTAGAACATTAGGAACTGCAGCATCGTGTGATGAGCAGAAGGAACCAGAAGGGGGCAGATTAGACGTTGAACCTTATATATATATATATATATATATATATATATATATATATATATATATATATATATATATATATATATATATATATATTTTTTTTTTTTTTTTTTTTTTTGCCCTATTCATGTATCCAATGCATTTCTATTATTTATCCTAAGAAAATGTTCTGAGTTCTGTGTTCAGGAGTGGAAAATAAACGGTACCATCTATATACTTCATATATAAGCTACCATTCTTTTGTTTACATTCCATGACCATCTCTCAGAAATCAGCATCCCATGATAAAGCTGTAAATCAAAGTTGCTTAAAGGCACTTTACATTATTTTCCATACTTAATTACACCAATGCATTGCCTGAGAAATAGAGGTATAGAACAAAGTTAAGCTTTGAAAAAAAGACGTTCCTGTTAGCCTAACTTAACAGGTCAGGGGAGAGGAGCAAGGGCGATTCTAGACAGGGGCCAAAAGGAGGGCCAGTGCCCCTGTAGAACTGGTTCTGTCACCTGTACTGAAAACATACACTAAAAAAAGTTTAGATTTAATTAACAATAAGTGTATTTTACCTTGTTTTAGGAAAAAATAAGAACAGATGACTATTAACTTATTTCAGGTGCATGAAAATTATCTAATTTTTAAGAGCAAAAATACTCAATTCCTTTGGGAGAGTAATATAATCAGTCAAAGTTAATAAAACCCCATTTGTTCACAGCTGCCTTTTACTGCTGAAGTTAACTGCTAACTGAGGTATTATTATAAGGTTATAGACCAATTGTTTTATACATTTTTTAAAAATCTTTATTTGCTTTTATTTTTCTTCTATTTTATTATCTAATTCATGTTAAGCAATTTTAATTGTCGGTGTACTGAATTGTGCTATACAAATAAACTTGCCCTACCTTGATTTAGGGAAAAAATAACAAGAAATGACTATTACCTTATTTCAGGTGCATGATAACTATCTCATTTTTAAGGGCAGAAACACTAAATTTCTTTGGTAGATCATCATAATCACCTGCTCATTAAGGGAAAATACACAAATTTTAAGAGAATGTTACATTTTTGATCAGTTTTTATAGTGAAATACTAGTTAATTTCTTATTATTATATGTGCTGACAGAACAGACCGTAACTGCTTTGTCATTTGGACCACTTTTAATTATTTCACCTTGGAAATTTTATGTAACAAACACTTAGAAATAGCAGTTAGCTATAAGCTTCACTCATAACAAGCTATGATCACTTTTCCTCTGTTACCCAAGGAGTCTGCAACTATGGCTTTGTGGCTCATATACTGTAACAGACTAAATAATGAGCTATTGTCCTGTTTATCTTTTTGATTTGTTACATAAAATCCACCCGTGATCATTCTGGAGGATCTGCAATATAAACAGATGGGGAATCTATTAATCGTGTGCTGATAAAATCTAGACTTTATGAGAAACCAGATGAAAGAAGGGAGTGATAAAAGAATGGTAAGGTGTCCAATGTAAAGCTTGGGGCACATCTAGAATATGACAGAAGATCCTTTAATTAGACCAAGATTAGGCCATTAGGTAATAGAAAACTAGGACTGCATGTCCCTGAATGCACCATCTGCAGAATTAAAGATGGTGGTGGCAGGAGGAGTGTTCTTCTTCTGCTGGAACAGAAACGCTGGTCAAAGGTGATGGGACTGGTGGACAATGACCCTTATCACAAAGCCAGAGATATAATGGAGTATTTCAGGCTAAATTCAAAAGTCTAATTAATTAACCAATACATAAAAAATAGAGTTTCACAGATACTTCTTTGTAGATACGCCTCAGAAACCAGCAAACTCAGTTGTAGCCAAATGGGATGTGGGGGTTCATGATATAAGGAATTAATAAAACTACTTTTCAGATTTCTGTTTAAAAAATAATTCAAAAAAGGTTTCATGTTTTTCCTCCACTTCTCAATCATGCATCACTTCCTGTAAAAGAGGTTAAAGGTGAAGAATGCCTCTCCGACTTTATTAACTGAACCTATTTAACAGCTACAAATTAAAAAGCCTTCTTCTCCTGATTTCCTGAAAAGTAGCAATCATACAAAGTAGCATTATGAGTGAAGATGACCCTAGATTCCCTTTCTTAAACCTGGCTGTGCTTGTTGCCGCTTTGCCCCGCCATATGGAGCCGAGCAGCATCAAGTGTCATGCCTGCTCACAACACCCGCCCAGTTAAAACCCTACCTTTGTTTGTGGTTAGGCTCCAGAATACTCCATCTCTTCTTTCCACGTCAGGTTATATCCAAACACCATTGCTTCATCCACAGCACAGTCTGAAGAGGCATCTTCTTCACATCTTTTAGCCCACTTTCCCTCTAGTGAAGCCTCCCACTCGGTGCCCCTCTCCTGGACCGAAGATCTGCTTGTTAATATTTAAAGGCACTATTGTGCTTGTGTGTGCAGGCGAATCAATGGGAGCCCATATATTCTTGGAGAGAAAAGTGGCAAGCCTGCCATGGAGCACCAACAGCAGGGATGCTGGCAGTGGGGTTGGGGTCAAAGGACACCAAGCATCAGGTTCTGCATCATGAACACCTAAAGGGATCTCTAATAACCTTATAGAGGGAACAAAAACTCCTGTCTTTGTACAAATGAAGCAAACAGACTTTATAAAATGTTTTATGGAATTTATTTTTATCGCTTCCTCTCTTGATGACAATATCTTACATTTTTAGTCCAGAATCTGCTGGTCATGGATAGATTTCATATACAAAATAACAACGCTAGGTTCTTGTCTTTTCTGTATAATTATTATACAGTTTATTTTCCGTCCATTCAGAAGAGGTTTACTTCTTAACGATCTGGATTACGTCCTCATGCTCCATGATGTGGGTTAGGCCCACCCTCTGAGGGCTGTACTTGGTGCTGGTTCCCTGAAATGACAAGACAATGTTAAAGGTGAGGACTTTAATTCCTGGAAAGCTGACCGGTTGAATCTGTCCAATATGTGGCTGATTAAACAGAGATAGAGGAAGTGTTTTCACAAAGTTCAAATCAGAAAGAGATAATCTGAGCAAATAAAAAACAGTATTCAATACCAGATGAGAGTGTTTGGCATCAAAGCAGGCCCAGATCACCACTCTACCACCACCAGCTCTAATTCTTTAAAACTGACATCCTTTTTCTGAAATGCTGCCTCATCTTTAAACCTGATGTGAATCGATGTATCCCATCTGTTCTAATGTGAAACAGGCCTATGTGCTCTTGCGTTGAGACCATTTCTGCCCAATTTCTAACCTTAACTGGGGAGAAAGTTGAGGAGAAAGTTATTTTGGTAGGCTGGACAATCCTGGGGGGACTCACCACAGCTTTTTGGGATCCTTTAACCTCCTTCATGTTGCAGACAGATCTATTTAAGCTATTTGATGATTAATCATCAAATAGCTTAATTAGAACCTGTCTGCAACATGATGGAGCCATTTGATGATTAATCAGGATTTATCAAGAGGGGCAGTTTTGGTTGGACTTTTAAAAAATCCTGACTTCACTCAATTAAAAGCTGTGTTTTGTATTTTCTCTGGTTATTTTTGGCATACAATAATTTTTTTTAGAACATTAAGTGGACAATAAAAACCCACAGAAATCTGCAAAGCAGTTTTCAAAAAAGGTTTTCATTGTATTAAATGCCCAAACTGCTTCTCATTGTAATAGGTGACAGAATCAGAATTAATGGGATTCATTAATAATATAAATATGCAATCAATGCTGCAGAGGCCAAATCGCCAGAAAAAATTTCTTATTAAAATAACCTCAATTACAGTTTGTGTTAAAGATGATAAGAACCACAGGTATGACCTCTTTATAACACGAAAACAAATGTTGTCTTCTGTTAAAAATCCGAAATGCTGTGTAATAATTTTGAAAATAAATTTAAAAAAAGTCAAAATTTAGAATTTTCTGTCCTAAATAAAAAAAATGAGCATCTACACTTTTTTTTATTTTATATATGTATGAGAAAGAGGAAACCCATTTTTCTCACGTTAAGACGTAGGTGTGGAGCGAACTATCTCTGCGTATTATCACCATGTTATTAGTTTCTGGCTGAATTCTTCTTATTTCTGCTATTTCAATGACTTATTGATTGCATTAACTCTAAAGTGTTTCCCAGGATGTTAGAAATAGAAACAGGCCCACAGCATCACATATCCTCCACTTTACTTCAGCTTCTTTCAAATATATCCTTTCTTTCATACCAAACATCCCTGGAATACCTCGTTACCAAAAGGCCCAATCAAACACTCCATTTCCATCCATTCTTTAATTATCTTTTTTTACAATCTTATTCCCTACATTTTAAAAGCTAAAATTGTAAATTGCAATGCAGTTCTTAAAAAAAAAAAAATGGAAGAATCTTTGGTAGATAATTATTAAATAAGTTCACATTTTCTCTCTTTACAAAAGGTGTCTTTAATGTTTGTGGCTCTAAATGAGTTTTATTAGCAGGACTGAATGTAAAAATGTCTGGATTTTTAAGGATGCAGACCGAAGAGCTAGGGTATAGTGTTCTTTTGAGTGAAATACCCCCATTTCACCACTAGATGGCAGTAATTCTCAAAGCATCCCCTTAAAAGTTACCTTTATTTATCTTCCCCATTTGAAGAGAAGCTAAGAAAAACAGGTTAATATGTCGCTTTATGTTGTAACACCAGGGAAACGGAAAGTAAGGGATCCAAAGTTAGACTCAGAATAAATTAAAATAAACAAATCAATCCAACGTCTCATTTAAAAATGTTGACTGTCCCAGTTAGCTTACTTACCCACACCAAGGCATATTTGAACTGACTGGCTAGAGTTCTGTGGATTCTGTGGCACTGCAGGTGAAGAACAAAAAAGAAAAAAGTTATGCCCACACATTTTCACTCACTACTTATTTTATGTGATCAAATGCATTGATACTTGTACTAACTGATCAAATCTACTGACCACATGCTCTACTGATGCTCCTCTTCTCATGATGATGGCGTCGTTAAAGTCTGGGCGCTCTGACAGGAAGCAGAGGAATGAGGAGGTTAACTCAGGGATCTATTGTACATTCAAGCCAAAGTGGAAGAGTCCTTCAAAAAGAATACCTCCTCTTTTCTTTGTATAAATGCAAATAAGCGCCAAGTACTCCCACAACGTCTCCAGGAGATAATCCAAGTTCAGCTTCATTCCACAGCTGGGACAAACACAGAGGCAGAGGTCAGAAGCTTCTTTGACTTACAAATATTTCCACATTTATATAATAAATGAGGGTTGAAGGAAGAGGTGGTAGGTGGAAATCCAACCTGATGACAACACTATGAGGTCTGCGAGCCAGACGGTCCACCTCCTCCATTGAGATCTGATCCACCTTATTGTACACCTGATGGCACAGAAGAACACCTGTAAACTCCAATCCGCATCAGGCAAGAGATTTTCAAACATGCATAATGTGTCATTTCAAATAAAGAAGAGCTGAGGTACATAAAGGCAGGGCATGTAAACTCTGTTTCCAACAATGACGTCGATGAACTCGTCTGGTGTGCTGTCCTCCCTGAAGAGAACTTCTGCATTAAAGATTTCTAATACGTTAGGTTAAAGAAATGCTGGGAAAGTGGGAAGGAAAGCTTTTTTTTTTCTTCTGTCATCTCATTGAAGGATACTGTACTCGTGGAGGATGAGCTGGACGAGCTTCTCCGAGCAGTGAGTGAGAGGAACCGTGGAGTTATAGGACAAACCGCCACCTTTCTTAGGCTGCAAGAAGATTGAGAAAAGAACGTCTTATTTACAAAGCTAACCAAAACTCAACTTCAACTTTCTCTCTACAGCACCTGCAGCTCATAACACAGCTACAAATAAAAATAAAGAACCAAATATGGATCACAGTGATACCTTGAAATAAATGTTTGGCTTTGTCCTGTTCAGTCTGATGCCCACCGACTCCAACTCCTTTTCTAGAAGTTCTCTGAAAAAAAAAAAAAAAAGAATCTGCTGTTTATAACGACGGTCTTCCGAGGTTACAAACCTTTTTAATATCATCAAACCTTTGGACGTCTCCTTTCGTGGCGTCTAGCATCATGATGACCACATCTGCCGTCCTGGCAACGGCGATGACTTGTCGGCCTCGACCCTTTCCTATGACAAAGACATGAACCTATGAAGGTTTTGCAGACATGAGAGAAAAATTTGCCATAATGCAGCTAAAACGTACCCTGGGCGGCGCCCTCGATGATTCCTGGGAGATCGAGCAGCTGAATGTTGGCCCCTTTATACTAAAGACCAATAAATAACAGCAGAAGATAGAAAAAAGTAAAGAATTACAACTTTTTTTCTTTTTTTTTTATAAAAACCATACAGTTTAAAGCTTGACTTGGAAGAAAATAGTTTAACCAAAGGCACCTCAATGACGCCTGGTATGCAGGTGAGGGTTGTGAATTCGTAGGACGCAGATTCACTTTCTGTTGACGTCATCAAGCTGAGGAACGTGGACTGAAGAGGGAGAATCAATGACAAAAAAAAATGTATCTTTAAATGCATCTTTTATCTTGCCGTGGCGTTAACATCACATGATGAGGACATGACAACTAGGCCTGGATGTATGATGAAAATATATATTTTTTTAATGTTTCAGGGAGCTTTTAAGCAGGCAGTTCACAGCTGCAACAAAAAGAGAAAAACCAACCCTGGTTACGTCCACCTACCTTACCAACTGAAGGGAATCCAATTAGCGCGACTCGAGCATCTCCTGATTTCATGACATCAAAGCCCTCGCCTTTAGCCCCCGCAGATTTGGACGGCTCCAGGAGCTGAGCTCGGTATTTGGCTAGCTTAGCCTTTAGCAAACCCAGATGGTACTCTGTGGCTGCAGAGTTAAAAAAAAAAAAAATCATTAAGCACTATTAGCTGCTTCATTCAATCATTTGAAAATGCAATAATAATAATAAATGTTGTCATAAGACAGTAAATTTGTAATTTGCTGTCAACATTTACTCTAAGTTGTCCATACATTTTTAAATGGGAAACATCTGGAGCATCTCAATCATCACTGCATGTCAGCTGGTTCCTTTAAAGGTTTCTGAACTCCAGCATTGGACAGTTTTACATGAATTTGATTAATGTTTCTGAATAGGACGGTGCATAAATTATCATCAAATCTATCGTCAACCAAAAGTAGCAGCCATTCAAACATGCCCTTCCCAGTCAAACGCCAGCTGAATGGCGGCCCACTTCCCTCCAACTCACAGCAAAATCCCCTCCAACTTCCAGTCACTGGAGTGACCCCCTGTTGAATATCTTTTTACTCTAACTCCACCCTTTCAATGAAATAAAGGGTCTAACCAGGAGATGACACTTCTCTTTAGATCTTAATGTCCATAAATAATGACAAAAATAATATTTTACTACAAATCTTGGAGGAATTGTAGGGAACCAGGCAAGGGCCCATCAAGGAAAGTGGAGATTTTTTGAATAGCTACAACTGTACAACAAATTACATAATTATCAAACACGAAGTTGTAAAATATAATCTGCATATTCATGATATAATAATATGACAGTCATGACTTAGAACTGATTCCGCTCTCTCCCTCTCAAGCTCCATGTCCTGTCAGCAACCCTGTAAAATAAATATCTAGGCCTAAACCAGGGCCGGAAAAATCATAAGTTAGAAAATAACAATTAATATATTGAATAAATTCTTTTAAAAATGAAGGTGGTTCGGTCAAAACCTGTTAGTATTACATAAACGAACAAAGTCATATTTTATATTGAACTGTTATACCTGTTCTGGCCTTTAATATCATATCCAGCACAGTCAGTGACATCCTGCACCACGCAGGGATATCGCCAAAGGTTACTGCTAGACGTCAGCTATTTACTGATTGCTGCATCCAAGGATATTAATAGAAAACTGAGTGGAAGGAAGAAATGTCCACAAGCAATAGAGATAACTACTGCTTTTTTGGAGGGGTCTAAATAGTGGATTTTTAATTTTCCCTTTGCTAAAATGCCCAACTGGAAACATTCGTCTACATGTCATAAGGAATTTAAACCTGCCTAGGCTCTAGACCTGCAGGAAGCCTTAACATGCACACAGATCCATAATACGCTGCATTATAATTATACTGCTTTACTGTAAATGAGGCCATTCTAAACTGCCAGATTGGGAAACATCCCAACCTGGCAACAATGCACGTAGGATGGTAAACATTAGCCTTTAGATGCAAAACCCCATCATGCACCGCAACATATTTTTGCAAAAATATTCAAACATAAATTCGCCAAATATAAGAGGAACATCGTAGTTCGGTTTAAAGAAAGCATTTAGTTTTATTATAATTTAGATTGTTGCAAGGATTTTACAGTTTCAAGAAATATAAAATTGCACCATATGCCAACCGTCACAAGGATGTGCATGACAAGGAATGGATATATATTCTGCATGCATCATTTATCAGGCATCCCCAAAGTCGGTCCTGGAGGGCCGCTGTCCTGCAGGTTTTAGAGGGTTCCCTGCTCCAACACAGCTGATTTTAATTGAAAGCTGATTAACAGGCTGTTGCTCAACTTCAATCATCCTAAACAGCTGTGCTAAAGCAGGGAAACCTCTAAAACCTGCAGGACAGCAGCCTTCTAGGAACAACTTTGGGGGTGCCCGACTTAGGTAGTTAACATTGTATTACTTCTTGAGCTCCTGGAGATATTTACTGTCACAGATAGGTGAGAGTAAGTGTTGGGGCCGGAATGATTTAAGCACGCTGAAATTAGGACCGGCCCACCGGGCAAATGCCCAGTATCACAGTTACCAATCTGAGCCTGCTCGTGGATCCGTACGCCTCCAGGACTCTGGGGAGTGCAGGGAAGATCGTGGCTGATCCCTCGCACCCCAGCCACAAACTATTTTAGTCCCTCTAGGAGGCTGCGGTCCATCAGGACCAAAACCTCACGCCATAGGAACAGTTTCTTCCCATCCGCTACCAGCCTTATCAACAAGGCCCAGAGTATCACACTGACACTACCTCTCTCCCTCCCTGGATCAGGACCTGGAACAGAAGCTACACCAATGCAGCATCTCAAGACCTCCTGCGTAACATTAACAGCCTTCTAGTATATACTATTTATTGTATGTTTTATAATGTATATCGCTATAGAGTCTGTCTGTGTGTGTGTATGTGTATATATATATATATATATATATATATATATATATATATATATATATATATAATTTGTCTGCACCATCAACACCAAGTCAAATTCCTTGTAAGTTCAAACCTACTTGGCAATAAATCTGATTCCCAGCTGAGCATGCAGGTTTTTACTCTTTATTGGAGCTTTTTAACTTCTTGCTGATGAAGGTTCTCAGTCATCCAGGTCATAGTCATTCCGTAAAAATTCAAAAAATATCCACTGAATTTTAACTTCTTGTTACTATAAGATCAATATCAACCCTGTGTCTTTAGATATTTAAAGCGGGGTTGAACTTTTTTGTTGTTGTTTTGGGGCAGGTTTCGACCTCATTACTAAATTAGTTTGTATTTTCCGAGCCAAAGCTAACCAGGTCAGCAGCTGCAGCTGTTGGTTAGCTAGCAGCTCTGCTCTGCTTTACCTTTGTTTTTTTGGGTCCGAGAAATTTCTCTCTCTATTTCCGCGATTTTCTCCAAAATACCCATTGTTGCAACCCAGGCTTGCTGCAGCCAATCTGTTGGGGAGAAGAGAAAAAAAAGGGAAATTACTTGAGAAACGTGTCAGCTTTGTTAGCCAGCCAAGGCTAACTGCAGTCTAGTGAGAGGTGACAGCTAAGACCCAGCGGTTAGTGCCGTGGTTAAAGGGGTAGAAGTGTTAACAAGCTTTCGAATAATACAAAAAAGTCACATATGAAAATAATATTGAAGAAGTTTACTTTAACAGAGGGTATAATCAACAGCATGCACACTTGGAGCGCAGAGTTCCTCCGTTAAAATGAATCCCCGCCCGGTTCGGTACTGTCCTGAAGTCACCGCGCTTCTACACTAAGGTTTATGGTAAGAAGGGTGGTGCGTTTAGGTGTCATTTTAAGGTTGGGATTTATTAAAAAAAAGATCTAAAATGAGGTAAAATAAATTGTTTATTTGAAGAAAAAAATAAGTTTTGTCTTAAAGCGTCACCAGAAATTGTAGGTATTTCTCAATGTAATATTGGGTCCTTTTTAGGTAGTGTTGTATGTCTTAAAAATTAGAAACATTCTACTGCCATTGAAAAAACACACTGTCACACTTTTTGTTCTACATAAGGATAAAAAGAAAAAATAGAGAAATCAATGGGTCCCTCTTTCTCTGGTAATAATTCAGAAGATATAAATAGGCACAAATTCATTGGGCCATAGACGCGCTGGTTCTAGAATAAATCTACCAGGTTGGGGCCAGTGTTTACATATGAAAACTGTGATCCTGTACATTTAGAGCTGAAGCTTGTAGCTGAATGTAATTTCAAAATAATTGTTAAAGTAAATTGTAAAAACAAAATATAAAATCGTTTAAAGGTTGTTGTTTTTCTGTCTGTGTATACCATCATAAGAAATGTATTATTACGTACCAAAAACTAATCTAAAAAATTAAACATTTATTAAAATAGATTCATTTGCCCTATATTTGAGCAGGCAAATAAGGTAATCTGCTAAAGGAATAAAAATTTTTGCTCTTGAAATATAATTATTTGATTAAATTTACTTGAAATAAGATAATGAAGTTTTATTTGAAACATAAATTGTCTTATTCCATCCACAAATTGTCCCTTGAAATGAAGTGAAAATATGTTTAAAGAAAAAATGTACTCACTTTTATTTAACAGTATACTGGAGGATGTTATTTTTCTGGGTGGATCATCAAAATAAGTGGTCCTCCTTATTGTCAATCATTCTGATTTGTTTACCTAAGGACGCCCTATGTGCCCATCCCTGTTTTCACTTACTGGTGGTGAGTCTGACATAGTGGAAAAATTGCAAATCTTCCATTGGAAAGTAGGCTTGTATGAGTGATGCCAACAGCAACTTTTAAACAGAGCGTGCACAAGAAGAAAAGGGCTTGTCCATGCTTTTGCACGCATTTAATAGGCATCTCACGGAAATCCTCCACTGTACCTTTGAATGTGTGCAGCACATGGGACCAGTTTTACTCTCTTATTGGCCCCTGTCTAGAATCGCCCATGTGCCACAGTAAGAAATATTAATGAAATACAAAAAAATGCATAATGAGACCATAACAGTTACATTAAATTAAGAATAATTCGAAATATTTAAAATGAATGATTGATTGTTCTTACACCTGTAACAGTACACCTGTAACGGACTAGAAAAGGTTTTTTTTTTTGTTTGTTTTTTAGGTATTTAAAAAGTCAGTTTTTTTTATTATTCAATCCTCGTGAATGTCATTTAGTTTGCGGCTTCCCAGATTTTTATTACATTTTTTTGTAATAGTAACATCCAGTTAAAATACGGCCGTAACAGACTGCATAGAAGCGCACAGCGCCGTTGTCTACACGCATTAAATCGCGGGGGACTCTCCTCGACACAACACCAGGAAGCAGTACCGTTCCCATAAAAAGTCCGTGAGAAACAAGGAAATTCGCAAGAGGGCGCGCAAAAGCTCCAGTACTGCTGTAGATAACAGCAGAAGAAGAAGAGCCCCAGTTCTGGGGAACGCTCGACGGAGGGTGGGAGGAACGTTGGTCGTTTGGTGCATGGCGCGTGTTTTGAAGCTGCTCTGCTTGTGGAGAAATGTCCTGGGCCGTGAGTAGTGAGGAAACAGGAAGCGATTCTTGTGGGATGGAAGAGGGAAATAGTGACAATGAAGGTTGGAAGATAGCAGCATCAAAAAATGAGAAAAAGCGGAAAAAACAGAGATCAGTTAAAGGGGAATCTAGTTCAGAACAATCCAGTGATGATCAATCCATACATTCCACAGCACAACAAAATGAATTCAAAGTCATATTCAAAGTCGTTAATCAGGCAGACTCTTTTACAAACTGGAATCCGGTTCACTTAACAAAAACCATCAATAAACTTGTTGGAGAAGTCAGAGGTGCCAGAATTCTGTACAGTGGAGACCTGCTAATTAACTGCAGAGACAGCGCCCAGCAAGGCAAAGCAATACGTATTAACAAAATTGACGGGATAAGAGTTCAGTGCAGCCTAATGGAGAACAAAAAGATCAGCAGGGGAGTCATTGGAGGAGTTCCTCTGAAAATTTCTGAAAAAGAGATTCTGGAAAACATAAGAGGTGCAAAAGTAAAAGAAGTAAAACGGTTAAAAACAACAAGAAACGGAGAAAGATCTGACAGTTTATCTGTGCTAATTAAATTCGAAGAAGAGCAATTACCAAGCAAAGTATTCATCGGTTACATAAGCTATAATGTCAAAATCTACAATCCTCCACCATTGAGATGTTTCAAATGCCAAAAATTCGGTCACATTGCAGCAGTTTGTAAAGGGAAACAGAGGTGTGGAAGGTGTGCAGGAGAACATGAGTATGGTAAATGTGGAAAAGAAGCTAAAATAAAATGCTGTAATTGTGGTGGAGAACATACTGCTGCTTATCGCGGCTGTGAAGCAAGCAAAAGGTCTGAAGAAATAAAAAAAATGAAATTTGAGCTTGGAATAACTTATGCTGAAGCTGCAAAAAGGATCCCATCTCAGTCAGAAAAACCCAAACCTATAGTTCAACACACGGCAAATTTCAAACCTCTAGAGAAATCTCCAAAAATTGATGAAGACTCACTAATTGTTAAAAAGACAAATTTTGTTCTTTTCATGGTGGAAGTGATTAATTGTACTGCTCAGACGACAAAAAAAACAGAAAAAATCAAAATAATAGTGAAGGCTGCAGAAAAATATCTGGATGTTAAAGATATGAACTGGGAGATGGTTGGAAGCATGATGGAAAGACCAATGGGACCATCAGAAACTGGCAGAGGTACGATGACCTAGAGTAAATTAAAATTATACGGGCAAATGTAATTTAGTATAATTTAGTATTATGTGGGTTTAAGTTACACAGGTTATTTTATTGTATTTTTTTTTTTTTTTTTTTTTTTTTTTTTTTTTTTTTTGGGGGGGGGTGAATCGTTTCCTGTTTCCTTGCTTTACTCCATATCAGTTGGTGGCGGTAATGCACATTTCACAAGTTTGCCAACCGCCATAAAATCTCATAAGAAGAAGAAGAAGAAGGAAATTCGCAATTACGAAACTTGACCCCCCATTGAGTTGCTCCAGTTACCCAAATTAACACCGAAGATGAACGCACGGAACAGAGGAAATTAGATACCGGCGATGTTTCCAGTCGTAACTAATTTAATATCTTCCAGCAGTCGTTTTTGTTATCTATCGGTCACTCAGAGGTACTAACTGACGAAAATATGGCTGAGCAACCAACAGCCAGAGGACAATCGACCGCCACCCCATCGGAGTTCGTAGGTTTTCCCTTCCCGATTGCTGCCCAGCAGCAGGAAAGCTCCGAGAAAGGACACGAGCAAAGCGGGGAGGCAAAAAAGAAACCGTGTAGAGCCTGTATGGACTTTAAGTCCTGGATGAAACTGCAGAAGCAGCAAACCACAGCAGCAGCTGTTAAGGTGGGTCAAAGGGTTCAGGTGGGGGTGGGGGTTCTGTTCTCTACAGAAATCCACTAATTTATATTTTTAGTTTTTAACAAGTGGTTCATTTACAAAACATCCCCAAATGGCATAATACTGCCACTGTCTCCCTTTTAGGACTAGTTGACCTTGGAGCCTTTTCTCATAATTACATTCAATCTGTTAAATGCTACAACCCGGAGGTCTTCTACAGGGGGTCTGCAAACCCTAGGGTACTGCAAAAAAAAAAAAAAAACATTTTTTATACTACCCTGCAATTTTTTCCACTAATTGAACTGTCTTTAAATCCTCATTAACATGAATTCAGCACACTGTAGTAAACAGATAAATGAAGGTAGAAGATCTTTCAGTTATTAATGCACACATTCAGCGACACATAGGAGCTCTTTCAAGCTGGGCACCGTTTCATTCACAACACCTGTCCCATCAACCAGGAATCAGATATACTTTAAAAATCCCAGGGTGAAATTACTTTCGTTACATTATTCCATCTGTAATAGCGTGAATATAGGACCAGTTTGATATAACACAATTTCATACAATATATATAATTATGGGGTCCCTGCTCCATTTTGCCATTATTTTGGGGGTCCTTGGCCTGGAAAACATTTAAGACTCCTGCTGTAACCAATTGACCTTTATTGGTTTTACTGTCCCTTCCTTTCTGCAGGAGAAGCGTGCACCAGAAACAGAGCAGACGGAGCCTCAGTGTCCACTGGACAGAGAGGAGTTGGGACGTAGCACCTGGTCCCTCCTGCACACCATGGCAGCATATTACCCCGATCGTCCGTCTTCCACCCAGCAGCAAGATATGCGACAGCTAATCAACCTTTTCTCCAAGTTCTACCCATGTGAAGAATGTGCAGAAGATCTCAGGGGAAGGTAGAACACGACCACACATGGTTTTTGGCAGGTTGCATACTCTCATCATAGACATGAAAGATATTTGAAGCTTTTAAAGACAGCTTTATTGTATTTTTTTTTAAGTTGGAATGGTTGTCTGCTGTAGATGGAGTCGATCTAGATGTTTGACTCTCTTTTGTTTTGTTTTTTAGCAAAATCAATTAATTTAAACGAGTCTCTCAGCTCTGGAGCATGGTCCATAATTTATCAAAAGGGTTGAGGTTGGAATCATTCCATAACATTACCGCCTGCCTTATCACATGTGGCTGTGATCACAGTTAGAAAACCAAGTTATGTCCCATCTTCAACCATCCAACCAACTTTATTAGTTTTAAAGCAGAAAGATAAGTTGGTCTTGATGTTGAAGAATCGCCAAGGTTCATAAAGACTATAAACAGAAATGCTCTGGATTAGTTATCAATGAAGCATGTGATAAAGGAATGAGGAGAGGAAGTAAACACCTTGTCCTAAATTAATCCCTTTAAGCTTAAATTAAGACGTTTGCTGCTGCCAGCTTGTACAAGCCACATACCTACTGGAGGGAAGATTATATTTATACATTTTTTGGGCACATAAGACAAAGATTGACCTATTTGACGACAGTGACTGAATGCTGGTGGCAGCATCATGCTGTGGGACGGTTACTCTGCTGATGCCGTCAATAAGGTGAATGAAAATGATGCAAGAGCTTCACTTCAGCCCCACTGAACATTAAAGACCTTGTTTGAAAATCCGATCAGTGACGTTAAAACAAACGATTAAAATATCAGATATATAGCAGCAAATATGCAAGAAGCTTTTACATGTAATTATTTAATTATTCCAACTAGGAAAAACAGTGAATATATGTATTTAAAGCTTATTAACACATAATGAGAGGATGGTGTCGTCAAAAACAAAAGACAACTCTAAGAAAAATCCCATTTCCTCCCCGCAGATTAAAGACCAACCACCCGGATACGAGCAGCCGCCACGCGCTCTCCCAGTGGTTCTGCCGTTTACATAATGAGGTCAACGTCCGCCTGGGGAAGCCTGAGTTCGACTGCTCTCTTGTGGACGAGAGATGGAGAGATGGCTGGAAGGACGGCTCCTGTGACTGAATAAACCGGTTCCTGCTGAAAAACCCAGCTCGCTCTGATTGAACTATTTTGTAAAGATGCTAAAATGTAGACGAGTGAGTGATATATCTCTACCTTTAGTTGTTTTGTGATTAGGTTTTGTGACAAGTTTAATTGTAAAATAAAATCTCTGTAAATCATATTTTGTTGTTTTTAAATTAATATAAAAATAAGTTATAAGTACATGTGTTTATGGGATCATTTCTTAAATACCTCCTCTCGTGTTACTATGACAGATGTTGTTGCAAAAATGTTATTCATTCTAACTTTTATGATTTCATTTTCTTTTAGTCCGATTTTCCTAGAGGAATAATGAGCAGTCAGTATCAAACCTGCAGCTGATGCCTCCTAAGGCCCGGTTGGATAAAGAGAAAATAGATCTAAACAGACAAAATGTAGCGTCACCATTTCACTCTATTGCAGCGAAGTGTTTTAGTGGAGCTATTGATGTTGATTTAGATACTACTTGCTATATAAATATCTCAACATATTATGTCATGATACTAGAAAACTAAGTATTTAGTGCAGATATTTACAATTTTGCTGATAGATGACCATGAATTAAAAAGATTGAAACTGTCTATTACCTCCAGATCTAAACCAGCAGATCCAGAATACCAACAGCTGTGTTCATTTTACTCATTCATAGTGTGACACCTTATTTAATAATGAATGTTCAAACTACAAACCCTGGTGGGTTTTTTTTTTCTTTTCTTTCCTATGCTTTAAGATTTCTTATAGAAAATGTCAAAGTGCTCATCAGTGCCCCTTAGCGATGTATGAGGTATGATGGCATCCTCACAAAATCACTTCACAAGAAAAATACTATGTAAATGAAAAATATAAGTGGTTATATGAAGAAATTAATTATAATAAAAATGTCCTTCCTGGAAAAAAATTAAAAATTAATAGATAACTGCTTACATTTTGAGATCAAAAGGTTGTTCAATAACTAAATTGGTTTTTAAACGAACATCTGGCATTTAAAATAGTATTTTAAAAATGCTTCTTTAAACTTTTAAAAAGATGCATGCATGTGGCAATTTGGGCTATAAATGCTGAAGGATGAATAGGGACAAAGACATTTAATCATAAAGAGGATTCAAACTTTTTTTTTTTTTTTTAGGAATAATCTACAATGAAATGCAATACTCTTTCTAAGACAACAAATCTCTTAGGTGTATAGGGAATTGCTGGATTTAGGAATTTAGTATTTGTAAATAGAAATAATAAGACCACTTATTAAATCATGATGGACATCCTCAAGATGCTTATAGTGGATTTTAATAGAACATATAAAGGAGGTCAACCCCAATTTATCTGACATCAGCTTTACTGATCCTTGAGGTGTGCATTTTTTTTTTTGGCGGTTCTAGACAGGGGCCAATAGGGGACAGTGTCTCTGCAGAACTTGTCCTGGCCCCTGTATGGGGGTCGCCACCCCTACCATTGTTTTCCCTCTAATACAGATGGTGGCAGCAGTAATACTCTCAAGTGATATATTCAAAACATTTACATTTTTTGTGGTTAATGATGCACATTAATATACTAAGATAAAAAATAAGTACAGAGCTTAATAGATACTTAATACATAAATAATCAATTTATGTTGATATTAGTGCTTGTAAATATAAGTTTTATGTAGAAAGTTTATTAATAAAAGTAGGTAAGTAATGACAATGGAAAAGATTTATGCCCCAGAACTCAAAACTGAAAGAGTTTTATCAACTACACCTTTTATCTAGAAATTACGGATGTTTAAATATATGCGTCTATTTGTTAGCAAAGGCTGTAGGAAAGTATAGTTTGTTTTTATTTAGAAAATATGGATGTTTTGCTTGTTAATTTTCCTGTTGGAACAGTGCAGATTGACCCTGAGGTTCTGATGCCTGTATACTTTCGGCCACCCCTCAGTATACATCAGTTATTGCCTGGCCACTCTTATATATAATATCTGGCTATGCCTCTGCCCCTGTACTGAAAACACAGGCTGTGTCCCAATGTCCGCCCTAATCACTATATAGGGCACTATATGTTGGTCACACCATTTTAAAGGAGTCTCGGAAAGTCTAGACTTAAGAGGATGAAAAAGTAGGGGACTTGAAATTTTCCACAATGCACCTTAAAAAGTAGTCATTCATGGTCACTAGACGAGCAGATATATCCCAGAATGCTTTGCGCTGAGAGCTCTCCTCACAAGGCATTATGATTTGCTGTCACAGCGGCTTGCTTTTGCCATAGGCTGTCGCTACTCATCAGCGGCGACTAATAACAAAGATGCTGCAGACACCGCGCAGTGAAGGAGGAGTTACGTGACCAACGGGGAGTAAAGAAGTAATCAACTGAGTTCACTATAAAGTCCACTGTATAGCCCCCGCTGTATATAGTGAATGAGGGATCTAGGGGTTAGGGTGGACATTTGGAAATAGCCTTACACTAAAAAAATTGAAATATTTTTCAGTAATGTTTTTTTTTTTTCAAATAAGGTGTATTTTGATATTTGATATTTAAAAATCAAAATACTTATACCTTTGGTAGATCATAATAATGGATTGCTTAAAGGGGCAAATATGCTTATTTGAAGAAAATATTATTTTTTTAAATCAGCTTTTATAGTTTAATACTAGATAATAATAATAATAAATCCAATTTGTACCGCACTTTTCATTAACAAAAATCTCAAAGTGCTACACAGTGCAAATAAAATCAAAGATAAAAATCAACATAATAAAAATCATGTGGAGGCAGAATAGGCTTGCTTAAATAAAAAAGTCTTCAAGCCTCTTTTAAAATCAGTCAGTGGTTGTGGAGCTCTCAGATGATCTGGGAGAGAGTTCCAGAGATAAATGAATTATGATGATATATGCAGACAGAAGAAATCGTAACTGATTTGTTCCTGGGAAAATTTTCAATTTCACCTTTTAACAATTATTTAGTAAATGCAGTTAATTATAAGCTTCAGTCACAAGATAGGATCTCAGTTTTTATCTGTTAGATCAGGAATCTGCAACCGTGCTCTTTCCATGTTTGTTTTTTCTGCTTGTATGTTATTCTTTTACTCTGAGCCCCCATAAAAAAAATTGCCCCCTCCTGTAAAATTAGTCTAGAAACAGCATGACCTTCATGATGTTATTGAATATTTCTCATATTTTTGTGGTGAATAATTTGCAGACGGTCCCTCTTGCATTTGTGGACCAGCCAGCCCTGCATGGGGAGAGTTGGTAGCAGAGAAGTGTCATTTTTGTAGACAGGAGTGGAGAAACCATAAGATATTTTTTATGGCATTTTCCAAAGAGAAACATTTCTAATTCTGACTACATTTAGATAGGGGCCAGGGGTGGCCATGGCCACACTAAGCGAATCATTGACCACCCCTACCACTTTTTCCCTCTAATACACAGTGGTAACAGTAGTACTCTCAAGTGGAATATTTTAATTTTTCATATATTAACATTTAGACACTGTGGTTAATTATGCACATAATTATACTGAAATTAAAGATAAGTACATAATTCATGCTCTTTTCAGAACTAGATTTTGTGTTATATGGAGTAAAGAGAAAATGACGTGTCTCTACAAGTCATCTAGGAGTCTTTAGTGAAATCATAGATAAATAACTATTTAATAAAAACTTATTAAATAATCAATTCATGTAGATATTTTTACATGTAAATATAATTTTTTGCAGAATGATTATTGATAAAAATAAGTAATGACAATGGAAAAGATGTTTGCCCCAGAACTTAAATCTGAAAGAATTGTATCCACTATGCGTCTATTTGTCAGCAAAGGCTGTAGGAAAAAAGGATAGTTTGTCTTTATTTAGAAAATATGGATGTTTTGCTCGTTAATAATTGTTGGAACAGTGTAGATTGAGTTCTGGTGCCTATCCTACGGAAGAGGATTAGGGCCGCTGAATTTTTAAATTTTATTTCAGTATAATATGGGAGAAAAAATATTGTGAGAAAAAAGTAATAATTGTGAGAAAAAGTCAGAATTGTTAGAAAAATGTCAGAATTCTGGGAAAAAAGTCAGAATTCTGAGATTAAAGTCAGAATTCAGACTTTTTTCCCATATTATACTAAAATAAAATTTTAAAATCAGTTAACTTGTTTTATTTTTTCAGTGGCCCTAATCCTCTTATGTACTATCCACTTTCGGCCACCCTTATAAAAAATTTCTGGCTACGCCTCTGCATTTTAGCCTAATTTACACTTACAAACAACAACAAAAAACGGTTAGGCCTTTCCTTTTTAAGCAGTGCAACTGGATTCAGTCGTATGAGGCAGAAGTTCACTACGGTTTGGTGCTGAGAGCCTTAACACCCCCCCCCCCCCCCCCCCCCCCCCCCCCCCTCTCTATCGCAGCTCTCTGGCTCCTGCGCGTCCCTGCGCCATTGGGAGCGCGCAGGACCAGTCCCTCCATCCTGCCGCGGAGCCGGGGAGCGTGGAGCCGCGCAGAGCGCACACTGACAGAGAGCCACAGAAGATGGACGGAGTGGGATCGTTCGGAGCGGGCAGAACCGGGACCACCGTGGACCCGATCACGTTCGCTAAACAGCCTCAGACTATCCTGAGAATTCTCTCCTGGGTGAGATTCATTTGTGCTGCATTTTTCCTCCTCCCGTTAATGTGTCCATGCGTGTATTTGCGTGGATCCCGTGACTTGCACCCCCAACGCTGTAAATGTAGACAGTGGAAATAGGAAGGCTGATTAGCTGGGTGTGTGTGGAAACAGGAAAATAGAAAAAAAAGGCGAATTGCTGTGTATATTGAACAGATGTGGTGCAGGGTGTTACCAGGGCCTGCTGTTTGGCTGAATCCATCTATATCTGCTGCACTACAGATGTTTTCCGGGCTCCAAAGTGACCTTATTGCTACTAATCTCAGGTTACACATGCTTTTAAACACACCGCAGATTAAGGGAATCACAAACCTAATTATCCAGCAAATTAGCCCATTTTCTTAAACAAAATGTGTTTTTTCCCCCTACGTAGCCTATAATATGCTCACAGCGTAATATAAAAATCCTTCTATATTTTTTGAAGTGATTTTATTTCCAGCTGATGGTTTTACTGATTTACCCTACACGGTTGTCGTTCGTCATCTCACCTGTGATTGGCCCGCCACCATCATTACGCACGCGGGGCCACGGAGATGCGTCGTGATCTGACGTTCGGGTTCCACGGAGCAGCTCCTCTTTTGCAGGGAAATGGTTTCTGAAACATGCATCTTAAGTGCATGCAGTGCTCACACCACAATACAGCTTCTGGTTGTATGGGTGACTTGCTTTGTGTGCGTCTGTTTCCCTCACTAATGGATTTTTGCACAGCAGCAGTATCTGGAGATACAGTGATTCCAGAGCCACAACAAGGCAGACCTGGCCCCTAGGAAAAATTAGACTCCAGTTGTAGGTTTGCAGACTCACCATAGGGACATGTCCCCACCAAAATTTTGGCCCGACGTACTTGTCCCTACTAATAATTCTATGTGAACAACATCTTTATGATTTACAATATAGTGTTGTTGCAGCAGTCGCTTCTTTTCTCACAACTTGTATATTGAAGTCAATATTTTAAATGCTCAGTGACAGTTCCTCTTATAGTTCCCGCGCCCATGTAAATACAATAAATCTATTTGCAGTCCTTTGAATATGTTATTTTGCTTTGTTTTACAATAAAGTGTCCTGTCTGCTAATGTAGCAATAATTGTCTTGATGAAAAATAGAGCCCACCAGATTTTACTTTCACAAGTGGAGCAGTAGGGCTATTGCCATAGTGTTCCGCTTGATTCATGCATATAAATTGCTTTATTATAATTATGCTGGGAGTTTTACAAATTATATGGACACTGCAATGTAAGTAGAACAGAAGAGGAAAAACAGAAAAAAGGAGAAGAGATGAAATGAAAGAGAGATAATGCTCAAACGTTTTCAGTCTGCTTCATCACCTGCAAAGAGATATAAAAAGAACAGCACAACCGAAAGACATGGTACGAGACATACAAAAAAGTAACACCTAGATACTATCCCTGAAGTAGTATTATTTAATCTGACATGTACTCTGTGTTACCTGAAGATAAGAATATGGTCTTTCTGTATGGAGTGAATCTCTGAGTACGTGGAACCAAGCATATCAAATAAAAAAAAAAATAAGAAGGGGTTTACCTCTGCACACATCTATTTCTTCAAAAGAAAACACCGGATAAGTACACATACAACAGACATATTTGGTTAAAAAGTCACGTATTTACCTTCCATCATAGACATTGGTAAGCTCAAATGTAACCCTTTTCAAAGTGTTAAGTTGTCCCAATTTTACATTATTCCAAGCCACTGATGCTTCAAACATTGATAAACAGCATCTTGTGTGTGTAATGCTTATAAGATTTGTATAAATGTAGCAAAAAATGCTGTTTTCTCTTTAAACTAAATGCGCCCTGATGCTCACGTCAAGCATTAAAAAAAAAATAGGAGCATGCATAATACGTAGGACCAGTGGCATCAGACCAATTCAACTTAAGACCAATAGAGTCCTACCAAAGTTGAGATCAAATCTATGCCCTTGACTTCTGGAACCCTCTTTCAGTTGCCTTCATTATGTGTTTATTACAGCTTGTTTTAGAGCTAACATGTGAGCAAACAATATTTTTGCAGATAATCAATGGCAACTTTAAATTGAGGTCTGCATTGGTGGTTTTTCTGAGCTGTCATAACCTACTTCATGTTTTCAGATAGGTTCTGTTTAATCAACGCCTTAAATCTTCTCTGGATGAGACATTTGAAGCAGAATTGAATCATTGCTTAATTACAAAAAAAAACTAAAAAGAATTTTATATAAGAATTTTATTTGCATCTGAATGCAAAGTGACAGATGTTGCAATCGACCCCGGACAGTTAAATTGTTTAGGTATCTTTAAATCAGTTGTGACCAATATAAAACATTTTATAGTTTATGTGATAATTCTTATCATTATAATATGCATAACTGTTTTGATTAAAATATGACAAAGCAATTTTAAAGGGTTATTCATTTGCTTTGATCAGATGACAGTTATGAGTAGGCCTTACATGCAGAAGTGAAAGATTCAAATTGATTTGAAACTCACAGTTTCATAAAGGCACGGGCCCAGACACAGACAAAGCTGTTCCTCCTCTAACATGATGCACTTTGTTATATTTCTGTAAAAAAAAAAAAAAATAGAACAAATATTAAAAATACCGTCTTTGTGGTCTGTTTCTTAATAATGAAGACAGAAGCAACCGCTGTCCCTCCTTCCTGTTAAGCTCAATTTGCTAAATATAAACTTATCATCTGTTTAAACTATGTAGGTTTGGGATAAATTCCCCCTAAAACATGACCACAATAAAGTAAAAAATAACCCTTTGCAAAAACTTTCATACCCTAAAAACTGTTGTTGTTGTTGTTGTTTTTTTTATAACCAATAAATCCCGTAGCAAATCTAGAATCTGCTTGCTATTCCTCTGCAGTGGTGGCCATCCTATTAAGCATGTGCAGTATGGGTAGCATTACTCTAGCTTGTTTCATATTGGAGAAAAATTCCATGTTGTGGCCATCCACTGTTGCAATTTCCCCAATGTTTCCTCATTAAAAGCAGAACCAATTGTTATTTTATATAGAACCATGTCGGTTAGATTATTTGTACTACCTTTTGGCATATACTTGGGTTTAACATTAAAATGCAAGGAACATGAAATCATGAGAAGAATCATGTCAGGAGACAAATTAAGGGTGTGTGATTTGACAGAAAAATGTATTATGATATAAGCCAGTTGATATCAATGATTATTTATGTATTTTTTGTTGTTGTTGCTGTTTTTTTACCTGTTTGAAATAAGGACTAGGGTAAAGGGGAGAATTTAAATGACAACCCCGATCTTATTTTAATATAACATTTAAAAAATAGATCAGCCCACCACCAAGCTGAGGTTCCGGCTAAATCCTTTACTTTGCCTACATCCCCCAGCATAACGTGCAGTTCTGGATTAGAGTTCAGTATAAATATACAAATGATTTTCATAAGGTATTTATTGCAATATATATTGTTATTGTTTTATTGCCCCGCCCCAGGACAAAGACCAGCATTCTTTTGACTAAATCGTAAATTAACATTTTCACAAGATTCATTTGCAAAAAGATTCCCATTTAAAAATGCTTACAAACTGTTTAGGAAACTGACTTGGCATTGAAAAGAGAGGATACTGCTGTTAAGGTAGTACGGTAATTTGAAACCCCTGTTGAGAAATTTGAGAAAATCCGTTAAATGATGCAGCTTTATGATGCTAAAAGCCATTTCATTTCACTGATTCAACCAAAGCTCTTGAGCATCTATCTGCTCAGATTACGCCCACTCATGTGATTAGGGCAGAATGTGGGGTCTGACATTATCCCATTGTGTGTCCTTTCGTCATCATATGACCCAGACCCCTAGTATGAGTGCATTCTTCTCTGTGTTGGTGCATCACATGGTCTTATTATTCTGAACAGTGTTAGTCAGCTGATCAATGTCAGATTTAAGGTTCTGAACACAGAGAAGAGGCCAAACACGAACTGGGTGAAGAAATAGGTGCATCTGGGGAAAAAACGGGGGGGGGGAAAAATGATCAAGAACAGAAAAACCTTGCGGCTTTAGCAAAAGAAATCACTTTTGTTTTGGCATTTTGTATGCAGGGCGGTTTAATTCTGTAGATTAGTTGAAGCACCTATATCTTTAATCAGAAAAAGCCGATGTAGACAGGGCAGTGTGATTTTAATGATCCTTGAATTAAGTTTTGTTGCTCAAAGACAAAACCAAAAGGACAAACTTGATTACCATCGAAATACATATATTTTATTGCAACAATTTAGATTTAGACCTAGACTTAGACAAACTATTGTTATTTTGTATGCAAATTGTATATCAAATGAAATTTCAAATCTTACAGCTTTCCGAGACTGAATTTGCATTGATCAAAATGTAAACAGTGTAGGAGAGACATGGTGGAAAAGGCATTGATGTGGAAGGTTTAAAGTAGTGCAAAAATAAATAAATATATATGGTGCAAAATGTGGTAGAAACGCTGAGTTGAATTATATTTTGTATATTCACCATGTAATGCAAGTGCAATGTTTTCAGTGTGATGCAGAGTCTCGATTTGTGACTTGATTAGAGTTTTCAGCAGTTCAACAGTCTTATGGCAGTGGGGGAAAAGCTGTTACAGAACCTCCTGGTCCTACATCAAATGCTACGAAGCCTCTTCTCAGAGGGCAGCAGGGAGAACAATCCCATGTTTAAATTGTCCATCTGCTCTTTTCTGGCACACAGATATTTTCGCTGGTGGTTTTCGCCTCTATCGTGAACGAGGGTTATGTTAACCTGGGCAGTGAACGCCTCCACTGTGTCTTCAATAAGAATGCAGACGCCTGCAACTACGGCGTGTTCGTGGGCCTGGTGGGCCTGCTGGCATGTTTTTTCTTCTTCCTGCTCGATTACAAGTTCTCTTCCATCAGCTCTGTCAAAGATAGGAAGAAGGCTGTGATGCTGGAGATTGGCTTCTCAGGTGAGAAGAGATCCAGGAAAATGTTGCAGTCTTCCATAAGGTATTTAGAGAACACGGCAAACATGTGGAGAATGTAATCTGTGAAGAGTGGAATGCACCATTATCGTGGTGATGCAATTCACAAAAACAAACATACAACCAGAGCTGCGATCAAATCATTTCAGTCAAATCAGATCCATGTCGAAATGGCCCAGTTAAAGTTCAAATCTGTATCCAGTTGAGAATCTCTTGCAAGAGAGGCTGTACATCCAATCACATTGAGCTAGATTCAGCTAATTAACAAAGAAGAATGGACAAAAAATGCAAAGGTTGTACCTCTAGAGAGCAGCTGTAATTTCATCAAAAGGGGCCTAACTGTAAGCATTGTTGTTATGATGTTTATGAGTAAAAAGTCTGAGAAACATGTATAATTTTTCAGTTTAACAATTTGGCACTAGTTTGGTCTGCAACATGAAGTTAGATCAGTATGTATTTAGGTTAGTAGTGAGAAAAATAAAAACGTTAAAGTGATATTTTATTAAAAAAAAAAAAAAAGTGAAGCAATATTCAGAGTGAATGAGAAGTGATGAAACCACCTGAACTGAAAGTGAGTTTCTAAAACATCAAGAGTGCAGTCTTGGTTTGGGCATTTTTTTAAGGTGTTTGTTTCATAAGGTGAAATGAAACAATTATCTGGTAACAACTATTAGAAAAATGATACTGTTTTTTTCTAAAAGAATTATTCATAATATAGGGAAGTATGATATGAGAAATCATCAGCCACAGGTTGTTACTGTGCCAGTATCAAATGAGTTTCCTAGGAAATAAGCACTTGTTGGGTTTTCTGGTGTCTTGCAGGTTTTTGGACCTTTCTGTACTTTGTAAGTTTCTGCTTCCTGGCCAATCAGTGGTCTCGGACCAAAGGTGATGATCTGCCTCTCAACCAGGGGGCTGATGCAGCACGAGCAGCAATCGCCTTCTCCTTCTTCTCCATAATCACTTGGGTAAGGCTAAATATATCACTGGAGATAATAGATGCTGTGTCTGTGATTTGTAGCAGTAACGATTTCCTGTAGGTCAGTGGAACAGACCTTTACTCTTCTTGAGCATCTGAGGTGGTCATGGTTGTGCAGTTGTCAGGTCCACGTGTCCTTTGTGTATCTGGAGTTGTCTTACTACCGTGTCCCTTGATGCATTATGTCTGGGCTGGGACAGAACTGTGGATTATCTTGGTTGCTTTTAAATACTACCAAGTCCTCGTAGAAACAAAGCAAGACCTGTTTTGATTTTATAAGCACAAGACTGTGATTGTTACCAACGTCTGTATGATTCGGGAGCTGCTCCTAGTTTGGGTGTTGATGGAGGGTATCTCAATCTTGGCAAGGAGGGTGCCTTTGCAGATGAAGTGGTTCTGTAGTTTTTCTGTTTACACATAATTTACAGTGAGAGTAGTTTTTTCAAAAAGTTGTTTGCAATCTGTGGATCACAGTGTTCTTTACAACCCAAATGTCCATAGATTTTAATGTTTACAAACCACTTCCAGTAGGAACTCTTGTTTATCCATGCTGCACTTGTCAGAGCTCAGAACAGATGACCCAGTATTCAGGCAAACAGACTGTCAGATCTCTCAAAAAAGGCATTTATTTAAAACAACAGATCTGCAGTGAACAGCAGAGGCATCTTAGGCTGGAATCCTTGCAGGGGGAGAATACAGATTAGTGACCATGTCGATCTGGCAGAAGTAGATTATCAATGTGTGAGTCACTAACCTGGTCCTCAAATTCAGTCCATGCCCAGAGGACGAGGTTGGTTCTAGCCGTTACACTGCCAACAAGATGCGGCGGGTGCTGCCCAGAGAGTCCCAGACGCTGTAGTCTCAGAGACCGGAGAACAAACCGGAGATCAGAACCGAGCAGGCGAATGAAGGCAGGATAATCCAGAGGACAGAGCCAAAGACGGTGTCGAGAATGTGCTCAAGATTCAGAACCAGGAGATCACAGGTCCGAAGAGGTTCCCGAGAGACATAAGGAGACAGATCAGAATGGGGACAGGCAGACTCAGAGGTCAAAGGCAGAACGGGTCAGGATCAGGCAATCAGTAACTCTAAGGTAGGCTAGAGAAACTCTCACAACAGGCTCAAGAATAATCTGGCACCGATGACTGGTTAAAGGGCTGGTTAAATAGAGGCAAGAGCAGATGGATCCGATGAACTGTAATGAGAAACTGGGTGGAGGTGAATGGAATGAGCAATCAAGCCAGTCATCAGCGCCAAGTTCATGACAGCACTGTCCTCATCTTTACAGATTTTCAAAGGTGCTCGGTGTGGAAAATCTGAGCAGGATTAAAGCTGTGCAGAAGGGTTTTGATGAGATAATGACGTAATTTGGCCATGAGGTGCCATACAGACCTAATGCAAGCCATTTTCATTCCCATTGTCTATCACACTTATCCCTGCTGGGGTTGTGAGGGGTGCAGGTGCCTATTTCCAGCTGTCAATGGGTGAGAGGCGGGGTACTCCCTGGACAGGTTGCCAGTCTACTGCAGAGCAACACAGAAACAAACAGGACAAACAGCCATTCTCGCACACACTCACAGCTAAGGAATATTAAGAGAAGCCAATTAACCTAACAGTCATGTTTTTGGGCTGTGGGAGGAAGCCGTGGTACCCGGAGGGAACCCACGCATGCACGCGCAAGCATCAAGCCTAAAAAAGTTGTAGAGATGAAAAGAAGAGCACCATCACCTGGAGGGAGCAAAGGAAGTGTTAATGCACACTGAAAGTAATACACTGAGCTGGTGTACGTGTGGGGGACCTCTGTTTGAGATGGTCAAGTTGGATGCAAAAATTCATAATAGCTTCAACCACATGACATCACATGACATAGTTGACACACTTCTCTCTCAACTAAAACATACAAAAAAATGAAAAGAGGATGAAAGCGACAGTTGGTTAAGAGTTGTTTGAGCAACAGAAAATTATTTGAACCGTTTCTTGTGTCTGATAATCAGTCTTGTACATCAGCTTTAGGGAGTTTTGTAGTCATTTCCTCTTGGTGGAGCAGCTTTATCTCAGCAGTGTTGGGTGGAAACATTTTGGCAGTTGGTATTTCATACCAGAGCTCTGCTCTGGATATGAAGCAGGATGTTTTATACCTAACATCCAACTGACTGAAAACATCGACTCCAATATCAGATTCATAGCTACTGACAGAGGGTTTTAATCACTACACCCAACAACATCGGATTTTGGGGGGGGCGGTTTTTACTTGAGCAAACTGTCAATGTATAGAGAAATAATGACAATAAACAAAGTCAACTTTTTCCCAGTTAATAACCCTTCCATGGATTAAAACAGTCGAGTCCAAACTCTTTGCTATGAGGTACAAAATTTTAAACCTAAAGGCACATGCAGACAAAAAAAACATATAAAATTAATGTTGTTTTTCCTATTTTTTTATTGTTAATGATAAACTTCATTAGCCTATTGTGATGCAGCCTGTCTGATTGTTTATTGTTCTGGCATTAAGCAAAGCAGAAGTCCTTTTGGTAACCCTATGAGCTAAAATAAGAATGCATTTAATGTCAGCCGGTTTAAAAGAAAAGATCATATTTTTTCTACAGCTTTAATGTTCTAGTTTTAGCTGCAAAGAGACAACAATCTTTTAAGCTACCAGGTTAAAGCTAATTTATTAGTATTAGCTATGCTAACCAATATGCAATGTTTTGATTAACTCTACTGTTCTCCTTTTGTATTATTTACAAGATTTTATCAAAACAAAGCAATATTCAATCATTTGTCTTTGGCAAATTATTAACATACATATAAACAAAAATACCAAGGAAAAAGGATAACAAACAGTAACCAGTGGGCAGAATCACATAAATATATTAAATAAAGTGCACAAATTAATTGTTTTATCAGCTTTTTTGTTATGGGAATGAGAAATGTTCACAATGTGTTATTCAGACTCTTTTGTAAATCCAAAAGGGGCAATATGAGTTATTTTAGATTTGTTATGAATTATTAGGTTGATTATATAAAATTATTTTTGTGTTTTCTATTTATAGCATGAATACCAAATAATACAGAGTTCCAACTTAAACATAAAACAGATAGAATCTTTCTTTGAATATAATGAGTTACATCTTTTAAGAAGGTGACTCTGCTGTTCTCTCTGTTGCCCCCTGTAGGCCGGCTTAACCGTGCGTGCGGTCCAGAAGTACCTTCTGGGAACAGACATGACCCTGTTCACCACTGAGCACATGGACGGCGGCGCACCAACCCAGCCGTACCCGTCCAATTCACCAGGAGGCGCCCCAACCGACACCACAGAGCCCTACCAGAGCCCGCCGTTCACCGAAAACAACACAGCCCCTACATACCAGGTTCCTATTTACTAGGACAGACAGATGTGTTGATGGAAGAGACGCAGATAAAAGAAAATTGTTTTCTTGTGATTTCTGTTTCAAGTAAAGTTGTTCATGAGTCGACCCGGGAAACAGTTTTCAATAGCTGTTTAGAATAAAGTCGTCCGGCCTCTGCTTCTTTGTTTCCTCCTCTCGTTTCCTGCCCCTCCTGAACATTCCAGCTTTATCTGCCTTTTTTTCTAGACCTGCAGAAAGGATATTCCTCCTGCATCGGCGCAGATAAATCAAAATCAAAACTAGAGGAGGAAAAGTGAAAGAGGGAGGTTCCTTTTGAAGTGTTCAAAAATCATTTTGTTCTGAACAAATTCCACCACAGTGGTTTTAAACAACAGTGAGCAGTGCAGGGAGTGTTCTCTTATAGCACTTTGGTCTTAATTCTTTTCATTCATTCAGGTGTCGGTTTTCTTGCCAAAACTGGGAATGATCTTGTTTTCATTCATTAGCAGCATAGATAACTCCTCCTGTGTTCCCAGTTGGTGATCATTTGCATTGAATCTGTATGTTTCCAAACGTAGAGATCAAATAAGTGCCATATTCTTACCGTGTGTCTGAGGACGTTACCGAGTTCGGTCGGTTTTCCACATGCTGTACACAACTGCAATGTTTTATGACAGAGTGCAATATTTCATATTCTTGTGTACTGTAGGCAGGCAGGCAGGCACTGTACTAAAGTAAAGACGTTATAATCAGAGCAGGTTGACTCCAGGGTCTGTCTCAAATGACACATTTCTTAAAATCACTCTCATTCAAATACTGTATTGATCAAATTGAAGAGATTATTTCCACCATTGAAGACTTTCTAGGAGTTTTCATAGAGAGAAACACCATCATTCGCATTGGTGAACAATTATTACTTAGTTTATGAATGCGCCGTTATAATTCTCACTCTACCCAAGCCAATTGAATGAGGCCTCTTGCAGAATATCCTTTAGGGGCTCCTCAGATATTTTTCTTCTTTTTGTTTCCTTTTCCATTTTGCACTTATTGTGGAGAAAAGTACCAAGCTAAGGGGAGTGTTGAGCAGTGCGCTTGTTCTCTGAGAAGGTTTCATCTACCCGGTTACATCCCCACTGCCTGTACTCTGGGTCCCTGAGCAAGACCCTAACTCCACACTGTTCCCCAGGTGCCGCACAATGGCAGCCCACTGCTCCCTAAGAGGATGGGTTAAATGCAGAGGTAAATTTCTCTAGTGAGAGATTAATAAAGTTCAATTATTATTATCAAATGAAAAATGTTAGTGATATTTGTAACATTTGGTGCTTTCCTTGACCATTCACAATCACATCAGTGGCTTCAAATTATTCATTGTAGAATTTTGATAAAAAGTTTTTTTTAAGCATTACATTTTTTAATTTCCCTGGTAGATTTAATTTTATTTTAGTTGTTGAAGCAGTTTAGATTTTTCACTTTACATCTACTCTAGTGAAGAGAAATAGAGAAGCAGTGGAAAGCAAAAATGATAAAACATCTGATAATTTTTGGTGACCATGAAACATGTAAACACTGTTTTCCAAATGTCTCTTCTATTTAAAAATGAAGTGATGTATATCCTCTAAAGTTTATGTGAAAAACCCTGTACTTTATGTTAAAAACTCAAAAGCTGTACCAACTTGGTTGGATAAACCTTTGAAGTAATACTTTGATGAAGCATCATTATTTTCAACTTAAGTATTTAGACTACTGATTAATATGGAATAAACTTTTCTGTAAGAATCTGTAGAATCTTTGCTCATTGACACCCCTTAGTTGAAGTCCTGGTTTACAAAGGTTACAGAGGAAGGACAGGATTATACAAAAGTACCAATCAGGAGATGAGTTAGATTTAAAATATAAAACTGTGAATGTAGTCCCTAATAGCTGGAAGATATATGTCACAACAGTATATATTTTTTTTCAAAATGGTTGAAAAGAAATCATATTATTGTTGTAGACTGTCAATTGGCCACTTCTCTAAAGAACCACCTATAATTACTGGTTTGCTCTGATTGTGGTCTTGTGACCACAGTCTCCTTTATTCTTTGTTTCTAAACTAAAGGATGGATTGTAAGATCCACGGCATCTTTTTTTCTTAAGGAAAAAAGGGCCGTATTTAAAGGCCCTTTGGAGAAACCGTATCATGGTCTGACGAAACCAAACCTTTTTACACACCAAGTTGGTGGTGGTTGCATCATGGTTTAAGTGGTTTCTTGCTGAGCCCCCTTACAGTTTACAAGAAACTTTTTGTGCCCCCCGTCATGCTCAACGTTTTTAACAGCTGATCAAATGCAGGTCCACTGCAATATATTTCATATTGCAAAAAGATAACCTGCAATCTCATTTAAATAAAAAAACTACCACTCCAAAAGCGTAGCTATTTTAAGTTCAGCTGTTTATTTAACAGTGTAACACAATTCAACATTGCAATAAAACAAAGTTTAAATACATCTATAAATGGATGATTTAATCAGTTTGTTTCTACTGCTTTACCTGCATGAAATTACACCCGGTCACCCTATAGGAGGCACCACCCCTCCAACATTTCTCGAGGTAGAACTGGCAGCGTAAAATACCTGTCAGTTCTGGCTCCAAACCTTTTCCTTTTCTTTTGACTTTATGTACATAAAAAGTTTCTGAATGGCCTAGTCAAAGTCTAGAACTAAATCTAGAAATGGGCTGTAAATGAAAGATGTTCTCACCATCGAATAGATCCAGAAGACTTTGGTCTGAAGGAAGAATAAATTTTATCCAATCATGGTATGGGATGCCCTCAGACTCCTACCAAAGAAAAAAAGACTCCCAAAATAAAATAAAACTGCTTCAACAAAGTATTAATTCATAAGCATCCACATTTATACACCAAGATTTATATTTTACTATTATTTCATATTTCTTTGTCCCTCTAACAAATTTTACAGGATATTATGTCACATTATATTTGGAATTCCCCTCTAAATATCTCATCATACTTTTCAAATGTTTTTAAATGACAAAAACCTGGTATTTTTACTAGGTTTTTGGAAGCAAATGTATTTCCAGAAAGTAAAGTCCGACTGTTAATCTAACCAACTTTTTCAGCTCTTCCCTACTTGTGTTGAAATAAAAAAGTGGCTTGTATCGCAGGCTGACCCTGCTTTAGAAGCTAGTCGTCTTTTGATCGTTCCATAGTGCATGAAGAAGTGTGCTATTTAAGCAGCATCCTTTGAGCGTAAGATGTGTGGGAATGTTGTGGAGAAATAAGGTTCAACGTTGTTTCCTTTTTTTAAAAAGCTGCTAAATCACAGTTTTGTTAAGGGACAAAGGTACAGATGAGCTTTATAAAGGCTAACTCTAAAGTTGAAAACTGATTTATCAATTTTTCCAATCCTGCCTCTAGATCTGGGTGGGCTGGTTAGGTTGAATTAGTATCTGAGGTGACATTGATTGGTGTGGGGAGGATGTGGGTCACCTTTCCAATGTAACAATCTATCAGAGTGATGTGGGGCGTCCATGTGCAGCGACTAAACGTTTCCACTCAGACATCAGCTTTTATTTGTGACGGTTTTAGCAAACTTTATATTGTTATAATAGGTTTGAATATTTCTGCTCACTTTTTCGCTGTCAGGTTGTCTGAAGTCCGAAGCATGAGGTCAAAAGGTAGGTTTGTTTTCAACAAGCAGGACAAAATAGGAAGGTTTATCATCAGCTCTGGTCAGAAGTCTCTTCTAATGATTTATTCAAACCAGGATAGATCGATTATACAGTATAGGTAGACCTTGAACACACACTTTCTGTTGTCATCTACTAGCTGCTAAAACAATTTTGGCGACAACATCTCACCCTTCCCTCTTTTATCAGTTTAAATGGTGGCTTTTGTGACATAAACCTGGATTTCAGACAGTTTTCATCTATTTTTTTAAGTTCAACAAGCACCCTTGGCAAAAAAAAATCCCACAGCATGACCATGCCACTACCTTGCTTGTGTGATTTTCTTTTACAACGTAATCAGTCTTATATTTCTTCATTTTTCGCTACTGAATTTCAATGACAATGTCAAATGCACAGAATTAATAAGCATTTGTTATAAACTTAAAAGAACTATGACTTCTTTATATCAATCAGGAAAATCCAATTACCCGAGGTGTCTGTTTGCGACAGCTTGGCAAAATCTATTAACCATGAAGTGTTGAGACTTTAAAAGTGAAGTAAAAGCTGTTATATCTTTATTATGATGCTCAAGAGAAAGTCGTGTATGGAATGTGGTGGGAAATGGTCAGAATGAGGAGACAGAGAATATAGCAGCCGTGTAGTCCTCCATGTAAACGTCAGGTTAATATAAGTTAGCATTCCTTTTGTCTGGGTGCGATTGGGGTTTTGATGGTGGTGTCATTAGTTCGGGGTGCTGTCAGGTCCGGATGTTTTATTGTTCTGGGTGCTTCAGTCTCTTATTCAGTCAATGTGGTAGAAGAAGATTATTAATAATAATACAAGCATTCTCTGTGTTTTGTGCTCTGGCCTATGTACACTACTGTGATACTGGTTGATTGTACAGAAAAAAAGAAATGTAATTACAAAAACAAAAAAAAACAGTATGTTTATGAAGTAAATGAAAATCTTGTGTGATGGTGTCCAGGGTCTGGTTTGTCCCGTACTACTGAAAATAAGAAAATATTATCTATGAGAGTTATTTATTAACTAGACTGCACTCCTTTTTGCAAATACTTTGTGAGAAAACTCATAAGGGGGCCGAAGTTGATGTTTTACGCCATCGTTCTGCTGTTTTGTGAAGCTGAAGTGATGAAAAGGCTGTTAGGTGTAGTTAAGCTGGGACCATCGGTGGTACCGGCACAATGCATTGCATGGATGTTACAACACACCCATATAGCCCCTCCCTTTTTACCAAAAAGAAAAGGATTCTCATTGACAGATGAAGCAGTCATTGGTTTATTATTTTTTTTGTAGTGATCCAGCCCTTTAACATTTTTCTAAGTTGTTTTCTTCCTGTTCTGAAGTTGTAAACTCGCTGTGTACAGAGATGTGTGTCACTGTCTGTTATCTGGACTGCAGTCTGACCATCACTCCAATAAAAGATAAAGTCGGTTTTGGACTGCCTGTTTCTGTCATTATTTCCCTTGGAATAAGCATTGGTCATGCTGCAACCAAAGCATCAATGGATTTTATCCAATAGGACATAGAATTAAAAGTAAAGCGGAGGGAAAGGAAAACACTATTAGAAAATTTCAAGGATCATTACCATCACTACCCGCTAATAGCTTAATGGGGAAGTTGCTTTTTGACTTATTTGGCTTGTTTGAGTCGTTTATTTTAAGAATGAAACCCATCGCAAGTTATCACTGTGTGATGTCATTTGATTAGGGCTGGATTAATCAATTATTGAAATAATCAACTAATTTAGTAATCAATTGTTTACTAGAGTATAGAGACTGCAAAATAATTTTTTTTTGCTGTCAGAGCGACCAATTTAGATATCGAACTATATCAAAATTGTAAAAATATATATATATATATATATGAACATTTTGCATTTATGATTAATGCAAAATGTTAAATGTTTTTGTCAATATGCTCTATCCAGAACCCCTCAAGTGGAAAGGTTTCACCTGCTTTAATTTTATAAAAATTATTCTTTAAGGAACCTTTGGCTATCAGACTGTTAATCAATTAATCGAAAAACTTTCTCAACAGATGAATAGATTAGCAAAATAATCGTTGGTTGCAGCCCTACAACTGATTAATGGTCTGAAACACCATATATAGTAGTTAAAATTTTTGTAGTTAAAAAGCAAAAAGACAAATTTGCTATCAAAAATAATTTCAGAGTTTCAAGGGGTTTTAAACCTTAAACAGTAAAAATATGTGGAAAAGCCCCTCATGACATCTGCAAAGTACTAAAGCAGAGGGCCTGTTGAAGTCTGAAAAGCCCTGGGAGTCTTGATAAAACGCAGGCAGCTACATCTGTTTACGAAACAGCGCCAAAAGTAACAAAGAATCCTAAAAGTAGCTTTTGTTGATATTTCAGGAAAAATCTTAGAATCTCAAGATTTTTTTATATTCATTTTACCTCAGTAATATAAATGATGTTAGCAAAGTTCTCTAGGCCTTAAGAGAGCTCTTTAAAGTGAAAAAGATGTTAGAAATGAGGCCCTTTAGTGAGCATAGGACTGTCTAAAGCAGACATGGAAGAAACAGAGGCAGTTATTTGTCTGATCTACCATTTAAAATTGTGAAATAAAATAGTAGATAAACTATAGTATTCATAAAACTATTAATACAGAGAGAGGATTAAATGTATCATATCTATAGAGGGAAATATATACAGTGCTTGGAAAAGTGCAACTCCATTAACATAATCTTATTAAAGATAGAAAATGGAAAAAATATATATATTACTAATGAAAAGTTTTTAAAAATCAGAGAAAAAAATCAAACAGTACAGTACATAGAAATGTCAATAAGTTAGACTGTAAAATGTTCCCAATAGCAATTTTAAAAAGAATTGGGAAAACCAAAAATATAAATATACATACCAACCCTAGACAAGATAAAGTACACAAAATACAACCTATAGACTGATGAAGATGTAGATAGTTCTTTGCTGCATTGTGCATGATGCTGTCAGTATCCATAGCCTAGGTGGACATCTAGAAATGCGCTTGTGTGACGGCATCACTCTGGTTCCTGATTGCTGCACGCAACTCTTCTCTTTCCAGGCAGGTCAAAGAAAAAAAAGATGCATTGAAGTTTAGCCCTATTTACCTTTCATCGCTCCTTTAGTCTCCTTCCAGAATACAAGCAGGCAACCAGGAAAATGCTGACAGGTGAGTCCACGTTAATATCACATAGATGTAGTAAGTGACCAGTGCAGTGAGAAAACAGAAGCAAATCAAAATGATGCTACTAGACTTTGATGCAGTGACCATTGTTTAGTTTTTCTGTTATGACTCCCTTCTTTATTCTGAATTCTAATAAGTTTATTTCACTACATTAACTAGGGGCATTTTTTAAATATAGTCTCATATCAACCAATTAGAGTCAGAAATTAGTCTCAGAAACTAAACCTCCTCAGTAAAATATGATTTTGCATCCGTTCTTACTCCGACTTGCCCTCAGCTGCCAGTCAAACCGATTTTAACTTAAAACTTTTTGGCAGGATTTTTAAGGCTGTAATGGGAGTTTTTGAGAATATTTGTGAAAATGGGCCCTGATCTCTCCAGAGGTGCTTAATTGGATTAGTGTGTGGAGTGGACTTTAGTTTGGCCAATCCAGGACATTCATAAACTGGTTCTGATTCCCTCCTTTAAGATCTTTGGGTCCTCATGTCAAAAGCACTTTGGAGCATCCAGGATTTTTCTTCTCCCCCTACCTTGAGGAATCAACATGCTTTTATGAAGCATTGGTGAAAACGTCACATTCACAATCCTAATCATGTCAAAATCAGATTTAACACAGGTGGACACAATTGATGCTGTAGAAACAGTATACACCGCAGCTAAGTCTGAAGCTTCACGGCTGTGAATATTTGCTTAAAAGTGATTGTTTAGTTTTCTAATTATAAATCTGTAACGATCTGAAAAACTTATCGCAATAACGGGGTGCTGTATGTTGAATTTATAAAAATGGTTTGTGAGTTACAGAAATGATCCTCCTTCAGTTACTGAATCAAACAGAAAACCTGAAAGGTAAACAGAAAAATCACAAGAGGACACAAATTTATAGATTTGTTCATCTTGTAATTTAGTGTTTTTGTTCAGTCTGATACAGCAAAAATATGACTGAAAGACTAAAAAAACACTACTGATACAATGCAGGCAGCTTTATTGGATGTAGATGGAAAACAGCGCACCGGTGAGGGATTTCCAGATAGAAAACATGGGAAGATTTTGGACCAAACAAAACCAGAGACCTCAAAAAGAAAAAGCGCTGGCACTTGTGTCGACGTTGTAAGGTGCTTCGATGGCGGTTATATTACTTCAGTCTCACAAATCATAAGAAAACGTGCAATAAGTTAAAGCTGGAGCTAAATCATGTTTCCCAGCCATTCCTGTAAAGAAGCATATGATTGAATGTGTTTCTGTTGAAACCTCATACCGCACACCAGTGCTGGTGATTATCAACAAACATGCTAAGTTTACCTTATAGGAATGAGTGTATACGATAAAAAATAACATTTGAAACATGAACAAAAATCTGTTCCAACATCAGAAGCAGCTTTTTTTTCTTCTGTCACATAATCAAGAAAAGAAAAATCGAACAATATCCTTGCACCGTTCTGGATTAAGCAGCAAAAACTAAATAATCGGCTAAATCTAATAAATATGCTTCTAATTATTGGAACTGAACATGTTTTAGTTGTTTAACCACGCAGCACTGCTGCAATGCATGCTCTATTAAATTATCTTACCAACACAAAGTGCGGTTCTGTTTAAGTGAAAGCCAAAGCAAAGTAAAAAGAATATTTGATTTCCCTGTTAGGCCGCAAAACCACTTCCTCCGTTTTTCTTAGATTCAGAGATCCGATTAGAGACGCTCCGAGCGAGAGTGCCAGCAGTAGACATCCTGGAGGGACGTGCGTCGAGCTGGAAAACCATTTAGACCAACCAATCAGCATCATCTTCAACCAAGGGAAAAAACACCAACATCCTTCTTAAAGAGATCTCGGGCTCCTCTGGGTTAAACAGCAGTGAGGCTGCTGCTACAGAGCTGCAGGGACAGCTGAAGTGTTGCCCCACTATGGCAAACGGAGCAGGAGACCCGAGGGGAGGGGCTAGCTGATGATCCGGCTGATCGACTGCAAGGAAGGGAACTCCTCGCTTTCATTAATGTGCAGGGTCTTATGGGAGTTGAAGTCTTTGGGGGCGAGAACCTGTCGGCAGGTGGGGCACACCTGGCAGTCCAGCTCAGCTGCAGAGTTGGTCGCCATGGCAGGCGTTTGCCAGGCGTTCTTCTTGTTCTTGTTTTTCTTCCCCCCGCCGGCGCCAGACTGTTTCTCCAGCGCCTTGCAGTCGACGTGAGCGGTCAGGAGCTCCTGCTGCTTCCCAGTGTCCGGGAGGAGCACCAGCAGCTCATTGAAGATGCTGTTGAAGCTGTCTCCGAGGAGGTCCTTGCAGCTGCGGTGGTACTGGGCTGCTGACATCACGCTCTGGAAACAGAGAGCACAAGGTAAAAAAAAAAAAAAAAAAAAAAGGTTAATAAAAACTAAAAATACGGTAAAAAAAAAGGACTTCCAACTATAACCTCTACCGTTCTAGGACAGTTTTCTTACATTATAAAAAAAAGGTTATTTAATATTTAATGGATGTTTATCTGAGAGACTGACATAAGGAGGTAAAGAGGAGGAATAAAAAATAAAATTATATAAAATGAAAAATGTGGTGTTCCTTCTTTACTCTGATTCCCTTAAATAAAACCCAGCTGAACAAACTAGTTTCAGAAGGCACCCAGTAAGCAAGTACTTGTCAATCCAGGCCTGTTTTAATTCATCCTAGATTTAAATGTGCTCAATAATCTTCGTTTGTGTGCTTTTTCTCCCCCTTGTTTCCACCTTCTTCTACAGGGTCTGAATGGCAAAAAGTTTAACTCTGGTATATCGATCTGTGCTTTTCCCTGAACACACCTGATCCGACAGAAAATCATGTCAGATGAGGTTGTGGCGTTTTAGTGTTATTGACAGTCAATGGGGATAAACACTAAAGATGTAATTTCTAGAAGGTGGCTTGCGAAGCCCCGACTGAGTTAGAGATGAAGAAGCAATTTTCACTTGTCTGACAGGAAAAGAGACGCTCTTACATAGTAAAGCACATCTATTTTGAGGTAAACACTGAATAAAATCTTTAAATCGCATTGGAAAACAGGTTTATAGTCACACAGCAATTTATCACCAGCAAAGTTTTTTTGTTTGTTTTTAAAATCAGGCCCTATATCCCTCTGTGTGTAATATCTCAGAATAAATCCAGCTGCCCTATAAAGGCCTCAGGACTGTTAATGAACATTAAAATACAGACAGAACCATGGAGACACAGCAGACCGGTCAGGGAGAAATGGATGGAGAAATGTAAGGAATACTGGATGTAAAGCTTACCTGTCTGAACTGAGCTGAATAATTTTTGAACTGGTTGAACTTTGACTCATCGTTGTGGAGATACTTTTTGATAGACTTGATAAGCTCCAAGTTTCTCTGCTGGAAGTCGTCTGGCACTAAGTAACCATTCGTCGGCATCTTGGGGGGCCTTCAAGAGAGGAAATAGAACATCAGCAAAAAAATAAAAATAAATAAAGCCAAACGGATTCAGCACAGATAATTTTAATTCAAAGCCAATATTGTGTCATCAGGACTCACAGGCTCACAGCAGGTTCCACCACATTGCTGTTCAGGGGGATTCCTGTGAAGCCTGGGGGGGGCTTTGGGCCTGAGCTTCCCAGGCCGGGTGGGGGTGGGGGCATGACAGTGGGTGAGCTTGTTACCGTGGCTTTCACTGGGAAGGAGGTCTTAAATCCTGTTAGATAAACACAGATCAAATGACTATTAACGGAGTTTATTCCTTTTATCTCAGTATCAAATGAATCCCTGTTGTATTGGAGAATTGAAACGTTTCACTGTTCATTACATGAAAAGTAAAGCCATCGTTGGACCACTTTCCTTCTGCAAATAAAATTTTTTATTCCCAAAACGAGCTCAGATGATTTTGTTTGTTTTGATGGTTTCTTCGGATTAACAAATCTAAAAAAAAAGCTCAAATAAAACCATAGTCAAGTAATCTCCCCTCGATCACAAACCAACATTTAAAAGAATTTATCTCAATGGGTAAATGGTAAAGAATATTCAAACATCTGGATGGAAATATTATGCTGTTTTAAGTTTCACTTTTACATCTTATTTTTTTTGTTGTTGTTGTTTTTTACTTTAGTTGGACTTTAATTTTCATGAATTGTTTAACTTTGTGGGTGTCAATTTTATTCCATCCTAATTCTAGATCTTTATTTCTACTAAAATCGGAGGATAAATGAAACACTTAAAGCTTCTTGTTGTAACAGAGAAATGTTGATATTTCTAAAATCCTTTGCAGGGCTCAGTTCTCTGTGTAATAACAAAGGAAGGCAGTTTATTATACCTGGAGGAGGAATCTTGGTCATGAGGGCAGGGAAGTCTTCCTCCGGCGCCGGAGCGGGAGCGACGCCTGGTGGTGGAGTTATCCTCGGCGAATCGCTGCAAACAGCAGCTGTCGGCTCAGCAGAACTGCTGGTTGCCAAGACGGTGCTGGAAAGGGATTTGCTCCAGGTTTTCTCTGGGACATTCTCCTTTTGCGCAGCCGTTTCCACTGAGATCGTGTTTACAGTTGAGGCCATTCCTGAAACTGCTGGTGCAGACGCAGTGGGAGCATCCGTGTTCTTCTGCTTCTTCTTCTTGCTGGCTTTAGAGGAGGGGGGTTCCATGTTGGGAGTTGGATTAGTGGAGGTCACAGAGGGTTTGCTGTTGCCTCCTTTAACAGTGAGCAGGGAGGAGATGTCCAGCATGGTGGGCACCGAGCGAAACTCCTGCTGCGTCATACCCCCGCTGTCATCATCGGACAGAGAGGGAGAATGAGAAGGTGCTGCTTTTCCTTTCTCGCCAACTTTCTTCTTCTTCCGGGAGGATGAGGAGTTTGATGACGAGAGGAGCTGAGGCCCTGAGGGAGCAGCTGAGAGAGCAGAGGGAGCTCTGGAGGACATAGGAAGTTGAGGGCTGGGTTTAACTACAGCAGTGCTGTTGGACCATGCAGAGCTGGAGCTAGCTGCAGGTTTGACAAGCCGGACTTTGGGCACCAGAGCTGGGAAGTCCTCCTCCTGAAAGGAGGAAGTATTTTTTGGCTGTCCAGAATAAGCAGGGGTCATGGGGGACGTAACCACGGCGCTGGAGAGACTTGGGAACTCCTCTTCCTTTAGAGCTGCAGGAGGAGCTGCTGGACCCGGCTTCATGCTGAAAGGACAAGAACACAGAGAAGGCAATTGAGCAAAAACCAGACAGTCATGAGGTGATCAGTTCATTATGAGAGTTGAGGATTACATTGGTGCTATAGCTGCGGCTCCCAGAGCAGGGAAGTCATCCTCATCTCCTGGATTAGAGCCTTTCATCGTTTTTACTGTTAAAAAAAAAAAAAAAAAAAAAAAAAAAAAAAAAAAAAAAAAAAAAAAAAAAACACAAGACAATCCTGGTAAATCTAAGGAAGATAATCTCACTACTGGTATAACTTCATGCTTTTTAAAATTTTGTTACCGGGGGGTTTGTTCATTGTTTGCTGCTGCCCTGTCAGTTGTCTGGGCTCCTCAGGTTCTGCTTTCTCAGTCCTTTCTTCTCGGCACTGTTTTGAATTAATTCTTTCTTGCGCTGCAGCTCGCTCTGCGTGTCTTTGTCCCGGAGCTCGCTCTCCATATCGTTGTCCCATGGCTCGCTCTCCATGTCTTTGTCCCGGAGCTCGTTCTGTTTGCGCTTGTCTTTGTCCTACAGCTCGCTCTGCTTGCGCTTGTCTTTGTGCCGCAGCTTGCTCTGCTTGTCTCTGCACCGCCATTGATGCTCTTAAAGCTGCTTCCACCTGTCTGTCTTCTTCTTCTCGTTCTCTGCACAGATAAGAAAAACAATTTAAAGCTAGAATACCAATATTTTCACAACCGAAATATGACTGAAGGCCCAGTGGGAACACAATTCAATTAAGTAGTAGGTAAGAATAAGCACAATAACAACCAGGAGCTACAATTTAAAACCCGGACAATTAAATGGGTGTGATGACAAGCCATCTCCACCATTTGAACCTTTCCAGTTTATCATATTCAGAAATAAAAAGTTTAATCTATTTCATTCCTTTTCCATTCAATAAAAAACATACATAGGCTTTTTGCTATATTCAGGCTGCAAGCGCTATAGGCAGCAGAAGCAGCTAGTTCATGTGCAAAGTCAATGGTTGCGCATCAAGGCGCAGCAAAAGGTCCTGCATCGCATTTGGAGCAGCTGAAGCAGAGGCTCATGAGCTCCTGAGCATCCGACGCGCTGGAAAAATTTAACTTTTGCTGCTCGACACGCTGCATCAATCAGAGAAGCTGATCTGGGAGCTGGCAGGGAGACAGTCACAGTACTGCTGATGCAGATCGCTATGATCACTCCTCTGAAACAGTAACCCTTAAATTAACTGAAAATGTCGACACCTGCTGGCAAAATATGTTAGATTTTTTTATTTTGGTGCCTGCAGTTTGGATTACATACATGAAAAGCATTAATATCTGCTTCCAGCCGCTGCAAAAATTAGATGAAAACCCCTAATGCTGCGTTCACACCGGGGGCAGCAAAAGCAGCAAAATCGCGTCTGCTGCTTCATTTTTGCTGCTTGTACCAGTGAGTTCTGACGCGCGGCTGAAGCAACTTTGCTGCTCTGCCTGCGCGGTCCAAAAGTGGCTCTGACGCGCGTTGGGCGGAGCTTCACTATCCTTTCTCTGCCTTGCAGCTATATTTGCTGTGATCAGTGGGAATAAAGTAGTTTTAATATGTTTTTAAGTGAGAAAATACACCTGAAAACTTCATCAGTGCAGTCAGTTCATCCAGATTACAATCCTGCCTCCCAATATTATTTCTGTCGGAGCCGCTCAGACCCCCACATACCGGCGGTGCGCCGACAGAAGGAATCCATTCATCAGCAGCCTCTGGCGGGTCGCCTCCTCGCGGTTTACCGCGGCGGCTGGTAGGTGTTTTTCATCTAAATAATCCGATCTGCAGGCACCACAATAATAAAAGCGAACATATTCTGCCGGCAGATGTATATATTTTAAGTTAATTATGCGTTAATAAACTGTTTAAGAGGAGTAATCAGAGCGATCTGTGTCATCAGCGCTGTGTCTCTCTCCCAGCCAGCTCCCAGATCAGCTTCTCTGATTGGTTGACGCGGCGCCACGAGCAGCAAAAATTCAATTTTTCCATCTCGAGCAGCAACGCGTTTGCGGCGCGTCAGATGCCAAAACGCGCCCGACGCGCTGCTTCAGCTGCTCAGACGCGCTGCGCTTGCTGCTCGAAACGCGCTGCAGGACCTTTTGCTGCGCCTTGACGTGCGTCAACCATTGACTTTGCATGTAAACTCGCTGCTTCTGTCGCGCCAGCTGCCCCCGGTGTGAACGCAGCATAAGAGGCGACCAGGCCAGAGGCTGCTGTTGAACGGGAATTCCAGGGACAGTGCACCGCCGGTGTATGGGGCTCCGACAGCAAGATAATATTTGAAGGCAGTCAAAGATGCTCTTGACGCGCGTCTGACCTTAATGTGAACAAGCATTTAAAATGAAGCAGAAGGTTTTTTGCCGCTTCAAGCTCTTGGTGCACTGTTTAGTGCCGGTGAAATTAATACAGACCCCGTCGGGCCATGATAGAGGTGTCATTCCACATATAACCACCAAAGTTATGAAAAGCTTTTATGAAGGCTGAAAAGTTATCTTTAAGTTGTTTTGCAAATCTTCAGTTAAGCTTGTTAAATTTGGAAATAGCAGCCCTAAAACTATCACAGTGCTGCCTTCTATGGGTTGAAATATCAGTTAAATTGCTCGATTTGCTGAACGTGCAGCTTGGTACATGTTTACATCACAGCTCTGTGTTCTGGTTGATTGTAGATTTAACTTGGAGGCAGGAAATGAAAGGTTAAAATTACTATTTCTGAGCTAATATTGTTGATTTAAATGCAGCATTATAATTTATATTCAGCATTGCATTTTGTTTAAGGTATTTATATTATTTTATCATATCAAGTTCACTTCTTGACCTCACCTCTCATTCTTGGTCCTATGGGTCTCTAGGAGCTGCCTACCTTTTATTTATACTTTAAGAAAAGACACGCGGGTTTTAAAACCAAAGAGGAAACAATTTTTTAAACCTGTAGTGGAAGCTCACTGCACACTGTATGAGAAAAGCTGTAAAAGCTTCGTCTCTTTTTATTTATGAAGTGTGTGTGTGCCTGTTTGCGTGCAAGTGTGAACCAGAGAAATAAGGAGCAAAACTATTAAAAGACCTAAAAAAAAGTCTTTAAAAAACAATGTTTAAATTCCTTTAAAAAAGTTGTGAATTATATTACATAAATTAAAGTAAATTTCCCGTTACACCACTTTGTGTTGGTTAATCGAATAAAATCCTAATGAAATAAAATGTAAAGAAGATTTAAAGCCACTGGAGCCTTTAATGGATTTAGTCATGCAAACTTACCTGGAGTACCTCCAGCTTTTCTGTCCCATCTGAAGCCTTCCCCGACCTGCTCGATTATGCCGCGTTTCCTCATAGTCCTCGCCTGAGACCATACCTAACCATTAACAGAACTGTTCAGATTCACCTGCATACAAGCTTCTTTTTAGCTCCAGAACTTAATAAAGGGACCCACCGTCGTTCCTCCTCTGCTGCCTGGGAGCGAAGCTAAACTGCAGGTCGATTTGGCGGTTCTGACGAGCCTCTGCTCGGTTCTTGCTGTGCGCTGCGGCCTTGTGGGCCTTGTAGTCGATCTCGGTGCGGAACGCGTGGGTGAACTGCTCTGTGGCACAGCGTCCTTCCTCGCACAGGTAGTGACTCTCTCTGAAGTGCTCGCTTAGATACTGATAATCACTGAGGACAGAGAAATCCATAAAAGCTAAAGAAAGAACCCTGTAAAGCACTGACATCATTAAGGAGGATAATTTTCTCCTTCTATAAACACCTGTAGTATTCCTGTGAGCCATCTGCGTCGCAGAAATGACAGAAATAGTGGTCCCTGCGTAAGTGCTTAAGCAGCTCGTCGTTATCGAGGTAACGCTCATCACAGAACTTGCAGAGCGGGTGTCCTCGATGACTCGTGTCATCCGGGTCTCCGTGTGCTCTGTGCCTCGCCAGCTCTTTACGATTGTACCACTTCCGCTCATAAGAGAAGATCTGGAGAGGGTTCAAGTAAAAAAAAAAAAAAAAAAAAAAAACACAAAATAAATTTGTTATGCTACCTTTAATATTTTGCAGATGCCGCACTGTCTATATATCAACAAGCTAACCATGTTATAAAGCTAACCGTGTTATAAAAATCTATCTCACAAACATTTTTAGCAAGAGCATCAAATTCAGTAAAAAAAAATAAAATAAAATCAATTGAAACATATAGTGCATGATGTTCTTTTCATGGGTGGATCATCAAAATAAGTGGTCCTCCTAATTTTCAATCATTCTGGTGATATATTTACGTAAGGCTGTCCTACGTGCTTGTTCACATTTTCACTTAACGGTGGTGAGTCTGACAGTGGAAAAATTGCCAATGTTCTTTTGGAAAGTAAGCTTGTATGAATGATGCAAACAGCAACTTTTAAAGAGAGCGTGCACAAGGAGAGATGGGCTCATGCATGCTCTCGCACGCATTTAATAGGTGTCCCTCTCTGGAGCGGGTACAGGGTTGTGCACATGCATTTTTTTTTTAAGTGGGTCTTGTCAAAAATTCTCAAAAATCCTCCACTATATGTTATTAGACAGTAAACAACCACATGCAAAAAACTAAAATGTTTGTTTTTTTTGGCAGAGCACAAATCTTAAAGTTATTCCAAAACAACTTTATGGTTCCTGGTCTGATTTCATGAGCAGTTCTCACAACAGAAATGAAAAGGATCATTGAGCATACCTTCAGATGTTTCGAGCATAGCTTGCAGCAGAACAGCTCGTGCTGCTTCCTCATGTGCTGCTCCAGCTCCTCAAATCTGGAGAAAACTTTAGGCTCCTGACACCGAACGCACTCTGACAGCAGCAGACGCCTGATAAGCAAAATTAGACATCAAGAAAAACATCCAAGCCCAATAAAGCTACTCAGAAAAATTATAACCAGGTTACTATCATACAGCTGAGCTGTCTTCTGTAGTAAAAAGGCTAAAAAAATGAAATAAAATCCCAACATCATGCAATGGTCTTAAATAATCATATAAGTCAGACAGACAACTTTCTAACAAGAGCTGTGTAATAAAAAAGTTTGTGTCAAAATTAGAAAATGTTCAGCCTGATTTCTATCAGGCCAGGGGTGAGGCTCATCAGGGCATTTTTAAATACAATATTTGGTCTAAATTAACCTAAGTCGCCTCGGCTCCCTATACCCTTCGCTGGTTTGTGGTCTGCTATTAATGAGCTGCAACCCAGATAACGGAACAGCTGCCTTTTGCACACCATGCTCACAATCTGCGCTATTAACAACATCATTTTGTTGATCAAAAGACTTAACCTCTTTCAGTTTCATTTAGAGTGAAAGAGGCTGCTGAAGCTTCCTGACTGCCCAGGTTATGTGATCCCTCTTATAAAAAGAGAAAGTCCCTGATGAAGAAGACAGCTGAAACACAAGTCCTGAAATATTAAGTCATATTAAGAACTGTTAGGATTGTAAAAACAATAACTAGAACTGCTGGGAGATGTGTTATGAGCAGAATTATGAACCAGCAATACCAAAACAGAAAGTAAGCAGGCTAGTTTAAGCCTTCAGCAAACTAATCCAATAAACTTAAGAGACGATTCTAGACAGACACATACTGATGAATAAATGATAGAGCACCCACTGAGATATTTGGCAAAACAGGGATTCATCTTAACTATCTGATAAGACAGATAAACTTTATTAATCTCAGAGTGGAGAAATTCACTTGTAACATCGGCTCAATATTAAAAAGAAGGTACAAAAAAGGAGGAAAATGTGCATGCAGTATATATAAGGCATCCACATATATACAGTGGATGAAAAAAAAAAAAAAGACAGATTTAAAGTAAAGAACAACAGTGAGGTAGTGCGAAACTATAACAGCTGAAGTCTTATTTAACAGGATTATTGCAGAGGTTATTGCACAGGGTATTACATAGCAATTACAAGAATTAATCTAAAATAAATCTGTTGCATTTGCCTATTTTGTTCACAGCTAGAATTTTTTTGTGACACTAAAAGATATTCAAAAGAAAAAGCAGAAGTGGTTTATAAACAGGGACTAGACATTCAGATATTTTTAAACACGGGCCTCCCCTAGCCTTCTCACCAGAAACATTAGTAAACCATTTGATGTGCAGGAAGTTTTTTGTAATAAGAGCAAAGTATTCCAATAACTCATAAGATTTGGAAAAGGTCTGTAAGCTTACTGCATTTGTAAACTACAGAGTGTACAAATTAATAACAGGCCTCTCAAACTTTGACATTTGGTGTGTAAAATATCAGTTGTTCAAGGCAACAGAAACAATATGAATAAAGTTTTTGCATACCTGTACTGAGAGTGAGTCATTTCGTCAATGAAATATATGTCATACTTTTTCTCACAGGGGAACTGCTGATAAGGCAGAGACTGAAAGGTCTTCAGCTTTTTAACAAACACCACCTGGAACAGCATGAGAGAAAAAGGTTCAACTATTGATACAAAAAAAAGAAATTTAATTTAGTGAAAAAACAAAACAAATACATATAATCACATATCTGCTGTCAACACATGGTTAACACTAACACCAATGCAGAGGATGCATCCTTAGATAATTGTTTTTCACAGCTTTCTTTCAACATGAACTAAAGCTGCAAAGCAAACACCAACTTCCTGGAGCAGTTATTTATAATCTCCCAAAGAATATTAATATTATTAATTAATATTAATAACTAGATGTAAGGATATTCCAAGCTCAATAATATCACAATATTTTTATCACTGCTGCTTACCTTTTCAATTCAATTCAATTCAATTCAATTCAGTTTATTTATATAGCGCCAAATTCACAACACATGTCATCTCAAGGCACTTTACAGTTCAACCAGATCATACAGTCAAATTGATACAAAGTTTTCTATCTAAGGAAAACCAGTTGATTGCATTGACTCATTGACTCAAATACAATCCCTCACACTAAGCATGCTTGAAGCGACAGTGGAGAGGAAAACTCCCTTTTAACAGGAAGAAACCTCCAGCAGAACCAGGCTCAGTGTGAGCGGCCATCTGCCGAGGCCGACTGGGGTTCAAGGAGACAGAAGCAGAGATACAAAAAGCAGCTGTAAAAGGCGGTCCCGTCCAGGAAACACACAGCCAGGCAGACAAGCTCCAAGGCAGCTCCCATGCCAGAGGACGAAGAGAGCACATCCACTCAGAGAAACAGCTGCACTTTAAAAACTGAAATAGTCTAGAGAGCTGTTCTTAACGAAAAAAAGAAAAAAAAGAAAACCTGTCTAAGTCTAAATAAATTATGTAATTATCCTGCTTAAATTCAGAAAACATAGATCAGGTACTCAGTGAAAATATTAAATGGTTTTTGGGAAACATTTTGGGGTTGAGTATGTTCTACGTAGGTAATCTATGTTTTATAGATCATGAATTACCTAAATACAGAGGTCAGCTTCCAACATGGTAACAAAGATATATATATATATATATATTTTTTTTTTTTTTTTTTTTTTTAGGGCTGCAACTAATTACTGTTTTGCAAATTGATTCATCTGTCAATAATTTTTTTGATTTAATGATTAATAAACAGCCAAAGATTCCTTGAAGAGGACTTTTTACTAAATTAAACCAGGGGAAACTCAAACTTTTCCTTTTGAAGAGTTCTGGATAGAGCATATTGATGAAGGAAGTCTTTTTATTTTTAATCTGGAATGCAAAATGTTGATATTTTATTAAAATTTTGCTATAATTATTGGTCTAGGTAGGTTGCTCTGTCAGTTAAAGGCATGTTTTAGAGTCTCTTTACTACGATTACTCGATTATTTCAATAATAGATCAACCATCATTAATCCGATTGTTTCAGCCCCTATATATATATATATATATATATATATATATATATATATATATATATATATATATATATTAGTAAAGTCTATTTCTAAATCATCCAACAATTGAAATCAGGTGTGCTGAAACTGGGTAAACTTTAACACATACAGGATACTGTGACTTAAAGACCAGGGTTAAAAATAAAAAAAAAAAACAATAAAAACACATCAACAACACTGGTACAGTTTACCAAGTTTTGATTCCTTTATGCTTGTGTCACCTCATCTCTTTGATTGATTCCAAAACCAACTTAAAGTTCTGACTATATGTTGCCAAAGAGAAGCAGTGAGACTGAGAAGCAGTGAGAGTTTCCCCTACTTGTTGCATTTTTTATGGGTGCTCTTCTCACTCATATTACTACTTTATATATTGACAGACACCCAAAAAAAATGCCTTTGACACTACCTACAACTCAACACATCTAAAATGATCTTTAAAGCTTGAAACTAACAGACAAACCGTTTATGAAAATGGTTCTAATACCTTCAATATTTCAAAATATCATAGTTTACTAGCTGGGTATTTGGAGGTTATACTCAAATTAAGCAATGTGTTACACAAAAGTTGACAGGGCTACCAGCACTATTTAGGATTATAATAACTTCTTTATTTTAATGGTAAACATTGAAGCCAATTTGTAACCTAAGAGTATACATATTTTGTATAAGTAGTATAAGTATATAACTTGCTAAACCTACACCTACTGACGTGCAGCTATTAGCATTAACTGCTCTATCCGGCGACTGACGGCAACAGCGACAAGTTCAAGTGTAATATAGCTAAAATACGTAGTTCCCACGCAGATTTATCCTCGTTTTCAATTTACAGAATATACTGTTATAGAGTGAGGGGTTTTGTTTATAAGTAGGGAAGGTAAAATGACGTTGAGGCCTAGCTAGCTCCGACCCCGTGCTAAAGTAACAGAGCAAAGCCCACCTTGTCGAGCTCCTCGCGGCAGACGGCGCAGTACTTCTGGTCGCAGAGAACCCTCATCTTGGTGGAGCAGCGGTAGCACACCGGGTGGTCACATTTACCCAAAGCAAAGATGTCGATGTCCTGACAGCACAACACGCACGTCTTCTCGGACTCTTTAGCGCTTGTTGGATCCATGTTGATGAAAAAAACGAGCTAAAGCTTCAATTTGTTTAGGAGAGTCTCTCGTCAGCGGAGTGCTTACGTAACTATGAAAGTGTGAAGTACTACCGGTTGTAGTGTCGCGTGATTGTCGGAGTACCATAGATTGTTATATCATGAGGATGGACCTAGCCGCAGCACCACAGAGTTGCTGCTGTCGCGTGTTTCCGGTTGAAGATCTGGGCAGGCTGTCATGGCTGATCCACGTGTGCTGTGCTGTTCATCGGTACTAAAGGACTTCAGCTAGAAACCAGAGATCTGGAAAACTCAGGGACGACTCCACTAGAGCCAGGGGCTTAGACAGAACATTTTATAAGGGTGGCCAGGCAATAACCAATGTATGTTGAGGGGTGGCCGAAAGTGGATAGGCGACAGAACCTCAGGGTTAAGCTACACTGTTCCAACAGAAAAATCAATGAGCAAAACATCCATATTTCCTTTGCTGACAAATAGACAGATATATAGTGGATACAATTCTTTCAGTTTTAAGTTCTGGGGCAAACATCTTTTCCGTTCTCATTCATTATTTTTATCAATAATCATTTTGCAAAAAAATTATATTTACAAGTAAAAATCTCTACATTAATTGATTATTTAATGCTTTTTTATTAAAATAGTTATTTATTTATGATTTCACTGAAGACTCCTTGATGACTTGCAGAGACACATTATTTTCTCTTTACCCCATATAACACAAAATCTAGTTTTGAAAAGAGCACGAATTATGTACTTATCTTTAATTTCAGTATATTTATGTGCATAATTAACCACAGTGTCTTTGTTGTTAAGTAAAGGTAAATATATGAAAAAGTTAAATGGTTTGAATATTCCACTTGAGAGTACTAATGTTGCCACTGTCCAATGATTGGCTTAGGGTGGCCATGGCCACCCCTGGCCCCCCATCTAGCTCCGCCCCTGCCTGGAGCCAAGTATAAGTTAAAGATAAATAAGAGGAATAAAAGCTTTTTTATTTTGCCGATTCATGTAGGCTACTCAACACTTGAATTTTCCTCCTAGGGCTGCAAATAACTATTATTTTGATAATCGATTAATCAGTCAATTATTTTTCCATTCATTTATTAATAATCAGATAGCAAATGGTTCCTTAAAGAAGAAAAGGTTTTTATCTTGCAAAATATTTATATATTTTTTCACAATTTTTTTATAGTTACTGCTCTGAGTTTCTCTGTTAGTTTAAGGCATGTTTTTGAGTTTGTTCTCCAGTTAATGATTAATCGATTACTCTATTAGTTGACTATTAATTCAATAATCGATTAATCACAATTAATTGTTTCAGCCCAATTTTCCACACTGCACTGGTATTATTTTTCATTTACTGTAAGGTTCTGACAATAGCCAACTAACACCTTTCCATATTTTTCTTCTGTATATTTGCATCTAATAGAATTTATTTGCAACCTTCCTATAATTTCCACTATAAATCCTCAGAGTAGCTTCAGTATGAAGTAAATCCCTTCAAGACTAATCAAACTAGAAATGGTTGATACAGGAAATATTGGTATGATCCGATACCAAGTAATTACAGGATCAGAATCGCTGATATTGATACAGATACTTTTTATATTCAAGCTTGACCTTTGGGTTTTTTTTTGTGATTTTTACTTTATTATTAGAAATGAAAATTAACAAAACAAAGTTTCAAAGCAAGGTACAGCTGAGCCAAGTGACTTTGATGAATCTGCTTTTTAATATTAATAGCGACATCCATATCAATATCATCAATACTTTTATCGATCTGCCCATCCCTAATTCAAACTACTTAACAGGTGTGAGTAGAATACCTAACATGTGCAGTCAAGAGTAGTAATACTTCATCATTATTTTTTTTATTCAAGCAAAAGTAAAAAAGCAGCTATCCAGGAAATGACAAGTCTTTGGTACAAAGGTTACTCAAGTACGGAGTAACTTCTCATTTACTATTTAAAATTATGTAACAAGGAAGATCAGAATTTAAAGGTATGTGCAAATTCTGGTATTTAATACTATAACAAAAAATATAATAATAAATAATAACATATTTAGATACAAGTAAGACTTTATCAATTCAATTTTCTTTTTAATATGAAACCTATGAAACTATTCACTGTTGGTAAAGATAAAAAAATAAAATAAAAGTGACCTCCAGTGACATGATTTATTCCTCACTGTAAATTAGCTTGTGGCTTTGTCTTTAGCCTTTTTGTTATTTATGCGGTGAAGGTAATCACAGTGGATAAAGTAGACATACTTTTTACTCAATTAAGAGTATTAATATTTTTTAAAGATAATTTCTCGAATAAAACTAAAAGATACGATGCAGTAAAATTACTCCTAAATGTATGTTTTTTTGGTCAAAAAGTTCCTCAAGTAAATGTATTCATGTGAAAATAACTAGTTACTACCCACCTCTGCTACTTAATATAATTTTACTTTAGTAGCAACAAATCAAATTAAGTATTACAATATGTCACAAAATATAGCGATATAAATACGCAACACTTATCATTTTAAGTCATAGATCGTAACCATGGGCCTACAAATAAAATAAGAATCTTTATCCATCAATGCATTAACATATCTGCTGTATGGTATTTTATCTAAATCTGTGAAAAGTAAAGAGTTTTGTCATCACCCACACTGAAAGATTTCCACCTCACAGAAGATAAGCACAACTTCCCTAACAATGATTAACAAAGGTGATGCTTCTGTTGTTGCTGGATCCAGAAAACATCTAAAATGTCAGTCAAATATGAATCAGGCTTAAATTTGGCATTAAAATCCTGGCAGACATAAAAAAAAAATCTTTCCTCATTTTTTATTCCTCTTTTCCATTAATTATATTTCCCCTCAGTTCTCAGTGATTTCTGTCTTTTTTTCTCTATTTTTTTTATCCTTGCTCTCTCGACAGTTACTGCTGCTTTTTACATGCTGGTTTTCAGCAGACAGGCCCCTTAATATACCGGTACTAAGGCATTCCCCCATGCATGATTGCAATTGTACATCAATCCTGTACCATTACAAGTTTGTTATTGCTTGCTTTATGTGCATTAAGGTATTTTTTGCCATTAATGCTGAAGATCTCATCATTCAGTCTTTGTGGTGTCTGGCTGCATATCTTGAATTTATTGATTCACATATTTATCACATTAAGTAGCTAGTTGATGCCAGTTATTTCTCGACAAATTAGAGCTCAGATTTTAGGGCTCTGCACTTTGAGAGCAAAGCTATTGATCGGATGCAGTGATTCTGTTCTCATGTCCTCACAGAGGAAAGAAACCAGTGAGTTTGATGCACAAGCAATCCAGAAGAGCTAACTCCAGAAACATTAGGAAAATTACTCATGTGCCTAAGTCCTTTATTATTAAAACTGTCTGCACTCAAGTGAACGTCTACAAGACCAAGAGGGTTCCTTGCTTACAGGTAGCACTATGTAAGGCATCTCCATCTATGTGAAGATGCAAACATATCTACATGGCATCATAAAAAGTATAGAGATATGAAGAAGGCTCTATAGTTGTGTTCATATTATGTTTCCACTTAGAAAACATGTAGTGCATTCGTCCACCAGGTGGCAGGAACCCTCAAAGTGTTTGCGATCATGGTGAGCCAGTGCTGGTTATAGCAAATAATATTATAATAAATCTTTCATTTCCATCAATCTCTTGTTTAAATCTGTGAATTGCTGTTCAGGCTCGCAGGGACCTGCTCCTAATGTCCAGTGGTCAGTGGGTGCACATTCAGAAAGAGCTGGAGATATTCAGGAATTCAGAGTTTTAAAAAGAAAATGCAACAAATGATGAACTACTTTTAAACTTATACTTAATAAGCCATTCATGTTTTTATTTTTTGCTCTGCCTACAGTTTGGATTTTCTATGACATTCTAACACATAAAAATGACAATTAATTAGAAGTGTAAAAATATCTAACAAGTTTTTCTACAGCAGCAAGCAAAAACAGTCTGGTACTGTTCCTTTTTCGCTCCGTTTTTCTTTGTATTTTTTTTAACCTATTCTCTATAAAATGTCCACTCGAGAACATTCTAAAAGAGTTAGGCCTAAAAGCTTCCTATCATGACTAGACAAACAGCTTCTGCAAGTTGCATTTATAAGAAGAAACTAGGAAATATAGGCAAAAAACTTGGAATGTGCATAGATCTGGATAAAAGTATATCCACTGCTGAAGACCTCCTGGATTGGTTAATGTCAACTGATTCTCAAATAAAAAAAACTTTTCAAAGGTTTTGGAATCATTTTAAGCAAATAATTATTCTCAGAAAAGATCGTTTGAACTCCTTTCAATGTATTATTTAAGATGGACTCATAAAAACAACTGTGCAGTCCTTGACAATAAAAGTGAAAAACAAGAAAAAGAAAAATGTTGTGTATTCAGTTTTTTAAAAACAAGCCATTCCTCCATTTTTCTTACACGCTTGTCCTGAGCGGGGTTGCGAGGGGTGATGGTGCCTATCTCCAGCAGTCAATGGGCGAGATGCGGGGTACACCCTGGACAGGTCGCCAGTCCATCGCAGGGCAACACAGAGACACACAGGACAAACAACCATTCATCCACACACTCACACCTAAGGAGAATTTAGAGAAGCCAATCAACCTAACAGTCATGTTTTTGGACTGTGGGAGGAAGCCAGAGTACCCGGAGAGAACCCACGCATGCTCAGGGAGAACATGCAAACTCCATGCAGACTTCAATAGCAAATAGCAGCTGTTGATCAAAAAGAAAAAGAAAAGATTACATGGAAAACAAATGAGTAACAACACTTTTAGGGATTTAGTATTAAAATTTTAATGAGAAATGCCGCCTTCCCAACTTCTCACATCCTCATTTTCATTTATGATGAAACACAAGAAAATCACAGTGAGACATCAGTAGTGGTTTATGCAGGACGTCGGCTTCCTTTGAGGAATGAAATAGACTAAAATTAGGTCCCATCTCGTCATCATAACAGTGCATTTATGCTGGCAAGTGTCCAGGTTTGTCTCTCAGGTTGCTGGCTAGCGTTTCTTGTAGTGGCTGCTGCTCAGTCCCATGACTTTGAAGGTACCACTGGCGATCTTCTCATAGAGAAGGAACATGAGGGCCGCAGTCAGCACGGTCTGCAGTAGTTTGGCCTCCAGGCCTTTGAACAGACCCAACACTCCATGTCTCCTACAGCAGAGAGCCAGGTCGAAACAAAACTGCACTGAAGACCAATGACGTTGACAATATAACCAAAAATCATATATTTTGATACCAACAGAGTTGTTCTTAAAAAGGTTGTTTTTTTTAAAGCATGATGCCTTAAAACAGTAAAGACAAGCTGTGCTTCTGGATCCATAATCTTAACTGATATAAGCCCTGTACCACGGACCCGGATTAATGGGTCAGCATGACAATTTCACCTTTAACCCTGACTTTCTGCTACCATGAAGCTGGATTCATTCTTAGCGAGGCCAGTCACCATGGTAACGTACCCTGAACGACAAACCTGCTCAGAACCAGGCTCGCTTTCAGGATTGATCCTATTAAGCGCTCCAGGAAACAAGGACATGCCCTTTCTTTAAAGACCCAATTTAATTCAGAGGAAAAAAACGAAATTAAACAAAACAACATCACATTGAATATGTTCTTGACAAATGAAGTCGTTTTTTTGCCTTTGCCTCTTTTTTGACATACCAATCATTTACTATTCTATTTGTCTTGTTGGCTGTAACAGTATAAATGAAAAGGGGAAATGTTACACTGAACCAGCTCCGATGGGGGATTAATGGTAACGCCAGCTATAAATAATAAAAATAAAACACTAAGAAGAAGGCTGTCATTTTCTTGTGAAATGGATCATTGATCATATAAAGCAAAGACTCTATTTGAGACTGTAACAGAAATGCTACAAAATTTAATTTAAGTGAGCTGATTTCTGACACAGCTCAAAAATCAGGTTGATTTCACTCAGACTGATCACTTCTTGTATTAATATGATGCAATCCTGGCATCAGCTTCCAGCTCCATTGTAGCAAATACATTATTGAATTATATTATAAAGTCCAACTAACCAGATGAAATAATGCTTTTGTGTTTTATTGTTATCTGCTGCAAGTCCTCTTCACTCCAGAGGGGCACGTCATTAACATGCTGTACAGTGACTGGGATGCAGTCTGATTTAAATGTCACTGATCTCCAATTTGCTCATTAACGTAGTCAGAATGCCACCACCATGTTTGACTTTTCATTGAGACTTTTTTCTTCTTTGTATGTCTGTAAGATGAGTTTTTGTTCCTCACAGGAGAAATATGGCTCTCTCCCTTCTGCGCTCATGGTTGTGATTGTTCTGCTACCTTGAACCCGCCCCTTTATGTGTGTGCGTTCAAAGATTCATGATCAATTCAAACTGGAATGAGTTAGCAAGTTGATAACCAGTTTTTTGGTACTGCTGATCCTGAATTCCATTGTTGTGGATTTGTTAAACTGGATGAGAGTTATCCCGATAGGTTAGGTTTGCTTCCTGGTACGGGCCTCTGATCGTAGTCTGTTATGCTACGTTCACACCGGACGCAACAGGAGCAGCAAAACCGCGTCTGCTGCTTCCTTTTTGCTGCTTGTACCAGTTTAGTTCTGACACATGGCTGGTGGTTGAAGGTGGTTTTCATGTACATAATCCAAACTGCAGGCACCAGGATAATAAAAGCGAACACGCTTTGTCGGCAGGTTTTAGCATTTTAAGTTAATTTAGGCTTTAATAAACTGTTTCAGAGGAGTGATCACAGCGCTCTGTATCATCAACGATGTGTCTCTCTTCCTGGCATCTCCCAGATCAGTGTCTCTCATTGGTTGATGTGGCGCGTCAAGCAGCAAAAGTAAAAATTTTCCATCTCGAGCAGCAGCGCGTTTGCGGTGCGTCGCGTGCATCAGATGCTTAAACGCTCCCGACGCGCTGCGCCTGCTGCTCAAAACGCGCTGTGGGACATTTTGCTGCGCCTTGATGCGCTTCAGCCCTTGACACTGCATGTAAACTCGCTGCTTCTGCTGCGTCCGGTGTGAATGCAGCATTAGTGGAAACACTAAACAAAACTGGTCTTAAATGAAGACTGAAGAATTCACACAAATGAACTCTATTTGTCTGAATAACCAGTATCCCTGCAACTAAACATAGCAATGGCAGAATTGATGCTAAGAAACACATTTAATACATTTATTTGTAGTGCAAAAAAAAAAAAAGTTTCAAAGGGCGTTATTATTATTCTGCAAAGATTTAACCTGGAAGTGCTACAACTCGTTTTGAACTGGTTGCCCCACTTTTTTCCTCACTTTTCTCAAGAACTTCCAGTGTATTTCCCTGCAAGTTTATACATGTGCTCCAACATGCGTTACTTAGAGAAACCAGATTTCAAAGTGAAGAATATGTTTTGTTTTAATCCTCACCTTGCTCTGTTTACCAGTAGACCTTTGATGGTCTGTAGACTGGACAGAAGTTTGGACCTTTCCTTTGGTGTGTTGAACTGACCGAACTAATAAGAGAGTAAGGCAGAAAAAAAAAATTAAGGCCAAAAGTCCAAGCCTTTGAACAAGACCGATAAATAAAACCCACCCTGAGGACGGATTGGATCGTCTGCAGTGGGTATGTAACAGTGGTGGCAACAGCTTTGGCGACAGCTCCGATGATGAAGACCTCCAGCGACGAAAGCTTGGAGGGTTACCAAACAAAGCAGATCACACCTCAGCCCTCCATGGTTCAAGCCTGCCTGCATTTAAACCATCTTCTCATCCAGATAATATGCAAAAGCTACGACCTCCCTCCAACCCACCTCCCTGGGAACCCCTCTTCTCAGCTGCCTCTTCAGACCTTCGTAAATCATAAACTGGATTGCGGGGTTCATCACCAGCAGCAGGGATGGGAAGGTCCCGTTCCAGAGGGCTCCAACGCCTTCTTTACGGATGATCTGCTCAAATGCATCTGCAAAAAATGACAAAAAACCTTTCCTCATGTTTTCACATCACAAGTATTTTATTTGATAGACAACACAAAGTGCTTATTTTGATGGTGAGATTAAAATCATGATGATATGTTATATATTTTTTATTTCACATAAAATGTATGGTTTGCATTTAAATCAGTCTCTTTTACTCAGGTTAAAAAAATGCCTTCAGATAGCACCTATTTAGTGGAGTCCACCTGTGTGTATGTTACGTCTTTTAAGAAGCCACTTTAGGAAGGCAGACAGTTACTGTTGTGGAGATGCAGAGATCACACACTCAGCAAATAGGGTAGCAGAAGACAGGCATGAAAATAAAACCCAGAAACCATAAGAAAGCCTCAGTTAATTTGTCCCAAGGGAGACATAGAAACATCAAATGTGTTCTGTTACCCTTAAAACACCCACCCTAAAAGAAGAAAATGGTGACCTGCACAGAAACCATTCAAGGAATTATGTGTAAACTTGAAAGTGTCTCTTTTTACCCAGGATGCCCGAGTAGTTTGTGGGCCGGATATCGGCATTGCGAAACTTGGATCCCTGCAGCTTCAGCCTGGTGTTGACCACCCACAGAGGAGTGGTCAGTAGAACATTTATAACACCTGGAAAAGCAAGTTGGCTGATAAAAATCTTAAACAAAATGTTTAAAACCAATTATAGATGGAGATCAGCTCACCTGCAGCAATGCCGACAATGAGGTCAGTGCTAGGAGTTGACAGCCTGCCCTTGAGCCAGGCATTCTTTATCCAGTGGAAGCAGTAGAAGTAGACAAAGTTGGAGCAGCACAGACTACAGATGACAGGGAACCATCCTCTGTAGGGAGCTAGTCTACATAGAAGCAGCAGTAACATTTTTAAACTCATATATTTCTATTCTTTAATAATTTAACTGTGATCTATTAACATCATAATACTCACAGTCCTTCTTCTTTGACAATATCAGCCAGAATAGCTGGTGTAGATTTGGCCTTTCTATTTTCATCCACTGAACTCAAAGAAAAAAAGTCATTAAAATCTAGAATTGAAATGTCTTTAAACTGAACAGCAGGTCAATGTTGTTTACCTTGGAGTCGTAATCTAGCAGTATCCAATGGGAAGAATACTGTCATTGCAGTCACACTTCCCTAAAAAAAGGGATTTTTAAGCATTTTTAAAGAAATATATTGTGTCATCAAGTCGAAATTGCGTAAACTGACAAAAAAAAGCTTCCATTAAAGTAAATAAGGGAAAGAGATTGAAAGTGAAGGTAACTCACCACTGCTCCTGCCACAGCATGAACTAAACTCTCATAGGAGAAAACCTCCGCGGACATTTCAGCTGCCGTCTCGGTACAAAGTAGCTCAGATGATAAGAAAAAGTGCTTCTGTTTTACCGCTAACAGCTGTCAACCCGCTCGGATACCTCACGGCTCGCTGGCTTGTTTTATCCGCACTTCCTCAAAGCCGTGACTCCACCGAACGGAATTATGGGTAGTGTAGTTTCACGCGCGCCTCCATGATCAACAGTTTTCTTTTAATTTGATTTGAACTGTGGGGTTTTAACAGTGTTTTGTGCACCATTTCTGATGAGGGAGAGCTAAAATATAACAATCTGCTATTGTAATAATGTATTGTAGATCTGAATTGTTAACTGTATTTTGTTAAATTATTGTTCAATAAATGTTTTGTAAAAATATCTCTCTCTCTCTCTCTCAAGCAACTTATTGATGGGCATTACCGCCATCTACTGGAATGGAGTGTGGATCGGGATATATATAAATTCTCCCACAACACAATAAATAAATAAATAATATAAAATTATAATAATTAAGTTAATAAATCTTATATTCTATTAAGGTAATTCATTAAATAAATAAAAAAACATTTAGAAGATGAAAGTTTGTCCAAAATATCTTGTATATTCAATTACAATTTATTTTCTTGTCATCAACTAATCCCCTTCCCTCAACAGAAAATGTAAAAAATTTAGAACAGACCAACAAAACATGTTTTACTGTCTCTCCTTGAAAACAAAATATCACAATTTCCTGTTGGATGTTTTCCCATTTTAAATAATGTACTATTTAACCTTGTATGTTCAAAATATAATCTGGATATAATGGTTTCCTCTTTTCTATTTCTTCCTGTTTTCTTCATTATACCAACTTTTATTTGAATACTGTAGAGCCACCTTCCAGTTCTATCCTCTTCCCACTGCTTTTGCCATCTTTCCTGGGTAGTGTAGTTTCACGCGCACCTCCCTGATCAACAGTTTTAATCACATTCAATGTTTAAATCTCAGCAATAATCTACTTTAGACAGCTTTTTTCACTGTGTTTCTCTGTTTAGGACAAAGTAATTATTCCTTCCTGCAGCAAACTTACTACACTCCTATTTTTATTAAAATTTTTACAACTTTTATTGATAGAGCAATTTGTGGAGTTTTTGCAGCCAATCACAGTCAACTCTTTTTATTTTCCACTTCTCATAGCCAAGTGCATCTGTTTATTTTTTTCTTTGTCCTGACCAAAGTTATTTAAACTGAGCAATTGCAGCCTTGGCCGCCGTTAGAAAGTTTTTATTGAGGAAACTGAGGGGGCCTTTAGCCAATGTTTTAACTCCCAAAAAAATTATGGATGCATAATATTGGAATTTTGGCCAATATCTTGATATGTTACAACAGATCTGGCCAATAACTAATAGCAGTATTTTTTCCCTAGAGCTACAGACACTGTGTAATTTTTTATGCCCCCTTCTGTCTTGTGCAGCCATTGCAAATAGTAGTTCACCTAAAGGCTTCTGAAACTTTAAAAAAAGTTCATACCACTGACTTTTTTTACTTCAGCATTTCCTCTGAGACTCATGTATCAGTTGGGTGTATGTGACCTGCTGGAGCAGGCATAATCTTCACGTTTTAGCAGATCGCTAGCTCAAGTGCTAAGTCACCCATCCTGCAAACAGGAAGCCTTCATATCCCAGCTGGGAATGAGCTGCCAGTGTGGCCTACTTTGGGGAATGGCAGCCTAGTGGTTAGAGCATTGCACAAGGTATCAAAAGAGTTCAAGCCCCACTCCCACAGACTGCCACCCTGAGCAAGATCTTCAACCCCCACACTGTTCCCTTGGCATTGAATAGTGGCAGCCAACTGCTTCAAAAGGGGATGGGCTAAATGCAGAGAGTTAATTTCATTGTTCTGTACTTGTGGAAGTGTAATGACATTAAAACCGCAGGAAAAGAAAACTTTTCTGTCATAAAATAGTCCCTTATATATTGGTGAATTATACTAAATATTGGCAGACGTCCGATATCAGCTAAAATTGATCACAAGTTTCTTTGGCTTTGTTTCCAGGCCATCAAGGGATATATTATGTTTTCTCTGTATTCTCTCTCTTTTTTTTTTATTATTCCATAGAAAGCAACTCCCAGTCAGTTGTTTCTTTGACAATGTTTATTTCCCTTTTAAAAGCAAAAAAAAAAAAAAAAAAGCAGTTTCATACATTCCCAGATAATCAGTCCCGGCCCGTTGATTCCCCGGTTAGCCGTGCTTCTCTCACTGCGCTGTCATTTATCGTTGGATAAATAGCGGTTCATCTTCACTGCTGCAACCTGCATGTTACTTGAGATTAGAGATTGCCACAAAGCCAAAAACAAAGCAGTTAGCTGTGATTCTTTAGACGGATAATCCATCACATCATTGCATTAATGATTGAACCAAGTGAACTGCATGCAATTTGGTCTGGCAATATGATTCGACTGCAATGAACTGGATTTGTTTCGGAAAAAACAGAGGAGGACATATAAAAAAAAACTCATCAGCAGTGTTTTTAAGCATTTCTTAAGCACGTTTAACCTACTTTAGATGTTGTCTAAATATGTGTTATAGTTTCTTCCATCTGTTGGTATCAATTAATTTTCTGTCACGCTCCATCCCTGCTGGGGTTGCAATGGGTGCTGGTGCCCATCTCCATCTGTCTACAGGCGAGAGGCGGGGTACACCCTGGACAGGTCGCCAGTCCATCGCAGGGCAACACAGAGACAAACAACCATTCATGCACACACTGACACTTAAGCGGAATTCAGAGAAGGCAATTAATTCAACAATCATGTTTTTAGACTGTGGGAGGAAGCTGGAGTACCCGGAGGGAACCCACGCATGCTCAGGGAGAACATGCAAACTCCATGCAGAAAGACCCCTTGTTGCTGCAAGGCAGCAGTACTTCCCGCTGCCCCACTGAGCAGCCACCATCTGCTGGTATATTCAACCAAGATGTAATAATGATACAAATCTGTTTGGATTCGGGTCATTTCAAGCATGAGACCAAGTGGGAGTGAATAATCTTAAACAGACTCGAAAATATCAAACAGCAAAAATGCATAGAGCACATTTAGACTGGGATTTCCACAACTACATACATCATATGACAATATGGGCCAAGTAAATCTCTACAGCTTAAAACCTTCATGAAAAAGGAAATGCATCTGCATGAAAGAAGTGTTTTCTTTTCATTGTTGTATACAAAATGTAAATAAAAACCTCTTAAAGAGGGAACTCCTGACTGTGAGTGAAGGCACTTCATTTTTAGCTGCAGTAAAATACATGCAATTTAATGAACAAAGATGCAGGAATGAACACCTTAAGTTTTACCGCTTTCATTCATTCTTTCATACTCTTCTTCTCACTTTGCGTGGTACTTCATGTTTTCAATGGTCAGCATGTTAGTTTGTGTGAACAGCTAAAATAAAACTAAAACATTAAGGTCCTATCAATCCCCCGCCCATTCACTCAGCCACTCCTGACAAGCCCTCCTCTGCTCCTCGCTCTGCTCCTCCATCCTTCGTTGCTTGCTTTGCTTCCTCTTCTCCCCCTCTCTTCTTGCCACCTCTTCTTCCTTCTCTTTAGTCTTTCTATGCTCCAAAACAGCATCAACTGTGGCCTCCAGTGTCCTCAGTGAGCGTTGTGAAATCCATTTTGGGTCGACAGCAGGGACAAAGGGGTCTCCGGCTGTGACAAGAAGCTCCTGAGGCTCCAGGGGGATGTGGAGGAGGTAGGCATGCAGCATCATACGATACGGAGAGTCATCTGCTCCCAAGCTGTAGGTGAAGTCTCCGACGATTGGGTGGCCGATGGCGCTGCAGTGGACCCTCAACTGGTGGGTTCGACCTGGACAAAGACACCGCTCAAAGCAAACAGTTTACATATAATAAATAATCCAAGCATCTCAAGGTAAACATTTTGTTTTGCGACACTAATCGGCTCACAGGAAAAGCAAGTTTGATGGATGCTTTCAAAACAGCAACAACTTACCAATGACTTGAATCCTTTTGTCTCATCAGAACCAAAAACTACTATGTAATTATGTTTTTGCTTTTGGAATGTGACTACGTTTTACACCTCTAAAGGCTCTCGATCCAGGACCTTCTTGTATTAAGAAGTATAACAGAGCACTTTGCACATTTAAATTACTTGACAGCTGCGTAAGAGATAAAAAGATCAACATTTAAAGAGGACTCCTGCATGCTGTCCAACTTGCAGAAGACGATAATTATTTGCAACGTTTCGGTACTAGCGCTTCATCAGGCAACCTTGACAAAGTCCTCAGGTTTGCCTGAGTCCTCAAGCCCTCTATGCGTTTTTATCCTATTAAAAGCGCGATTGCAAACCTGAATAATTGCCACATAGACTAGCCAGGGTTTAAGCTTTAGTTTGCCATGCATCCTCAAGTGGTGAAGAATGGAATATCCAGACCTAAATGGCAGGTTGTTGGTGCACTTAATGTGGTCCAGGTTGAAGAGGGTTTCAAACTAAAGGTTCCCCCAACCATCCAATAAATGTATAACCAAGACTTGGCTACACCCAAGCTCACCAAAACAAATGTGATTAAATAAAACTAAAATGCATCTAAAATAATAAGTTTAAGTGATGCTGAATTTTAAAGTCATAATTACATATACAGATATTAAACAAAACGCAGACAATAACCTTATGAAGAACAATCTATGTTCCCATCAGCTTAAACTGTAGTACCTGCATCATCACAGCATGATGCTACCACCACCACGTCTCACCGTAATGTGTTTTCCTATGGTTAGCTTTACCTTCACATATAGAATATTCCTTTTAGGCTCAAAAAGTTAATTTAAGTTCCTATCTGACTGAATGGAAGTCTGGGAGACATTAAGAGTGTGACACTATCTTAAGTTGTTGAAAATAAATGCATTAAACACGTTCCAGATTTCTGTTTTTATTTTATTTAGTTTTTTGTCTGTAAGCTGAGCTTTTGCAAATGTAGTTCTTTAAAAAAATGAAAGGACAGAAATAAGGTTGGGTACCAGTGAGTGGCTGCAGCAGCACCTTGGTGACCGGGTCTCCGTCATACATCCCGTATTCCAACACCGTCACCTCAGTTTGGCAAGGCTTTGGATTCTCACAACCTGTGGAGCAAAAATGAGGAAAAAAATGCAGCAAACCTTAAAGCAAATTGTCTTCGATTGTCTTTATATCCAAGGTTGTACATTCTCTGAAGTCACATTGAATTATAAACATAAAAATTATCCAATTCCAAACAATTTAAGCTGATTTCAGACTGCCGTTACCTTCACTTCCTTCAATGCACATCATATGTGTTCTTCCCTCCATGGAGTTCTTGCCAATGGCAAAATTCAAAGTTTGTGTCTCCTGTTCCACCCATCCACGAACCTGGGATGTAGAATAAAGTAGCTTAGTCTACATCAAATGTGTTTAATAAACAAATGTTTTTTGGCATTCGCTGACACCATTTCTGTAAGAGTCACAGATGGTTTATGTAGGATTTACCAAAGCTATATAGGCTTTAGTAACAGTGCGGTCCTTAAAGCAGCGGTAGGCCCTTCCAGCAGCAGCCTTATTGAGAGCGACACAAAGAGCTCCACTGGTGGAAAAATCCAGCTGGTGACAAAACCTATTGGAGGAGACGTTAATAAGGTGTAACTACAACTGTTTACGAAGCATAAGGAAAATGTAAACGGATGTGATCCTTTACCTGAACCCATAGTAGGTGCTGGGGTCTGCCAGATGGGGGAAATGATGCTGAAGCTGAAGCTGCACCGTCTGCTTCTCGTACCACATCTTGCTGTCTATGCGGATATCCCAGTGTTTGTCCACAATAATGTAGTCATCGCTCTGGTACAACACCCGCAGGCTCTCAACGCTTGCTGGCTCTGAGCTCATCCTGACCAGCTGTCAAATCAATCCAATCATGCAGAGCCTGGATCAGGACAAGAAGAAAAAAAAGATGCAAACATGACTTGGCGTTATAATCTGTTCCAATAGTCAATATCAAGTGTTTAATCTCCGACTGCATAAACTTCTGAACTTCTGACATCTCTGTTTCATAACTGCTATAATTCCAAATTTAAATCTCTTGTTTTGTCTCAATAAGTTTTCTGTTACTGTGATCCTGTACTTCAGGGGAGCCAACATAAAAGCAACAGACAGTAATACATAAAGAGGCTGAATTTGCATTATTATGTATCATTTTTTATCCTGACAGAAGAACTGTCACAGTTAGATAAACTGCTGGGTAAAACATTAGCCTTAACATGTGACAGGTAGGTATTATTGGGGTTTAACAAGCACATACCTGAATAACAGAAAATCATGCTGACACTATGAAGGTGCATTATAATCAAACTAAACATGTAATCGAAATTTGAAAAATTATGAAAAAGTCATGCAAGTATTTTTTATGGAGTAATTTCAACAATTTATCCAAAGCAATTTCTGAAATTTTTCGGATTAATAAATTCCCAAAACTTCTACGCAGGTATTTAATAGAAAAAAAAAAAAATAAATTATCCTGAATGTTTGAATCAATTTTATGTTGTTTTTTTGTTACAACTTTAAGCGTGCTATCGTATCCTCATCAAATCTCATCCTTAATAAATCCATCCACTTCCTGTTCCACCACTATCTCTTAAACATATATTTAAACAACGTTTAGCTAAAAGTGTCGAAAAAATGACATTTGCACCTCAAGAAAACACGTTCATACATCCGCTATTAATAATTTACCTTGACTTAAAAGAAGGCCGAAGATGAGCAGAGCATCTCTAAAGCATGTAAACAGAAACACGTCTCATAGCTCACTTCTGCGCATTCGCAGATTATGATTTCTTTTCTTCCTGATTTCCGGCCATCGTTTGGGATTATGTCGCCACCTGTAGGTTTGGAGGACTGAAAAAGCAGGAATAAAAATTATAATTTTTTTTTTTACCTGTATAGTTCAAATGAAATGAATGCAACTGACGGCTTCTGGCTTGATTATATACAAGACGATGTTTTTACTTAAGCATGTTGTGTTATGATATCTGTCTCACTAATTCACATTGAGCGTTAATGTGTTATGATAATAAAAATTCTTTTTTTCAACATCAGATCTTTACATTTTTTGCATTGATAATAATCTCAAACATTTTTATTAAAAGAGAAAAATGTTTCATTATATTAAAACATAAATGTATAGGATAATTACACACAAAAAACAATATTCATTTATACCATAAATAATTTAACTTTTATCTTTAATTTATCTTTTTTTCTGCATATTCACCATCCAAATACAACTAGGATTTAAAATTTCAAAATTATTAATCAAAGTTCTTCTTGTTGTGTTTACACAAGACTTTATTGACAACACATTTGCAATATTCTCAATGATGTAAGAAAAAACAAATATTTCAGGCAACTTTTAACCTAATTTCCAGGACCACTGAATCAGAGTTATACTGTTTGCTAAAACTGTAAAATCTATGTCTATAAATCAGGAATTCAGAAAAATGAATACTGATTTTAAGATTTACTCTGTGGAATTAATTTTATTCTTCTTTTTTGTGTTTTCACAGAGATAGGCAATAGTACACTCTCTTAGAATTTGGGTCACCAGTGAACCAAACCTGCATGTGTTGTTCATCCATGCAAGGAAAAAATAAATAAATATATATAATAAATTAATGTAAGAACTGTAAATATACAGTCATATGTTTATATTACTATATTTTTATGTATTTATTACTGTTTTTCAAGGCACTGTAAAAAATGAAATTTTCTAGAGCTGTTTAAATGAAATTTCTTTTTGTATACACATGTATACAGAATGACAAAATAAATCTGTCTAAGAAGCTAGAGAAACGGAAGATCCTGAAAAAGACCTTCAACATCTTTTCAACTAATTTAAGGCATTATTTTGTCATCATTAATGACAGTTTTACTATTAGCAGGTATTTCTCTTAGATATCATGTATCAATTAACGATCAAAGAAAATTATTTGGATTTTTGAAAAGTTTTAATTTTATTCTTTATGCTTTGTCATTAAAATGTCTAAAACATTCAATATCATATGCATCACATGCAGCAGATAGCTCTCTTGGTATTTTTATTTAATCTGCATGGGAGTCTATTAGTAGAAAATTATTTATTTATACAAGAATTGCAGATTTTAGTGCAGTTCATCACTTAAACTCTGTCTTTCTTTAAACCAATAACCCTTACAACTACAGTGGTCAAAGTAACTGTAACTAAAATGAGACAGTGTAACATCCATCCATCCATTATCTTACACGCTTGTCCCAATTGGGGTCGCGAGGGGTGCTGGTGCCTATCTCCAGCAGTCAATGGGCGAGAGGCGGGGTACACCCTGGACAGGTTGCCAGTCCATCGCAGGGCAACACAGAGACACACAGGACAAACAACCATTCACACACACACTCACACCTAAGGACAATTTAGAGAAGCCAATTAACCTAACAGTCATGTTTTTTGGACCGTGGGAGGAAGCCGGAGTACCCGGAGAGAACCCACGCATGCCCAGGGAGAACATGCAAACTCCATGCAGAAAGACCCTGGGCCAGGAATTGAACCCAGAACCTTCTTGCTGCAAGGCAGCAGTGCTAACCACTGCGCCACTGAGCAGCCGACAGTGTAACAATCAAATCAAATTAACAATGCTTGAAAAAAATTATTGTTTCGTCTTTTACTTTGCTTGGCTCTGCTTAGCTTAGTCACAATTCCTTTGATGACTTGTTTAGACGAATAGAGTAAAATGCTTCCTTTAATTTTATAAACATTAGTGATGTTCTTATTTATTTTCTGAGTTAACTTTATTATTGCCATAGATTGTAGATCTATATACCGTATTAGCCTTTACTGACTATTTGCTCATTTACATATTAAAACAGACTTAGTGAACTTTTGAATTAATACTTTTTGAATAAAACCCCTGACAATAACACTATAGGCCTTAAATTAGTAAAGTGGAGTTTTTTTCCACAGTCTTGTAGAGTGGGATCACTTTGTGTAGAAATATCCTGGATTAAATAACAAATGGGACATTTATGGTAATGGAAATGCTCTTTACTGGAATTCTACTTTTACCATTGGGGGAGTGTTGGCCTACTTGGTTAGAGCAGTGCCCTTGTGCTCTGAGAAGGTTGCAAGTAACTGGTTCGATCCCCACAGCCTTCTCTCTGGGTTCCTGAGCAAAACGCTAAATGTCTGATTGCTCCCCGGGTGCCACATAATGGCAGCACACTGCTCCCCAAGGGGATAGGTCAGGGATTTATGCTCTATGCACTAACCACTAGGCAGGGGCGGACTTACCATTAGGCAAAACTAGGCAGTTACCTAGGGCCCCGAGTTCCTGGGGGGCCCCCTAAAACTCCTTTTACATGTATGGTTAATTCAGCAATTACTTATTTGTGCACATTAATTATGTTTTTGAAAAAAATCCTTTCGCTAAAATGCCATTAGAATGCTTATAATATTAAGTGTGTCTCGGGGCCCCCCCTACAGTTTCCACTACATTGGTTCAGTCCATTTGATGCGCATGGGCAGAAAGGTCCAAACACACCGCAGCAAACTATTTGAAAAAACAAACGGCGCGAAGAGACGAGACGAGCAGAGCGGAGAAGAGAAAAGAAAGGAAAGAAAAAAGATGAAAAGAAGTTACCCTAGCGGTAATGAAAAGAGGAGAAAAAAAGAATGAAGGTAGGAAGCTGCTTTCAAAGTTACCAAAAATGACTGAGTTTGGCTTCTTCACTGCGGCAGCGGCGAGCAGCAGCAGCAGTAACCTGCCGCAAACAGCTGCAAGTCTGGCACCTGTTAAGGAGGATCCATCGTGTGGAGTTGAACAACTAGTGAGTATTAAGCTGTCGAAGGGGACATTCCCCCTATATTGATAACTATTTATTTACCTTATTGAAGATGGGTCATTTTAAAGTAAGTTTCTAATTTCATTTGGATTTGCTAGAACGATGAAAAATCAATTATTTAGGTGTTTTTTTATGTTGAATTTCAGGAAAATCTCAGGCTTTTAAATGTTGTAAAATCACCCATAAGTTTTAGGTGTTTTAGTCTTTAATAATTTAAGTTATACATTCAAAAAACATAAGGAAGTTATTACCAACATCTCACTCTGCTTTACAGCTTTGTATTTACATTGATTTGATATGTGTTATTGTGCACAGCTGGGGATGTTAAGGGTCACATTTAGGGCTGCAACTAACGATTATTTTAAAAATCGATGAATCGGACGATTATTTTTTCGGTTAATCGATGAATCGGACAAAAAATATTTTTTATATTAACCTCTTTATTCCAAAATAAACATTTTAAACAGAACAAACAAGCACACAAGTACAGGTTGCTCATTAACTGTACTGGTGCAATATGAAAAATAAATGTTTGTGTTAAAACTACGCAAACTTACATGAGAAATGTGGCTGTACATCCACAAAATATAGGCTCCTTTGTTTCATAAAGCGCAAAAAAAGACATTTTTGTTTTTAAAGCCCCTAAGGGGTTCAAACAATAGGCCCCCCCCATTTCAACAAATGAGGTTTTTTTAGACTAGAAGAGTTCTGCCTTTTAAGACAGGAAAGTATAGCAGTTAAAGTTGCTACTTGAGAAAATACTTAACCATAGAGATAAAAATAGCCCTGTGATTCAAATTATAAATTGTATTTGGATGAGAGAACTAGGGGTGCTAAAAAACACATCCTCCAAAGACAGATATTTACATGGGAATGTGGCATATAATTAATTGACATATTACTGATCTTGCTGGATTTTATTCTGCTTTACTTCCATAAATTGCAGGATCTTCTTTACTTTATCTTCACCAGAAGATTTAAACTTTAAAAGCCTTGCCCTCATAATTTGCAAGTTAATTTAT